AAAAACTATCGTTTTGTTTTTGTGTTGTGTTGTCGTTTTTATGACAAAACTATCGTTTTCAAAAAAATGAAAACGTTAATAACCCTATGCGTCAATAAGGAGAAAACTGTTAAAAACGACTCATACCGAAGATTATCGATTATTTTTCGCCGTAAGGCCCCTTTAATTTTATGCGAACATTCCTTTAAAGTGGACTGTCAGTGTAATGTTTAAGTGACCCTCCATGCAAAGCTAACAATGCCCGATTTACAACGGAACCTTTGAAACCTTTATCTGATTAATAATCTGGAAGATATTGTCATTTTTCTAGGTTTTCAAGCGTAAAAAATTCTTATATGTCATATTTTTTTTCCTGAAGAATACAAATCTAGACCAAGCATTTAAGTGTACCGTAGTAAACAGTACCTTGCCATTTTTACAGTCCCATCATCAAATAAAACTGATTTAAATTTTCAGTCCTTTCATACTTTTCTATCGGGTACTGTATCTTATTCATTTACAACAAAAAAATTCCCGAAAATAATTTTTTTTACAAAGCTTAAAGGCGAACGTCTCAAAAATGAGAGCAGAGCCCCATATCCAATTCCTGTTTAAAGTTAACCAATTAAATCTAGTTCAGACGAGAGGGGGGGGGGCACTCTCCACTTAAACCAACTATTTCTTTAATAAGAGTACTGCAAGTCTCTGCAGAACACCCCGAAAGTTGAGGGGGGGGGGGCTTCTACCCCCTCTTCTCCTCCCCATCTCGTATCCCCTTCTTTACCTCTCTCTTTCCATTAAACTGTAAAGTTTTCATCTCGCGTGATGTAAGGCCTACTAATATTCAAGTGTCCAACTTCTAATGGAAAATTCAAATTGAGAAAATTTATCTATTTGGGCTTCCTCCGCAGAACTATCTATCTAACAATCCCTCCGCGGAACTATCTATCTAACAATCCCTCCGCAGAACTATCTATCTAAAAATCCCTCCGCAGAACTATCTATCTAACAATCCCTCCATAGAACTACCTATCTATCTAACAATCCCTCCGCAGAACTATCTATCTATCTAACAATCCCTCCGCAGAACTATCTATGTATCTAACAATCCCTCCGCAGAACTATCTGTCTAAAAATCCCTCCGCAGAACTATCTATCTAATAATCCCTCCGCAAAACTATCTATCTATCTAACAATCCCTCCGCAGAACTATCTATCTAACAATCCCTCCTCAGAACTATCTATCTATCTAACAATCCCTCCCAAGAATTATCTCTCTATTCAACAATCCCTCCCCAGAACTATCTATCTAACAATCCCTCCGCAGAACTATCTATCTATCTAACAATCCCTCCGCAGAACTATCTATCTAACAATCCCTCCGCAGAACTATCTATCTAACAATCCCTCCATAGAACTATCTATCTAACAACTCCTCCGCAGAACTATCTATCTAAAAATCCCTCCGCAGAACAATCTATCTAACAATCCCTCCGCAGAACTATATATCTAACAATCCCTCCGCAGAACTATCTATCTAACAATCCCTCCGCAGAACAACCTATCTAACAATCCCTCCGCAGAACTCTCTATCTAATAATCCCTCCGCGGAACTATCTATCTAACAATCCCTCCGCAGAACTATCTATCTAACAATCCCTCCGCAGAACAATCTATCTAAAAATCCCTCCGCAGAACTCTCTATCTATCTAAAATTCCCTTCGTAGAACTATCTTTCTATGTCACCATCCCCCCGCCGATCTATCAAACAATATTTTACCCTTCGTTACAAACATTATTTTTTAAAAAGGTTTGTAAAGCCAGAAAATGCAGAATTGCCAATTTTTAACCTTATATTCCTGTTCTTCACTTTTCAAACCTTATTATTCAAATCCCACTACCATTTCTCGACTATAAGTTCAGTATAAAATCCAAACAAAACTAGCCCAATCGGGAAAGGGTTTACGGAATTTTTCTGTTAAAAGGATTGTGAAAGCGTGTATTTAAGTGACCCTCCATGCAAAGATGACAATGCCCGATTTACAACGGTACCATTGAAAGTTTTGTCTGATCAAGTATGAGTTAGATTTTTAAAGTATTTATTCACAAAAGTGATTCTAGAGCATTTCTTGCTTTTAAGAAACAATGGAAAATTTATCAGAATCTGGCGTGTTTAGTGTCAGAAAAAAGAGGTCCACATTTTTAATCAGATTAAGAAGAGTTACTTTAAATTCAGCGTACAGTCCCTTTAAGATAATTTGATAGAATTGCTTCAATTGCTTCGCGAACACTCCCTTTCATAAAAAGTTTGGGGAAAACTTTTACTTCATCTAAATATTTAAATGTTATTCCTATATTATCCTTGGCTGTGTAGCTACAAGCTGAAAGACCTAAAATGATGCTAATTTTAAAATTGTTTAAAATGCTTTTATGTTCCAGTCCATTTCACGCTTACACGATTATCTTTCTTCAAGATGAAAGAACATTTTTTATTTGAATTTGTTCATATTATATATAAAAAATTATAAAGGATTAAATATTCTGAGTTGAGAATTTTTCAACAAAAAGAAGTTGGTGATCCAGTCGTATTTAGTTTAACCATCTCTTTTTCGTTTATAAATTACAACATTCGTATACGTTTTATGCGCCAAAACATGTTCACACCATGATAACTAAGGTTTAGTCAGGGATAAGAAAAGTGTAAAAAGAATGGCTAATTTGATATTTGATAATTGTAAATAATCAATTTTAAAATAAAAGATGATGAGTATCAGAGAAAGGTTTTTTTAGGTATACCCTTTTAAATCAAACATACAAAACAAAATTAGAGAGTCCCTTTAAGCTACGTGAGCAGTTCCTTTAAGTAAAAAACTTGTTAAGAATATAAAATCTAGTATCTGTATTTTCTACAACTGTGTCAACAAATCAGATTCGACAGTAATTTATTGCTTCGCCATCCAGAGAGGTTAATATCAACTTTTTACAGGAACATTTCTAGATTTATCATAAATAACTCTTATCCCATTAGATAGCTAGAGGGAGCTAAATAACAGCTTTTCCTCAAGTAAATTTGGTCGGTCCTTCATGGCAACAGTGGCATACACGACTTAAATACATTAGGATGTCAATGTCGTAGAATTTTTTTTTCTTCTAAAATTCAAAAAAAAGTGTTCAAAAAATAGATCTTTTAAGACCCTTTTCTACACTGTCATCTGTCATCTGTTACCTCTAAACAGTTAGAAAACAATGTTTATAGAAAATTACAATGATATTGATATTCATGAAAATATGGTCCACCCAGGCTTTTGTTGATGACTTCTGATGAAATGACTATTTATTAAGAGTGCTTTTAGGCGCTGAGAAAGCTGTATCCTGAAATGCTGAAATGCTTAGTCAGACCATACATTACCAAGAGGGTAATAATCAGAAATATGTGTTAAATGCATTTTTCCCTTGTCTACAAGAGATTAGAATGCGTAGATCCAAAAGAGAAGAACAGAAAACATATGTATGATCAGATAAAAAGTCGGAGAAAAAATTTTATTAGAAATTTTTTTTTATTTAAACATAAATTGTTAAAAAAAATCAAGCGTGCTTTCCAAATTCCAATATCAGGATCAAGATTTAATAAAAAGCTAGAAGTAGTTAAACTGCTTGTACTAAGTTGAACCACTTCTCTTAAACTTGGACTAGATTAGTGGTTCAACTAGGTCTTCTTAAATCTGCAGTATCAGTACATTTAGATCCAATTTAAACTCAGTGAACATATTAAAGAGAATGTAGGCGTAATTCAGGGGCGGTGGGACATTCGCCCCCCCCCCTGACAGATTCAGGGAGAGGCGTGAATAAGGTTTTTTTGTTCCTATTTTCAGAATAGCTTCTCAATAGCATGCTTAAGGGAAAGAAAGCCTAGTGCAAATCTTACAAGCAGAAATGGTTTTTATATTCCTAGAATAAAATTTATTAAAATTGGACTTCTCCCCCCTCACAATTTCCCTAAAATATGGTATGAAAATAAACAACACTTTTCTAAGCTTTCAAATATCAATCTTATTTCGAATTTTAAACAGAATTTAATAGAAGATTTTTATCAGCANTTACTCGTTTAACATACTAAGAATGACTAGTGTAAAATCCGAGATTGAACAAGTTTGCGAAATATCAGTGAAACTGTTTGCGCATTTATGGAAACTCAATTCTAATTTTAACATGTAGGACAAAATCATATTTTTTTTTATAACTAAAAGTCAGGCTTCTACAATGTTGCGTATAGACGTTGTAACATTACCGACTTACAGGGATGCCAAAATTTTTGAGAAAATCCGTAATTTTCGGGAAAAAATCCGTACAATCCTTACAAAAAAAATTTATTAAAAAAACCACCCAAAATTAACATAACAACTTTAATTTCTCATTTCTATTTTCATTCATTTTGGATTGTGTTCGTATGTGAGCAAAGGCTGACCTTACATTGCTTTAAAATTAATCTGAAACAAAAATTACCTCTGTACAATGTGCACATAACAGTGCACTGTGCAGTGTGTACAGATGATAAAGATGAAAAAAATACAATTTAAAAAATCTGCTTTTTTATGTTTGTACTATTGTGTACTTACTATTCTTTTTATTTTCTGAATTGGAATAGGTTTTCTTATTTTTCCAAGCTTAAAACTCATTTTTTAGCAATAATTTATCCGTACAACTTTTTGGTAAAAAGTACGTACAATAAAAGCTTTTACTCGATAATAAGCTTGACATAGGATCACCTGACTGACTTGCTTAAGATGAGTTCCCATATACAAGAAAATGCTACGCCTCGTCTTAAAATGCCCTTTGAAAAACTGAATGGTCCATTTAGCAACTATCACGTAAAAACTCAGCAGAGATAAAACACAAAGACGTTCAAACCAATTTTAACCAGGCCTCAATTTCATTTTGCTAAATATAGATTGGAAAAAGGACTCCTGTGTTTAAAGATAGGCCAAGGTGTACGATTCATCAGCATTATGTTGGAATCATCATTGAAGCACAATTCAAATTTTATTGGAACAATTATAGAATCAAATGCAATAACATATCTTAAAGTACCTAAATAACTAGTAGATTATAAGGCATACACATGCAAGACATTACAAATTTACAAAACATTCACTTTTTGTTGTATTATCAGACTTCAATCTGATTTTCTTGTACTTTATGAAACTTGTACTTAAAATAATCACGATCGTGTTGGGACTCATTAGTCAATAGTAATGCTAAATTATGAAGTCAAATAAACAAAAATAATAAAGGAAAAAAAATAATTTACAAAAACACAGTATTTCTGGAAAATATCATAAAATCTTTGATCAAAACTAGAGAGTTTCGCAAAGAAAGGTTTCTACCGATAACAACGAAACCTTTCCAGCCGGATTTGCTGGTACTGTGCCGGGTGTGACCGATTACCCGGATCTGAGCCGGATGTAACTTGATACCCAAATCTGAGAACCGCTTTATGCCCTGAGAACCGCTTTATGCCCTGAAACCTCTATTTGCAAAACTCTCTAATCTAGACAAGTCTATGAGTTAAATTCTCTAATCTAGACAAGTCCAGAAGTGTAACTCTCTAATTTAAAAAGTTCAGAAGTGGAACTCTCTAATCTAGAAAGTCTAGAAGTGGAACTCTCTAATTTAGAAAGTCTAGAAGTGGAACTCTCTAATCTAGAAAGTCTAGAAGTGGAACTCTCTAATCTAGAAAGTCTAGAAGTGGAACTCTCTAATTTAGAAAGTCTAGAAGTGGAACTCTCTAATCTAGTCAAGTTTAAGAATTGAACTTCTCCCGACAATACTTCTTGTTCAATTTCTCAATTCTCTTCTCCAGCTCATTAGAAACCTGAAAAAGATCAGAGTGAATGAAAATAAAAAAATAATAATGAGAAACATCTTAAACTGCTTGATTAGAAGACGACTTGAAATTAGACCTATCTCTTTAAAGAGCATGTCTTTGTAATTTTAAGTGACCCTTTATTTACAGAAGAGCTTGACCGAAAATGCAAAAGTCACTTGTATGGAGAAACAACAATTGAAAATAATCAATTTTCAGAAAGAGGCACTGCAGGATTGGATATCTCAATAAAACTTGATCAGTTAAAGCTTTAAAGGGTACCGTTGTGAATCTGACATTCCACTCTGCAAATGGAAGTAAAAGTGTGTCAAAGTCTTGTTAATCAGAATCAACTGACAAAGTTGTTATCATCTGTAAGTATAGTTCAATAACAGTTAAAAATGAAGTTTGACTTTAGAAAAGTTGTAAAATTTAAATAAGGGGTTAAAGCGGTATTGTATCAAACTTAAAGTTGTATTATGCTGTATAGCAACATAAAGATTGTATTGCATGAAACATAATGTAGTATTATACTGTATAGCAACATAAAAATTGTATTGCATGAAACTTAATGTAGTATTATACTATATAGCAACATAAAGATTTGCATGAAACTTAATGTTGTATTATACTGTACAGCAACATAAAGATTGTATTGCATGAAACTTATTGTAGTATTATACTGTATAGCAACATAAAGATTGTATTGCATGAAACTTAATGTTGTATTATGCTGTATAGCAACATAAAGATTGTATTGCATGAAACATAATGTAGTATTATACTGTATAGCAACATAAAAATTGTATTGCACGAAACTTAATGTTTTATTATACTGTATAGCAACATAAAGATTGTATAGCATGAAACTTAATGTAGTATTTTACTGTATAGCAACATAAAGATTGTATTGCATGAAACTTAATGTAGTATTATACTATATAGCAACATAAAGATTGTATTGCATGAAACTTAATGTTGTATTATACTGTATAGCAACATAAAGATTGTATTGCATGAAACTTAATGTTGTATTATACTGTTTAGCAACATAAAGATTGTATTGCACTAAACATAATGTTGTATTATACTGTAAAGCAACATAAAGATTGTATTGCATGGGACATTATGTTGTATTATACTGTACAGCAACATAAAGATTGTATTGCATGAAAAATAATGTTGTATTATACTGTATAACATAAAGATTGTATTGCTTGAAACATAATGTTGTATTATACTGTATAACAACATACAGATTGTATTGCACTAAACATAATGTTGTATTATACTGTATAGCAACATAAAGATTCATAAAGATTGTATTGCATGAAACATAATGTTGTATTATACTGTATAACAACATACAGATTGTATTGCATGAAACATAATGTTGTATTATACTGTCCAACAACATAAAGATTGTATTGAATGAAACATAATGTTGTATTTTACTGTATAGCAACATAAAGATTGTATTGCATGGAACATAATGTTGTATTATACTGTAAAGCAACATAAAGATTGTATTGCATGGAACATAATGTTGTATTATACTGTATAACTACATAAAGATTGTATTGCATGAAACATAATGCTGTATTGTACTGTATACAAAAACTTTTTTGAACACATCCGTACAAAAATCCGTACATTTTTAGAAGAAATCCGTACAATCCGTACAATTTTCGAAAAACTATCCGTACAATTTTTTTTAAAAATCCGTACAATCCGTACATTTTTTAAACCAATCCGTACATTTTTTTAAAAATCCGTACATTTTTTTAAAAAATCTGTACAATCAGTACAATTTTCGAAAAAAATCCCATTTTATGAAAAAAAACATTAAAATTCAATTTTTCATTTATTGTCTTTTATGTTCAGTTCATGCAAGAGGGTTTAAACTTCTTCAGCAAGAATCAATCTGTAAAAAATTGGCTTCATACATATATACAAACTAAATACTGGGTACATGATACTAGGTGCATGATACTGGATACTGGATACATGATACAGGGTACATGATACAGGATACAGGATACAGGATACTGGATACAGGATACTGGATACTGGATACATGATACAGGATACTGGATACTGGATACTGGATACTGATACTGTATAGCAACATAAAGATTGTATTGCTTGAAACATAATGTTGTATTATACTGTTTAGCAACATAAAGATTGTATTGCTTGAAACATAATGTAGTATTATATTGAATAGCAACATAAAGATTGAAGTGTTGAAGTTAAAGACTTCTTTCTTAATTATGGTAGAACTTGGTAATTCATTTATCAGAACTTACTTGGTCGTTAAAAATTTACAATTTAATAAATAAATCATAAGATAAATAAAAATGATTTTTTTACACATGTTTCAGACGTGAACCTCGAAAAAAGGTTTACCTTGATTGACTCCGTAATATACAGTTCAGCCAACACATCCATCTTATCATGCTCACTATATTAAATAGGGTAAATATTTTTCTTAGAATTCTTCAAGAATCATTTTTTTTTTTTTTTACTTTTTTCCCCTGTTTGACACTCCACTCCCCCCATTTACCTTTAAAAACAATATTTCTATAATTAAGGAGGAGTGGGGTAGGTAAAGCTGTACAAGACTTAAACCTATCTCCTCATATTAATTGTAAATGCAAAGATGCGTAAGTATGGTCAATTTAAGAAAAATACTTACTGGTAAATACTTTTTTGTGAACATCATTCAATTTTCCCCCACTAAATTTTCAAACAATTGTGGTTTTAGGCTTTGAAATTGATGAATAAAGAGGCTCACAAATCATATAAATATATTCCGATAGAAGATTTCAGACCAAAGAAATGAAGCAACATTTCAATCTTCATTTGAATTTTTCAGGTGACGCAACTACAGTTTGATTGAGGAGTAAAAAAACGACATTTAAGCAATCTTATGTATATATTCGATGTTGATCTAAAGATACAGCTGTTCCATGTAGCTTGAAAATCAACTTTTAAGTGAAAAGGGGTCTTTGTATACTTCACAATTCTGTTCAATTGTGCATTGAACTATTTATAATCATATCTTGAGTTATCTTATTTCATAGTTTTAAGGGTCTCACTATATGCAAAACTTGAAGAACAAATAAAATGGATCCTAATTGATTTTATTATTATTAGTACTTAGGAGCCTTTCCATGTTTGATCCAAGGTCGGATCATGTATCCGTTCGATTCGAATCCCGTTTTTTTCACACAAACGGGATTCGAATCCTAATCACTCATTTTACAAAATAGTATGTACATATTGTATTTATAGGATCTTACATGGTGTTATTATACATTGTAACAAACTCTGATTTTCTGAGAACGTGATATTTATTAAAAGATTAGTTTGTTTTATATCTTACTGGATTGCTTGTATGATGTGTTCAGGCTTGAAATATAGAGACAGGTCGCAATATCCTCGATCATCCGCCAATCTGTCACCAGCGTAGAATTTCCCTTTAATTATTCACATATTTATAGTCTGAAGCTTCAGACTTGATACTTTAACTGTATGTTGATTGTTAATAATAATAATAATAATAAATGTTAGTATTTAGAGATGATAATTTATATTGGAATGGAAAGTTGGCATAAGAAATCGGAGATAAAAATAATATAAGAAGTTAGTTAACTTTATGTTGCAAGAAGTATATGACAGTCATAAAACATAAGTCAAACTCATTTTAAAACAAAATACATGAGCATAAGAGTAAACACATTTAGGATGGAACGTCGTATTCTTCTACAAAATAAGTCTTGATGTTGAATAGTACTAAAGTATCACACAAGAAGGAGTTAATCCAATCCAATCCAATCCAATCCAATCCAATCCAATCCAATCCAATCCAATCCAATCCAATCCAATCCAATCCAATCAATTTAAAGATATCAAAAATAAAGCCATGTTAGCTGGTATATCAAACATGTCAGTTATGGCATATTATTAAATGATCAAAGTCCGGGTAGAGAATTTTATTACTACTTTTATGAAATAAGAAAATAGGTTACCAGATATAATAGAGGCAGTAATATCATCCTTCTTGAATAGTTTTATATTTTTCGAATGTTTGGCCAACAGAATTGCTTTCTTCAGCTCCTAAACCATTTTCTTGGTTAAATTCATATCATTCATAAAAGTTATCATCAACATCATTTTGATGTAGCTAATAAGTAGCTAATTTTTAAATAGAATTTTCTTCATGTTTTTTATGTTATGTTAGCCTCCATTTAAAAAGTTAAATGCCAAATCCACAAAGGTAACCTTTCAACTTTCAACTCAGGAAATATCAAGGAGATATTCTTGTTTTCTAAAACATTAATCTTTTTCCATACAGTGAAACCCTAATTTATGCATGCCAGGCAAGGAAGGAGTTTAAAAGAATAAATCTCTGTGAAAGTTAGAAAAACAACGATATCTTCCTAAATATTACTCAGGGCCGGTGCAAAATTATAAATTGGGCATGTAACTCTATAGATAACGGCTCACTGGAGAATACGACAACAATTTCTTGAAAAATGTTTTGTCATAAAAGATGTTTATGTTGATTTTGTTGAACTCCAACCTCATCAATATCATCCTTGATCCTAGGCTTCCCAGCCGGGTCCAGCTCAACAGGCAGGTTGGTCGTATCTCCATCCGGGAATACGATCCTGCTCGACAAATAAACCATTTACGGAGGTAACCAGGAAACAGTGGAATAGTTGACGTCTTCTTTATTTATTTTTATTACAACATTTTGCTGAGGATTTTGTTATTTGTAATTGATTTATCTTTTACAATGAATCCTAAACATTTTAAGACTAAGTTGTATTAGTAATACAGTTACAAATAAAATAACATTTTTTGTTTATAAAAAAAAGAACCGAGATAATAATTCTTTCCGGAACTATTATCTGAATGATGTATAAAAACAATACATTGTAAATGTGCTTTCCGGTATTAATTAATTCGTCGAGAATTTCTTTTCTTCGTCTCATTTTGTCCAAAATTTTCCCATCACATGAGTAAAACAAATAAGTTTAAATTGAGCTGTTGACTATTTCTATTAATCTACTATCTGAATTATGTCAAAGGTTATATTAAATAAATGTAATTTTTTTTTGTTTAAACAAAAATTATGTTACTTACTTGAAGAGATTTGAGTTTGGTATAGCCTGATCTGAAGTTTGTACAATGAAACGAATATCTGTTTCAGGAATAAGAATCCTTGAGCTGTCCTCGATATCCATTTTCTTCCCGTGAAAAAAGGTTGCATGAACATGAGACAAATTTCTTTCCTTTAGCTCATAAAACTCAAAGTTTTCATCCAAGATAAGTTGAAGTTCAAAACCTAATAAAAAAGTTTCTTAAGATAAGTGTTTGGGAAAAAGTTAAGCATTTTACCTGTAGCAGCTGTGACGTTGAGTACCCAGTATGCTGTGTTCATTATTCTAGACAGTCCAGTTTGGTCAGGTGCACAAACTGTATAACCAAGAGATACCAGGGTTTCTTCGTAAACCTCAGCTGCAAAATCCAGTTGTTGTAAAATATTTTTGTTGTCTGGGTTCAGGTTCCCTGGAAGAAAACTCATTGCAACCCCTCGTTTTTTATCCCCTTCAGACTTAAGGACACCTTTCCCCTTTCCTTCCATTATCTTCATTCCTCTGGATTTTTTCAATTCAACCATAGGAATTTTTTGGGGGCTCATCTTCTGCTTTCTTACTTTAGGAAAATCTCTTTCCCAAGTTTTTCGCATAGATTTCCCTTTCTCAATTCCAACAACAAATTCATCTAATGACATGGACACCTGTGTTCTTGGAAGTCTACTTTCAATGTCAATAATGTAAGCACATCCAAATCTTATTGTTGCTTCCAGGCTCTTAACAACCTTATCTTTATCTAATGGTAGGGTATCAAGTTGACACTTAAGTTTTGAACTTAACTCTGGGACACACATTTCAGAGATCCATCTAGATTCCTCAGTAAGGGTCTCAGAAATTATGACTGGTGAACTTCTTTGATGAACTTTATGAGGTGGTTGATAGTTTCCAGGTGTATCATGAAATCCTATTCTACAATTCACTTCTTCAGAACTCCTTACCATCATCATTGTTGACCCTTGTATGAAATACTTTGAAGCCTTTTTTGTTGGTACACCTATTGTAAATGCTTTGTTATTGTTGTTCATTGACGTTAGTTCTTTTAGTGCCTCTGCTATTGCTCGCCTGGGACCTTCTGCTCTAAAGACAAGATTGTGACAGAGAGGATCATCAGTTAGGGAGACTTTGGCTTTAGACAAAGAACTCAATCTTCTCTCATGGAACTCTTTTCCAAGTCGCATAACATTGCTGAGACTAGGTGAAAGTTTCTTCAATATCACAGTTTCTGTTATGGTATATTCACTTGCATTAGCAAGCAACTGTGTAATGCTCCTAGTGTAAAGTAAAACATGTAATGCTTGAGCACATCTCTTTCTGAAAATGGCTGTGTCTTCAGAACAAATAAAAACATCATTTAACCCATCAACTGGCCAAATCAGAACTTGATCACCTTTCAAGCTTTGTCCCTGGCGAAAGAATCGATAAAGGTTCTTACCAACTCTGTCCAGCATATTCTCATTATTCTTTAATTCTTCACCCAACCTCAACTTCATATCATCCAGGATTTCAGGCATTGTTAAGGATTCTACATGGTCAGGTAGATCCAATCTATTTCCAGCTGGTGTTTCAAGTAGATCAATAATCAAAGCATACAGTGATGCAGTTTCAAGCACAGAAGAGTCAATATTTAAGGCAAGGAACTTAATCAACCCAGAAAATCTGGCCCACCGAATCAAAATCCAAAATGTTACAAAGTATGCCACATCAGTATAAAATAGTGATAAAATGTACTTAGTTTTCATCAGTCCACTAAGATTGCAGCTCAAATCTACTTTGATATGTCCGTCAATTTCTCCTTTAATTAGTGGAACATCATTACCAATCAAATCAATCTTTTCTGTCAGAAGATCCTCAACTGCACAGCTAATGTAAATGCGTAAGAAGTGTCTTCTTTGATCAATTTCATTTTCTGGAAGTTTTTTTCTTGCAGTTTCATAAGCTTTTGGCAGGATTCTAACACAAATATCTAAGTCTGAATCTTCTTCACATAACAACATTGAGGCTGATCCATAAGGCCTAAGCTCGAACATGTCATCTCCCCACTTCTTTGCAATTTGGTCACTTACAATTTTAAGAACTTTTTGCTTTTGGATTAACCTTTTTCTAAGAAAATCAAGGTTAAAGTCCTCAACTGTACTTTCAGCATACAGCACTTCAAGGCTGCTTTGGCCTAGTTCTTTGATGATATTGGAATCCAACACCTCAGGAAGTTTATTTCTAGATCCTTTGAGCTTGCACAGAAACTCATAGGCTATCCATGGAAAACTAAGAAAAGGCCTATCCTTGTATTCCTTGTTTTGATCATAAGCAACTCTGTACCAAGCAGCAGCCCATTCCAGAATATGATCTTGAGGACTTTCTTTAAAGATTTGATAAAATCTCTTTTTTAATGCAGAGTATGCAGCTTTGAGGTGAAGAGAAGATCGGTCTCGATCACTGTTCAGAAGTGGATGCCAAGAAACAGCTCTTCCAAGAACAACTTCTTCTTCCTGACGAAGAGAAAACTGGTGCATAATTTTACGCATCTCTAAAATATAAAATGCATACACACTTTCTGCCTTCTTTAATACCTCTGGAGATATCTCTATTTCCATTGCTTGATCATATGGAATCTTTTTGTGATCCTCTTCTTCTAAATCATATGTAAACAAGAAAGACTTACAGTCTCTGTAAAGGTCTCCCAAAACTTTCTTGGATGGATAAGAAGTACCCTTCTTTTCCATGAAATCAGGATAACCTTCTCTTTTTACTGTTTCCTGTGCTTTCTCAGGAACTTTTGGTCTTTTCCCTGTCTTAGGGAAATCTACAGCTACTGCTTGAGATTTTGCCAGCTCTTTGCATAGATTATCCATTGCTCCTTTGTCTACATAGTCAGAAAGGGCCAGATGCATGTGTGCAACTCTTCCAATGGAATCATTCTCCATACATGAAATAAAACAATCAGCAAGGGCCTCAGGACTAGTGGCATCATCATATTCAATAGGGTCATTTCCATCTAGGTTTTCATAATCTAGTGGTTCTTGAATCAACTTTGCAGGAGGTATATACTGCTTATCCCAGATAACAGAAAACTGGTCTCCATCTAAATCACCCCCACTGCAATGGCCAGACAAAGAAGAATCAGACTTTTCTGCTGGGAGAACAAGAACATTTTTTGAGTAATGAAGTTCTGGGACATCAATTGCTTCTACCAGTCTTATATCCCCAGGATACAAACATGGATTTCTATACATAATGACAGGTCCTGTAATCACTCTAGGTTCTCTTTCATCTTTGCTCATTTTAAGAAACACTTGATTTGTTGCAAGTTTTCCAGAATAGTCAGGAATTCCCATTATGAGACAACCATCTTCTATGTGAAGATTTGCTCTTCTACACAAATCTGTGATTGTTATTTTGTGTGCACATCTTAGAAGCCGGAAGAAGAAGGGCTCTCCAGTTATGTCAAAACATTTTTTAACACTAGCCAACATACCAGAGGGCATGTAATTGCAAAGTTCACTTTCTGCCCCATCATTATTTTCAAACATCTTTGCTGTTTCTTCAAGGAACTTATCTTGATTTTGAATCAGAGTTGATGGAAAATTCCAAATACTCTGTACTCCTACATTAAGAAGATACATAGATTCCAACAATGTAATTGACTCTCTATTCAAGAATACCCTATGAGCTTTTGCTTCCTTCACAACGCCCATTTCCATATGATCTGACACAAATTTTTCCTGAGACTTGCGATACAAAATAGAAGAACTCCTCTCTCGGAATATTTCATGTGAGTCAGGAATGACCACAAGGACTCCTTTCAGACCTCTACAACGAAACTGGAATGCTGAAGGTTTACTAGATAGTTCACATCTCTCAAACAGCTTAAATGCAAGAGATTCTCTGATGAATCCAGCCCCATCGGTTACTAAAGTGCCATCTTTTGCTTTCAAGTCTGGGATTTTTTCAAACATCTCTAACTTCATGAAGCCAGCAGATATGTCTGATGTTCCAAAAAGACCCAATCTTGACAAGTACTTGGCAGGAATTACAAAGCTTTCTGGGTTGGGGATGATTTGTCTTCTGAGTTCTAACACATCCTCCCTAGATTCTGCACACAGAAAGATCCCTTTCTGCTCCCTTAGCTGACTTGCACTAGAGCCAAGATAATAGAATGTCCTACCATTCAGGTTTATTCCATTTATTAGGTTGTCATGTATCCTGGAAAGAACATTAGGACTAGTTTCCATCTTGTCAAGATTTTCATCTCGAAACGACACAATGATTTGGCATTGATTCTTCGTCAACATTCTTGAGAGTCGACTTGCAGCCATTGGTACACTAGGTGGAAAATAATACCTGGAGGGTGTAACAACCAATCTCAGAACACTTATTTGATTTTTAGCTAAAGAGTGCTTTGTGAAATCAGCAAAGTCTCCATCTTTACCCATTTTTTGGATCCTTACTAGCTTCTCCTCAATGATATGTCCATAACTATCCCAATATGTTTTACCTTCTCTAGTAGCAAGTCGCACAGCAGCACTCAATTGTTTTGCTGTGGAGAAATTTCCTTCTAAGTAGGCAGTTCTAATCTTTTCAGTGTATTTGTTAACATCAGATATATCCAAATGGAGAGATAAGTCTGATGATTTTATCAGAATTTCCCATTCATCTTCCATCAATGCTTTCTTGTGATCAAAGTTGGATGGAATTACAATGTTACATTCTAAATCTTGATTCTCCACATCCATCAGGTTTGTGACTCTTGTATCATATGTAGACAACGGAAATACATAGCTGTTGTTTAATATTTCTCTCAATAATAATCCATCTTTAGTGCTGGGGATACTTATCTTCAAGGATAAAACTGGAAATCTTGCTAAGCTTGTCAAAATCTGATGAGAAGCTGCTCTCGATGAAGTGAGCCTACCATTATGATCTTCTGTAATCTCATACAATATTGGCATATTTTCAATTGGGATAAACAACTGGCATTCATTTTGATCCCAGCTACACAAGCCAAATCCCAAGCAGGAGGTTTTAAGTAAAGATAGCTTCATCTCATATGTTTCTCCCCCTTCTGAGAATTTGACTTGTATCAGTTTTCCAGTCATAGAAAAAACAAGCTCCATTTTCTCCATGTCATTATCCAGCCTATATTTATGAACAAAGGTTTGCCTATCTTGAAGGACTCCACATAGTATGGATGAGAGGTTCCAACTATATTTGTAATCAGAAGGTTCTTTAACTTTGACCTTTGCAAACACTGGCAACTTCTCTAGCCCAAGTTGAAATTTCCAGTTACTGAACACATGCTGTATCAATTTAAATATCTTGCCATCACCTTCCAGTTCCAGCTCTATCAATACCTTTAAATCTTTCCAACCAAAAACTTGACTGGAACTTTGTCGAGCCTGCCCTTCCTGTAAAACAATTCTTTTTACATCAAACCCATATCCCTCAAGGCATTCTTCAAGATCTTCAAGTATGTCATCCTTTTTGACCCTAGTCCTGATGCATATGAAGAACTCTATCACAGCATCTGTTTGGATGTAGTATTCAGGAATATAATTTTCCCTGTCTGTTTCTTCCAAAGTAATATCTCCTAAGAAATGATCATACAAATCCTGACTTTTTTGAGAGAACACATTTTCTTTCTCATTATGTTCTGACAGAACAAAGTCCATATTTTTCTCTTGTAGTTCCATATTTTGGGCGTCCTTTGACTTTTCTTCATGAACACAGACAACAAACCTGCTACTAGCTTTCCTAGCTCTTCCCCGGCTTTGAATAAACTGAATGAGTGTGACAACACCACTGTATCTGATCACAAGATCACATTCAGACACATCAATTCCCTCCTCAAGTACAGATGTTGCAACCAGAAGTTTACACTCTCCTGAGTGAAAATCTGTAATAATTTTCTCTTGAAAACCAACCCAATGCTGTCCATCATGACCTCCATGTCCAACTGCTAGGTTTGGTTTGTATCTGGGGTACTTGTCTCCCAAGTGCTTCTTCAACCTAAAACAAGGTATATATGGAGAATAAATTTTCACATGATTTTTTATCATTTTTAAGACCTTTGCTTACTTCATAAAAATTCATCAAACTTGGCAGCACAATGACACATGCTTTCTAATAAAAGGAATAATCCGCATCAAAAAAGATACCTTGAAGCACATTCTCTTGTTTCTACAAAAACAATAATTCTAGAATCCTCTGAGCACATGTCAATCAGGTTTTCAAGGTTCTCAAGGTTCTCACTGAGTTCCTCCTCCTCCATATATTTCTCTACAGGGAAGTGAGGACTAAGCTTGTTTCTTATCTCTGGTTGAGTGAGAATATCTGATGCAAATTTCAGACCCATGCTCAGGGTTATCTCCTAACAATGATACAGTGAGACCCAAAAACTGAGAAGGTTTTGTGTAATTAATGTTGTTTTTTTGCAACTAGGTTTAGCTAGTAAATAAACTTATTAAAGGGAGTGTTCGCGAAAAATGAAAGGGAGTATAGGCTTGCGGCAAAAAATAATCGCTTTTGATTGCTCCAAATCTTACTTCTATTTGTTGCGTCTATGAGGAGAAAATTGTTAAAAACGACTGAAAAACGTATTGTCCATACAAATTAAGAAAGTTGCAAAATACGACTTGGATTGTAAAAAAAATAAATCTTATTTCAAACAATTCATCCAGTCATTCTACAGTCGTCGATTATTTTTTGACCCATTCGTACAAAGTTGATATTTCATAATACTTTTTATTTGGTATGCACTTAAAACGCCAAAATAGTTGGCCGCCAGGTGTCTTTGCTCTCGCTGCTTTGAATGATTACACATGGCAGAGACACCTAGCGGAAAAAAACGTAGTTTTAAGTGCATTGTATATAAAACAAATAACTCATTAATAATTATAAATGATAAATAATAAATAATTTGTTTGATATTAAATTGATTTTTTTGTCCTAGTCGTATATTGCAACTTTCTGAATTTGTATGAACATTACATTCTTTTTGAATGGTTCATCAAGATTTAGCATAAAAAAAGCAAAAAAAAATAAGACAAAAAATTTGTAAATTCTTCTTCATTAAAAAAATTAGGTAAATTTTAAAGAAATAACCGGGATCAGAATCCACATCAAAATTAAATGGATCCTAGGCACTACACAGAGTCATTCATTTGTGCTAACTGCTGTTATCTAAACCGAAGAACACAAGATATTTTTTGCAATTCATAACACATTTAAAAGTGAATACGTCAAAAAATCCATTTTGATCTAAAGGATGAGACTTCAGAGACGAATTTAACTAAGAAACATTTTTCATACATTCATGGTCCACAGCAGCTCCTGCAGCTGTACAATAGTTTCTTGAATTTCCAAATTATTAAGTATTCCCAGTGAAAAAAAAAAGATTGAAGGCAGTAGACCTAGTTTTGATGTCGTACCCTATAGCTTTTTTATTTTATTTTATTTGAAAAGGTCATCATTTACATCTCATCCTTAGGTAACCATGCTCAGAGATGTATATACCTGGGTTTCAAGCAGTATCTCCAGTAGTTTGCATAATTCGTTTCTTTTTGGATAATCCTTCAGTTCCTTGAGGGCGTTAATTCCTCCCTGGTCCATTATTCCAATTAAAGAAACTAAGTTTTTAAAGGGAGCTTTACAACCTCTTCTCTTTTCACAAGTTTAGCTTTTAATTAATGCTTTAAAAGTCGCCATTTTTAATTGTTCTCAATTTTCCGCGAATTTCTTTTTAACTTGTTGTTAATTAATGTCGACATGTTTTAATTAATGCTTTAAAAGTTTTTAAATTGTTCTCAATTTTCCGCGAATTTATTTTTTAAATTGTTGCATTTACAAAAATAATTAATGTCGACATTTTTTAATTCTGATAGTCCATAAACCTTCCCTAGATGAGTTCATTTGTTTTGACGTTCATTAGATTAAAAAACCCGACGGAATGACAAGCCAAATCTATTTAGAGAAGGAGTTTTTAGGGCACTCGGATTCAAATATAAAAAAGGTCGAATGAATGCCATATTCTTGGTATCCTCTACAGTTTAAATTTTACACCTGAAAGAATGAGAAAATGAAGTTTTCAGGCTAGGGGATTTCCTTGAAATAAGAGGAAACATTCCCCCCCCCGGAAGTCCATAATTGTGTACAATTGAATAAATTAAATAATAAATTAAACTTATATTTTTACCAATGAATAATTTCCTTGATTTGTGAATATTTATCTATATTCGTATCAATATTAAACAGCTGATTATCCTTCTGGTGTTCAGATAAACTGGAATTTATCATCTAAATAAATTCTTAAATAATTTATAGTACAGGGTGTCCCACGAAACATGACAGATCGTCTTAGATCTGAGAAATAATATGCGGCATTCATTTGTCAGCCTATATGATTCGTGACACATATACTCCAAAACTCCCCTAGTCCTGGCATTTTCAAGATGTGGTCTGCCTTTTTTGTGCTTTTAATATTACCAAAGATATTAAGAATCTTGTTTAGATTTCAATTTATTTAATAAAATCTGAAATGTCGAATTCTGAACAAAACTCTTCAGCCCTCAAGTAATTTTGAAAGCACAAAAATGGCAGACCATATTTTGGACATGTTTTGTGTTTTTAAATTTGAGAGTTTTGCTTCTAATATAATTTTGATAAATAAATGCCAAAAATGTATTAATAGTTAAAAGACGAAATTCAAGTCGTCTCTCAACAGTCATGTTTCGTGGGACCAAGTACCTGAAAAAATTCAATTCTCAATAAAACTTGAAAGGACTGTAAACGATGTTTTGAATGAATCTCCATTTGTTGAGTGGCATGTCCGATTTACAACAGTTCCCTTTAAACCTTTGCTTAATCAGGAGGCATGGTAAACTACAGGATTTTAACACTTGTAAACCTAGTTAAAAACTACAAAGAACAAACACTTTTGAGCGACAGGGTGTCCCACGAAACTCGACAGTTGGTGAATAGTTTCGTGGGACACCTTCTATATAAACTCTTCTGCAGCAGGAGAATTTAATTTAATTTGTTTAATTTATTGTAATATTTATCAAAATCAATGCTGCAAACAGATCATGAAATAATTATTAAAAAAAAAAAGTGAAAATAAATTCAGCAAACTTGTTTTACCTTTATGATAGTGTTACAGGATGCTATGATGTCCTTCATGAATTCTCGCTGTTTTTGTGTAAACCTATATAGTTCATCATTTTATTATAATCAAGCTCTTGAAAATTGTTGTTATGTCTATTTTTATTGTAAATATTTACCTGTAAACAAAGTATTCTGGGGATGTTGCAACAGTTCCTAAAGATAAAATTACTTAATTTACATTGAATGCCCCACAATTCTTATCATTAAATGGACTGTAAAGGAAAAATGAAAGTATACTGGTCACGTGATACATACGTAGTCACGTGACTACGATACTGCAATGCCATTTTTGATATATATACATTTTTGTATAATTTTAACACAATTTTATATCAATTTCTCGAGACAGGAACATCAGATAGATGCCTTACATGTATCGTTTAACGCCTGAGATTTAGAGAATTTAGAAAGTAACTCCTTTTGTTACTTTTTATTGTCACATAGAAATACGTCTTAAACTTAGTCGTCGATTCACAAATGTTGAAATTTTAGTTTAATGTTGTTAGTTACCAATATTAGGATAGTAGACCGCTGGGGTTTTAAAGTCCGCTTTCAGCTTCTCTAGACTAGTTCTAGCCTGAAAAAAGTTTTTAAATCAAAGTATCTATATAACTACTTAAGTCCAATTTCACACTTTGCCTGCCCCCCCCCCTCCTTTACGTCCGACTGTGCATCCTGGATAGGAAATGTTCAGTGCACATCTTCAAACATTGCACATACTTCTGTCGGATTCGTTAAGACAGCTGCGACTTCCTCACCAAGCTAGCCTAGGAAATCACAACTAAAATGTTTAACGAATCGGATATTCATGTTTACTTTATAACCAGTGTTAGATACAACAAGGCGGCTAGGAATAACCAAGGCGGGATGCGTTCGGTTAATTTGAATTCCACCGCGTGTTGGTTTTACAATTCAGCTATCTTTAAACTTACGGAAATGTCTTTTTACTTTTTTTCTTTTGAACGCATTTGCCGACAAAAATTATAAAATTAGGTCACAGCTTATAACAATACTAAACTGCAAAAAGAATAAGATCACTTAATAAACAGCTTTCCTTTGTTAACATGTATCAGGTGTCTGTGCTGTGATTTTTACTATTATAAGCTTGTTATAAATCGGTAGTTAATCGTTTGGATCGTTTAAAACAAATCAATAAAACTTTTAAGATTTGTAAACTGTATTATGTTATAGTTTGCCTTTATTAAACTTTGCAATATCTTAAAAAAAACGATTCCAAAAAATCCTAAGAACACGTTTTTTTTGTGTCGTTTTTGGGTCGTATTAACATAAATCTTGTGTCAGGGTCAAATTTGACAAAATGTAAGATAGCAATTGTTAAGAATAAAAAATTTAGAAAACATTTGTTCTTATTACACTGTCACATTCGTCATATTTAAACCCAGACAGAAAATATTGGCAAAAACAAAAACTGACATGGTAAAATCTAAATTTACCTTTAAAATGGTGTCACCATCGATAGGAGAGGCTGTTAGCCCAAGAATTCTAAAAATATTTTTAGTGATCGCAATCGAATTAAATTTTTAAATTTTTGCAGGATTGATTTTTTAAGATTTAGGAAATCAATTTTTCGCGGACTTTTTGTGTCCCAAAAAACATGGGAATTCAGTGACGAATTCGATATAGTCTTTGTTATGAATTAGCAATGTAATACCTAATTTCAGAAGCCATTTTTATGTCTTCTAGAGTTTATTTTATGAAAATGGTAAAAGATGCGTAAGATGTGTGTATAATTGATGTCTCCACAAGATGAACAGTGAAGACGGACAAGTTTACTAAGTTTGTATACTGCAACTTTCGTGTTCTACTAAGTACAACAAGTATGCAGTCAAAATATAAACAAACAAAATGTGAACATAGCAGACGAAACTCTTACAGATTACTGCTTTTTCAGTAGGTATCACTATAAAAAAGTATGATTTGCGACGCCTGGTGCAAAAGTGTAACTTTGCAACTCTTCTGTATGGTGTTTTTTTTATATTTTTTGAAAATTTGTATTTTTGGTACTTCGATGGCCCACAAAAAAAAATCCACGAACCTTTTTTTCTTTCAAAATCAAAAGTTCAGAAAAACAAAAATGTGTAAATAAATTGTTTCTATCGAAATCTAAAATTTTAAAAAGATTGAACCACAGAATCTAGGAAAATTTGCAAAATTGTAATTAGAAAATTCGCAATTTTCAATTCTGGTATAATTTTACGGAAAAATTGTTTTTCAATGGTTCTTAAGGTTTCAACTGAACAGCGTATATTTAATACTTTAGAATATACTAAGAAAGGAAGTAGAGAATTTAAATAACTTTTCCTTAAAAATTAGCCAAGAACTGAAAATTGCGAATTTTCTTTTACAATTTTACCAATTATCTGTGATTCCGTGATTCAATCTTAATAAAATTTTAGATTTAGAGAGAAATAATATGAATGCACATTTTTGCTTTTCTGAACTTTTGATTTTGAGCGAAAAAAAGAGTCGCGGATTTTCTTTTCGGCCATTGCAGTACCAAAAAAAAAAATTTTTTAAAAATATTGAAAAAACACCATACAGGAGAGTTGAACAAAAAAGGTACAACTTTGTACCAGCACCGCAAATCACACTTTTTTTTTGACTCACCCTGTACTAAATCAAAGAATTATTTAAAAAGAAGATATCGAATTCGTCACTGAATTCCCATGTTTATTGGGACACCCTGTATCTCTTACAAACTTCAATAGAATTTTATAAAATTTGAAACAGTAAAGCATAAATATTTTTCAATTCTTTCTGAACAGAAGAAAATTTAGCGTTTTGAAAAATGACACTTAAATATTGTTAAGCCTAAACTACAAATCCTGTTAAAAAATCTAGTGTTGTGTAAAACAACGTTAATCCCGTTTTTTTACTCACCTGCACTTTTTATTAGTTGCAGTGACCTTTATCTGGACTTTACCTTGGTTTTGCATTTGTCGGCATAAGGTTGAGTTCGTCTAGTATTTTCTTGTAAACATGAGCTCCAGTACAATGGTGGGCTTCGTCAAACACTACACAACTATACAAGAAAACAACTATTAAAGAAAACAACTAAAGAAGAAGACAAATGTTAAATAAAACAATTATAAAAGAAAACATCTGAAGAAGATAACAACTGATGAAGAGAACAACTGAAGAAGAAAACAACTGAAGAAGAAAACAACTGAAGAAGAAAACAAATGAAGAAGAAAACAACTGAAGAAGAAAACAACTGAAGAAGAAAACATCTGAAGAAGAAAACAAATGAAGAAGAAAACAAATGAAGAAGAAAACAAATGAAGAAGAAAACAAATGAAGAAGAAAACAACTGAAGAAGAAAACAACTGAAGAAGATAACAACTGAAGAAGAAAACAACTGAAGAAGAAAACAACTAAAGAAGAAAACAAATTAAGAAGAAAACAACTGAAGAAGAAAACAACTGAAGAAGAAACGAACTGTAACGAGTAAGTACTTTTATTTCAAGTCAGGAAGAACTACAGTTACATTCACCAACCTGCTATTAACAATAATTTTTTTTCTTCTTGTGTGTCAATATTTTCGGAGAAAATGTGTGAAGAAAACCTAAACAGGTGTTGACTGAAAAATGTCAAAACAAAGGCTTATTTGAATGGAAGGGCCCAATAAACATGGGAATTAACATACTTAAAAACAGTAAATGCTACATACAGCGTTACCCACAAAGATTTCAAAGACGATTGTACGAAATTTACACTGTCTGTTTCTTTATATTCATAATTCCCTGCCATTGTAAACAGGTTTTGCTCTTTGTCAAAGCATTAAATAAACCCTTAAAAGACTTTATTTAAAGCAGAAGATTTAATTCAACCTAGAAAGTTTCCAGTCGTGTTTACAGTCTCATCCTTTGTGGGTAACCCAGTATATCCCTTAGTCTGGGATTTTAAAAATGTGGTCTTCCTGTTTTCTTCAAAAAGACTAAGATATTAATTTTTTGTCCGCGCTTCATTTACGAAGTATCACACAAAGTTTGAAATAAAAGAACTTTGATGAAAAAGTATCTTTAAAAAAAAATTTAGAATACCTAAACATTTTGAAGAATATTCTATCATTCTCGTAGAGAGCCCAGAACATTCCAGCAGTACACACCAGTACATCGTAGGAATCATTGTGTAATCCGTTTAACATCTTGGTCGTCTTATTCTCCCCTTCTATACCAACCACACGCAATCCAGTCTCTTTAGCTATCACCTGTACAGTGTAGAATTGTTTGCATACTGTTGTCTTCGTTATTTCTTTAAATTAATAAATGTCGCTCAGGATCAGGGGTGTATTCAAGAATCTGTACAGGGGGTGGGGCTTAATTTTTTTACTTTACAGGGGGAGGGGCTCAGCACCCGTTGGGGCGTTAAAACCCCATGAAATCAATAGATTTCTATATTCCAGGGGGGCTTAGCCCCCATAACCCCCCACCCTGAAAACGCCTCTGCTTAGGATCATTCATTTCAATATTCAGAGCACATTTTAAAAGTAAATTTCTTACAAAGAAATTGAGTCTTTGCCACAAACATAAGTTTTTGTAGCCATATGTCCTTGCATTCTGATAATGTTAACGTTTGATATTTCAAACTTTGAATATTTAATCTAACAGGGTTCTTAGTTTGAAATATCTAATGTCCACGATATAGGGTTCCAGAGATATGGGGAATTGAAAATCAGAGTTTGTGACAAAGACTCAATTCCTTTAAAAATCTCGAGAGAATTTCATGACAAAAGAAATAAATACTACAATCATTCCACTGCTTTAAGATAAGCCCTGTATGTTTTAATTCCCCACGTCCCAACTCTATCTTATCGTTCAGGATTCACAATAAAATTCTCATAGAAAACTGAAAAAATAATGGACTTTTTTTAAACTCATTAATTCCGCGATTTTTTACAAAATATCTAATCCTAATATCTTAATGCATTTTGTAACTTTACCTGCAACTGGAAGTTAAATCCCCCCTTGCACAATGAATCCTGATAAATCCCGATCCCATATTATTTAAAGGTGCAACTAGATTATCCTTCCCAAGTTCCCATCTTCTCCCCTTCAGCCTTCTATTCCTTACATATTCTCCCCCTCACCCATCCATCCCCCCATTCTCCCCCCTCAGCCCTCCAACCCTTAAATCTGTTCCTCCTCTCAGCTTGCCATTCCTTCAACCTTCCATCTTGAACATTTTTTAAAAAAAGTATTTGGGAAGAAGATTAAACAAAGTATAATGATATGGACTGTAATTGAAGTTCTATAATAGTAAGAATTTATTAAAATCTTTATTGACCCCCCGCCCCCCAATATAGCATAAAGTTGTTGATGCTCCTGATTTTATTTTATGAGAAAATTTGTTTTGAAAGATTTAATCTATATATTTGTACCTTAGCTTGTTGATAAACTAGTGGAATCCTGTCAACTATGAAGAGTCCCATCCTCTCAGGGTTAAGCAACATCATTCGTTTCAAGATTAGGCAGGCTATCAAGGTCTTCCCTGACCCTGTAGAGAGGACTGCCACCAGGTCCCTCTGCAGTCCCTCCAGGTAGCACTTGATCTAAACACAGTTGGAAACTTATAAAAACACTTCTGCTTAAACCAGATCCCTCTACGGTTCCCGCTAGGTAGCATTTAATCTTAACACAATTGAAAACTTATAAATACGGTACTATTTAAACCAGGTCCCTCTGCAGTCCCTCCAGGGAGCCCTTATTCTAAACAGTAAACATAGTTTAAAACTAATAAATGCGGTTCTTTTTCAACCAGGTTCATTAACGTAGCCTGTTCAGGTAGCACTGTTTTTTGAAAGATATGAATTTAATTTAAAATCCTGAAATGGTTTTTAAAAGCTCAGTAATTCACATTTCTCTACCTGATAATCGTGAGGAGATTTTTGTATAAGAAGATGGTTCCAGTTAAAGTCCTCTATCTGTCTGGGAAACCTGAGGTCTGGAAGTGTAGGGCACTTGTATTCAACTTCGTTAATAACACTGTTCTCCGTCTAGAAGATTTATTTGTTTAATCAAACATTAATTTAGTCTAAAACTAAAATAGTTTTATATTAATGTACTACTACACTGGTGTACTACTGTTCTACTGTACTACACTGATGTTCTACTGTACTACACTGATGTACTACTGAACTACTGAACTACTGAACGACTGTACGACTGTACGACTGAACGACTGAACGACTGAACGACTGAACGACTGTACGACTGTACGACTGTACGACTGTACGACTGTACGACTGTACGACTGTACGACTGTACGACTGTACGACTGTACGACTGAACTACTGAACTACTGAACTACTGAACTACTGAACTACTGAACTACTGTACTACTGTACTACTGTACTACTGTACTTCTGTACTACTGTACTACTGTACTACTGTACTACTGTACTACTGTACTACTGTACTACTGTACTACTGTACTTCTGTACTACTGTACTACTGTACTTCTGTACTTCTGTACTTCTGTACTTCTGTACTTCTGTACTTCTGTACTTCTGTACTTCTGTACTTCTGTACAACTGTACTACTAAAAAGTGTACTCCTGCTGTACTAATGTACTCCAGTACCAACTCTGATATAATCTCCGGTACTTCTGTAATAACCTGGAAAAAATCATGTTCCCCTCGTCTCTGTATAGATGAATATCTTTCTGTTGTCACCTCTGCATGCCACTGTATCAAACAGATAAATTATCAAATCAGAAAACACAAGATTTTTTAAATCAAAATAATTAATGCATGTTTCAATTACTTGAGACTTCAAAGTTTTATTTATTACAAATAAATACTTTGCAACATTTCAGTAAGAGAGCGTAAACACATTTTCCGGTTTAATTTAGTCGATGAACAATTATATCAATGTCTATTACTTGTCTTGGGGTTGAATTTTATCTAAACAAAGTTCCCTTGAAACTGTTGGTTCAATTGCACAATTAAAAATGTCAAATTCAAAAGATTTTATTCACACAAAGTCATGACTATTGAAATTCAATAATTTTCTTCTGCTCTGTTTTTTTTGTTTTGAAAAATTTTGATGATTTTCTTCTTTACCTGGTCTTTCTTCCTAAAGTAAATAAAAATATATTTTAGTTGTTTTCTAGTCTAATCTGTGTAAAGTTAAGCATAAAATCGATTTTAATGGTTTCTTCAATTTCTTATTCGTAATTTAGAGTGATCCTCCATATTAAGAGAGGCATGTCCGATTTACGACAGTACCCATGAAACCTAAATCTGAAAATGAAAAAAAAACGTCGTTTTTCTGGCTTGTTTGTTAACCATGTATGGCAATCTTCATAATCGTTGGACATAATTTAAAATTTTCAGAATGTGAGTCAAGGAAAACAAAAATATATATTTAAATTCCTAAGTTGTATTCCGAGAACCATCACTTTTTCTGTACCAAATGCAACAAGCGTAGTTCCACCAGGTCCAAATTTAGTCTAAATCAAAACAATAAAATAACATAAAATGTTCACACTAGACTGTTCACTTCAACGGTTTCAAAATACACATACTACCCCAATCTTTAAAATTATAAGCCTATTTTACCGCTAAATTGCTTGCTGTTTGCGATAAAATTGGCTTTCGGAGATATCGTGAATTTTTTAAGTATCGAGAAAATCCGCAAAATGCTATTAAGCCTCAGTTTTCTGAGAAAACACTGTAAATGTACACATTGTACAGTGTACACTAGAAAGAGTTTTGGAATTTCTGGGGCTCAGAAACACCTTTGTGTCGAAGGATGTGATCCTAATTTTTTAAAAAAAATAGGGTATTTATGTGTAGTTTGACTTACAAGACATTGCACTTTTTGAAGTTTAATGTGACAATCTTAAAACTTGGTAAGTAAGGTTCTCAAAAAACAATTGTTCACAAAAATTTCTAAAAGACGATTCAAACTTTATTAAAAGAGTTTCGTGCAATGAATTTTTGTAAGCACTGGAAAAATCTGATTAAGAGAAGTTAACATACTTTTTTCATCAAACAGACATTGTAGACAGATATTGATAATAAGATAAATAAGATAAATAAGATGCATATAAGAATGCTAGCAAAAATTTGAAATCTGACCTCCTTTCCTAAGTCCCAATTGCAGTGCTTGCAATTGACCTGAAACAGATAAGCCTTGAATAATAATTGCAAATTATGCTGAACATAAACCAACTTTATTTTATATACAGACCGCGTCAATGGGTTTAAATTACGATTTTGGGGACAAATCAGAAAATTTAAGAAGAAAGAATCGTTTTGAAAAATTTTATAAGGTTAATAGAAAATTTATTTTACAGATAATGCTAAATTTTTCGAGTATTATGTGCGTATTTTGGGGTTAAAGATTGGAGATAATCTAATATGATATGGGACGCTCTGTATATATATATCAGTGAAAACGCAACAATCTTCCTATATAATACTTTATTCATAAACACAGTGTTTCATGCTTATTATGCAATAATCAGTATACATATATAATATATATATATATATAATTCTGGAGTGCTCGGGGTTGTCCGTGAAATAAGAAAAAAAATCGGAAAAAAATCAATTTTTCAAAGAAAAAAATTGCTTTTCTTTAGCATGTACCACTCGGTTACTCATTGGTTCCCTCAAATATACATACATCACCAACTCGGGCTGAGGTCCTCCATTAAGAGTTTTAAAAGGGACATATATTTGTAAACACTACCCCTGGGAATCATGGCTGAGAATATGGATCCATTTTATCCGCAACATTTTAGCTCCATGGATCCGATTCCGCACAAAAGAAAAGTATTCTAAGCGGTACCACTGCTGAGAATGGGAATACAAATGCATGATACGTTGAAAATAAAGACCTGAGTTTTTAACTGTCTGGATCTATGCAAGGGTCGGATCCGGATCCAGAAATAATTTAAATAAACCAAAATAATGTGCAGGGTTCCTTTAACTTGCACTTTGCTTAATCAAATTACAAATGCATCATTTTATAAGGCTTAATTTTGCTTAATTTCTAAGCCTTAATCGGAAAACCCTGTGACTTTTGCACAATTTTTGTCTTCATTCGTCGAAGTCGACGACCCTGTGTTTACTAAAAACTTAAAAGTTATAACATTCAAATTCGATCGTTAGGACTTATTTGCATTTTTATTAAACGAGTATATTTTGCAAAAAGCATCATTTCAATGCATGAAGTTTTATCTACTTACATCTTTCCTCTTCTTCTTGGGATCTAAATCTCCAATCTTTAGACTTCGTTCTACAACCAGATCCCGGCATTCAGGAGCAAGGGTGAAGGTAACATCCTATTTTACAAATTAAGATTTAAAATGTCCCAAAGTCAACAGTTTTCTAAGAAATCAAGCCTTGATCTCTATCTTTGGCAGATTGATTAAATTCCTCTACAATATTCCTCCTTCCCCCTTACTACTTACTACATAGGAAGCAACTCTACTATAATCCCTCATTAAATCCTAAAAACGCACTGGCAAATTCTTACCTTAACTCCCTTAATGAGGAAGACGACCTCCTCCAGCTCTGCCAACTGGACCTTGCACCCTGAGCAATCCATCCTAATCATGGTGAATTTAGTACAAGCTCTAATAATATATAGATAAATCTATAAAAATAATTTTCAAATTAAACAGTTTCAAGGGTCAATCAAGTTTCAGGATCAAAATTATCAACAAAAAGGAACCAACTTCGGAAATTTTGCTTTGTAAAAGAAAATATTATAAAAAATTTTAAAAATATGACTTATTCTATATTTTCACAGGACAGAAAATGGATCTAAAACGCTGCTTATCATTATTCAATTCAATAAAAAAACGAAAACTATTCTTATATCTGGGTTATCTGTATTGCAATAAATAAAATAGGAAAAATAAAATAGAGAAAAGTACATACCCCTGCCTGAATCTTTTAGACCTGGGACCACCTAAAATCATTTTTAAATTAAGTGATATTCTAAATAAAAATTTTTAAATAAAAACACTGCTGAATTTAAACAAAACAAAAAATATGTTGTAACCCAAAATTTGCCGACAAAAATAGACAGAACTGCGAAATTTTCATGTTGAGAATTAAAATATTTTCGAAAATTCTCAAACTTTAGTAATTTAAAGCACAGTTTTGTTTTATAAATAGAAAGCAAGCAGGCCTAGTTATTTTATATGATACTAGCTGAAGTGCCTGGCGTTGCCAGTGGAATTTTAAAAAAATCGGATTTAAAAAGAAAAAACTCTTGAAAAATTCTTATGTTAACTCCAGTGTACCCATGGGTTTCCTCAAAAAAAAATTCAGCCTATTAGGTCCAGTCGCTTGGCCAGTTGTAGCTAACATGTGTATAAATATACTATCCTTCTTATATAATAAAACAAGACATTCGTTTATATGCTACAGCCGGCAAAACAGCTGGACCGATTGCGCTGAAATTTTTTGTGGACACTCATGGGTGGCCGGGAATGTTATAGGCTAAAAAATATTCGACATTTTTTATCAATATTTTTTCCACGGGCAATAATATATACTAGCTGAAATATGAGCGAAGAGCTAGAGTTTTTAAACTTCGTATTTTATTCAAAAAGAATTTTACTTATATTTTTTAACAAATTGAGTATTTTTTATTTTCATATAATATACAAATTAGCAATTGATGCATGTTTAAAATGCAGATAGTCATTTTTTAAAACATTCTTGTTTTCTGTCTACCCCTGTTCACTTTATTTAACTGTGTTGTATTATACTACGGCGATAATTTCAGTATAATGAAGACGACTTTTCATTTTAAGTTTTAATGTTAACAAGCTTTTCTCGAATTACATGAGAACATTTAAAATTCGGTGATGGTGATGGACCAAACTTCTGCAGGGTAAAAAACGTAGTTGTTAGTTCCACATTTATTGAAAATATATTTGATCCTCGTCAGTTCTAACGATATAAGAACCATTAAAATCGATAAAAAAAAATTTAAATTTTTCTAAAAAAATCACAAGGAAATTTGCAAATATTCACTTAAAAAAAATGTTTTATGAAAATTATTATTCCTTGAGAAATTGTTTCTGCCACAAAGATTAAAAACAAACTGTTTAGATGTATGTGTAATGTGTGTAGAGTAGTGGTGGGCGTATTTAAACCATTTAAAGAAGCTAAACCCTTTAAAGAAGCTTAAGCTTTAAGAGAAGCTTTTTAATTTGACACCCTCTCTTTGTTTCCTTGCTTTTCTGTATCAATGCTTTTTAAAAGCTAGATATAAATCAAATTTGAAATAGAAAATCGTCTTCACTATAATGCTTCATTTTATATATAATTATATACACACAAACATACATCCATATATGATTTTATAAGACAATTATTCACTTTATTTTTATTTGTTTTTAGACAAAATATATTTTTAATTTTTAAATTATTCTACATTTTTTATATATTTTCTTCTTTAATTTTTCAACAAACATGTTTTTTTCATAAGAAAAATAAACCGAAATTTTGTTTTTGATTCAAATTGGGAAGATCAAAAATATTTACCAACACCAAAAAAATGCGGAAATGAATCGTAAAAAAGGAAACCGACAAAAAAACTGAAAATTTATAACTTTTTCTGAAAACCGGAAACGGATCACAAATTTGGGGAAACGGATTGAAAAAAAAACAGGAAACCGACAAACAAATTGAAAATTTTTAACTTTTTCTGAAACCGTAAACGGACCCAAAAAATGCGGAAACCAATCCAAAAAACGGGAAACGAATCAAATGTATGTATGCATATAGCGGAAATGGATCAAAAATATTCAGAAATCCGGGTCCGTCCTAAATTAGTCTTTATTTAGGGTTAGGTAAGATTCAAACACTTTCTGGGCCGAGCGCTGCGGCTCGGACAGGCTAGGGGGCCGAGCGCTGCGGCCACGGCCCACGGGTTAGGTTAAGTTAAGACACTTTCTGGGCCGAGCGCTGTGGCTATGACAGGCTAGGGGGCCGAGCGAGCTGCGGCCACATGTGTTGAAATTAAGATCCATGTACAAAATTGATAGGAGGGGGGTGGGTCCAAAAATCGTTCTCTAGAAAATTACCGGAAATCCCTCAACATCTTCTCAGTTTTTCAAGGATTTCTGATAATTCTGGAAAGAAAACTGATCAAAAGTCACTTTTTGGTCCGTTTCCGTGTTGAGACGTTTCCATTTTCCATAGCACACATGAAATGTGATTTTCTTCCAAAATCTACCAATATAAAGACCTGACACTTGGACGATAAGCAACAGACTAAAGCTGAACTGATAATTTCCTAAATATATCACTTTGCAGTTCCCACTGATACTTATCTTGTATTAATATTACGTAGCACATGGAAGGATTAGAGCATGATTCATGTTTTCAGTCAGACTCAGATACAGTTGTCAGTTGGATTCAATGGACCGGACCGACCTTCTCTCTCCAATCAGGACTACACATTTCACATTTGTCTGGCTATATGACACTTGACTTTTAAATACATTATATAAAAATATGCAAAATTTAATAATTAAATAAAATTAAATTCTGTGAAATTATCTTTCCTATTATATTAAAAGAAGTTTGGAGAGTGACAATATCTATCCCTGCTACGGTGAAACACCGTCAACTCCCCCTCCCCTTTTCCTCCCCCACCCCATGCAACCAAGGAAACATAAGCTGCATATAATTTTAGAAATATGTTTTATGTTTTGTAAATTGCTTAAGTTAACAATTCTTTTAAAAATTAACAAGAAATATTTTATTTTTATTGTTAACGCCCATCAAGGCCATGTCGTGTAAGGCACGGAACACGGTGTTATACCGTGAGAGTAAGACTGCAAATATTGACATAGGATTATACTAAAATGAGTTATGACTTGAAAACTGTAACCTAATACTTTACCTGCAGCATCCAGGGACTTCCGTTTCAAGGAGTTCTGTGTGCCTGCCACTAACAAGAAATTCAGGACCAAAAATCAAGGTTTGCTAATAGTCGAGACCAAAGATCAAGGTTTGCCAAATGTCGAGACCAAAGATCAACCAAGGTTTGCCAAGTTGAAACCAAAGGCCAATCAAGGTTTGCCAAAAGATTGAGTGGAAAAGAAATCTAAGCAAAAACAATAATTTAATAAAATATGTTAAAATATGTCTCTAAAAATCCCTGGTTCTTCCATGCTTCTCTTTCTAGCTGTCTGGACCTCTCGTGAGTCCTAATATTTGCTTGATGAAACGAAAAACTAAAATTAAAAGGGAAAGTTCGCTATATTGAAAGGAGGACATCATATTGTTAAATAAACTCTATTTGATGTTTCTATAAAGATAAAAAGATATAAAACCAATATGTCTGATATCGAGAATGAAACAAAATTAAACCTAAAAAAATTCCACTTTCGCCCTTTAATTTTATACCAACTGTTTGGGATTAAAAACAATTATTCTCTCATCCATACATTTATTAGTATTCTGATCTGAGCCGCTATTTAAAGCCTAGTCTCGAGGTTTAAATCCCTTTGTCTCAACTCTTAACGTTAAAAGTTCGACACAACTTGGTGAGTTTTGTCGAAGCGATTGGTTTTAAATTATAGAATCGCAATCAACTCGAAGAAAATTAGTCTTAATATATTTCAAGCAATTAGCTTTGAGACAAATTTTACAGGAATTATCTAAATCGTGTGTTTTTGTGAAAGAGAGAACTCAAGAGTTGAAAATGTTTGTTCGAGTTTGTGTTTGAGAGGTAGTTAATATTTAACAATAATTAAGTCGGCTCTAAAATTCCTGGTCACTAATTACTTTTTAAAGAAAATTAGTTAATAAAAAGTAAGCTGATGAAGTTGTCAGTAGATACATAATGTACAAGGGCGGACAATAGTAATGTTCCTTAGTCTTACTCATTAATAAAAGTTGTAAAATTGTTCCTAATTAACAGTTATTTCTTTTTGTACTTAACTTGCTTTAAATTCCCTTTATTGAAGATTGTTCCCAATTCATATACGTGTTCAATATGAATGACGTTTTTTCGTCATATGTATGTTTTCTCTTTATTTTCCTTCCTTGTTACTTGCACAATGTTCCTATTTTTGTTCCTATTCCTAACACTGTGTCCCTAAGCCCTAAATCCTTTATTTTTCAGAATTTTTATGGTATCTGAAAAATCTACCCCCCCCCCCTCGCTGAAATACTATGTCCTCCCCTGATAATGTACGTTTTACCTTTACTTCAGATCTGCTGCGAATTTTCACATCGTCGATCTATTAATATTCGGTTCTGAAAAAAAATATTTGATTTGTATTATTTGTATTAAGAATGCGACTGCAATAAGCTAAATTATTAACGAGTGGGAAATTAAGATTTATATATAATTATTAGCTTAGGAACCCAGCTTTACCTGGAAAATAAGTTTCCTTTATAAGAGTCAACCTATTTAACTCAGACTTAAAGCTAAGAACATTTCTACCGAGTTACCAATTAAAATTTAACACAAATCGGTTTAAGGGGTTCCTGAGTTATGATCAGACATACAAACAGATTACTACTTAATATATATATGGATAATAATTGTGATAAAATAAGATGTTTTCAGGGGTAATATATTTTAGACAGTATATAAATAAAGTCTTGTTTGAATGTGTAAGAACTACTCACATGACGACTTTGAGTTTTTTTAAATGCATTAATTATGCAACTGTTTATTCGGAAATGCTATAACTACTATGACCGGAGGGTATTTTAAAAACAAAATTTAAAACAGCCCAAAACTTTTGAAATTCATTGAGCTATTATACAGATGCAAAGTTTAAGAATATTTTTAAAAGCACATAAAAAAGACGAAAAGAAAATAAATTTTCAAAATATTTCGATATGGATATTAAAAGATACGTCTCAAGCCGCTGAATACAAAATAAATGAAATTTTTGATTATTAAACAGTTCAATTTATGGACCAAAAACGAGTTTTTATGGTACTAAAATTTTCAATACAAAAACCTTTTTTTTTGTTTTTAATTGGTTTAATAATTAAAAAACCCATTTTAACTGAACTTTTCTGAATTTAGTGTCTTCAGATGGATCTTCTGATAAGGGATCAAAAGATCAAAATATTTTTTTTAAGTCTTCTTCAAAGGATTTAAAATCCGATCAACTTTGACAACTAGGTCGCTAATAAAAAAGCAAATAAATCAACCAACCCTAGACTGTTTATCTGTATTAAAAGTATATAAAAATGTAATATAAATAACAAATTCATTCATTCATTCATTCATATCTTTATTCAACTACAAAGCACAAGATAATACAAATAAAAAATCACAATTTACTATGTAGTTTGGACCCGCCTAACCAGAGTTGGTTGTTTTGATTGGTTGTCCCATTATAAGAGTTTCCTCTTTTTTTGGGTCCGTTTCCGGTTTTCTAAAAAAGTTTTAAATTCTCAGTTTGTTGATCGGTTTCCTTTTTTTTTGGGTCCGTTTCCTCATTTTTTGGGTTCGTTTCCGGTTTTCAAAAAAGTTTCAAATTCTCAGTTTTTTGATCGGTTTCCTCTTTTATTGGGTCTGTTTCCTCATTTTTTTGGTCAGTTTCCGGTTTTCATAAAAAGTTTTAAATTCTCAGTTTGTTGATCGGTTTCCTCTTTTTTTGGGGCCGTTTCCTCATTTTTTGGGTCCGTTTCCGGTTTTCAAAAAAAGTTTTAAATTCTCAGTTTGTTGATCGGTTTCCCATTTTTTTAGGTCTGTTTCCGGTTTTCAAAAAAGAATTTTAAAATTTTATTCTGTTAGTAGGTTTCCTCTTTATTTGGGCCAGTTTCCTGTTTTTTAAAAATGTTAATATCCCAGTTTTATTGGTTTGTACCCTTTTTTGATCGGTTCCCTCATTTATTGGGTCAGTTTCCGGTTTTCAGAAAAAAATTCATTATTTTCGAATTTCAATTAATTTTCATTAGTATCTGGTTTAAAATAAAATATTACGGTTTTGGCTTTAATTGGAGTTTTCATCTCCTTCTGGGTCAAAACTGTTTCTCAGAACAGTGTATAGTGTACGATATATAAAATGTACCTTTTACTTTTAATACTCGACCTGTCGAAAGGTAAAAAATCTTCACTTACAAATTTAAATGTCAAATGCATTTTGGCGCTTCGCGCCTATCGTTTGCAACTTTTAACTGCGAATCTATCTGTGAGCAATGGGCATCTTTTCTATTACAATATATGTATAAAAATAACAAAAATAAATTTTTGGGCCCGACCGGTTCAGCCGTTTTGACGTTTATTAGATACAAACAGACAGACAGACAGAGCAGCAAAGTATATATATATAGATATGAGGACACATTGAATAATTGTGTACACTGTACATACTGTACATACTGTGCAGAGTGTAAAAGCTAGCGGCAAACATACCTGATATTCATCAACAATCATATTTCCTGCATTAAAACATAGATTATCAGAAGATTTAAAACATAATATCAACAGGGTTGGTTCTGAATTAAAAAAATCGGATGGAAATAAAGCAGGAGTGTGTAATGTATATCTTTAAGAATTTATTTACCCTTTCCACTTTAATGATCTTGGGAAAAAGTAAAAAATTATACATCAAAAAGCAAGTGTTTTCATCCTTTTACCCAAAACTTTATTTATTTTCCAATAAAAATCATTTTCCCCATTTCAATAAATAAAGAAAATTTAACAAAGATGGGCAGTGTGGGAGGGGCGGGAGGGGGGAGATAAAATTTCCAAAACTTTCACTTAACTTTATTAATTATTAGCTGATATTAAATGCCAACTGATCAATGCTCACTACTCACGCTTAAAATGTTACAATTTTTCTAAATAAATAAATTCTCTAATCTGATCTGCAGGTCGGATATAGAATAATCTGATCTGGAGGTCGGATATTGAATAATCTGATCTGGAGGTCGGATATAGAATAATGTGATCTGGAGGTCGGATATAGAATAATCTGATCTGGAGGTCGGATATAGAATAATCTGATCTGGAGGTCGGATATAGAATAATCTGATCTGGAGGTCGGATATAGAATTATCGAGGCAGGTTAATGCAAAACAGAAGAAAACTGGAGACTTGAAGTGCGGTCTGAGAGGACACTCGGCACCTTCTCCATACGCCGTCTAATATTCAACCAATCTTAAGGAAATTAAAAAAGCAAAGCTTGTTAACGCCCATCAAGGCCATGTCGTGTAAGGCACACTCTCATCAACGCTTTAAGTAATAATAGCAAAGAAACTTTCTAAAGTGGTAATCTCTGTTTGTTTGATGTCAGATCATTCACGGGAACCGCTTGACCGATTTGCCTCAACTTTTGATTGGGAAACTCGGTAACCACTGAAATCTTCTTAGCAAATTAGATAGGTTAACTTGTATAAAGAAAGTTTAGCTAGTAGGCAAAGGTGGGTGTCCGAGCTGTTAATAAATAAGAATATTTGAATAAGATGGTTTCCTGTCGGTTGGTTGTATATGCGTTAAACTTCCTTTTCTTCTAGAATCAGTAAACTGTTTTTCTATCACCTACAATAAGTTCCGTAATAAAATTATTTAAATTACAAGAAATTTTCATTTTAAAGAGATGTTTTTACGTTGGATAGATTTAAAGAAAAGAATTAAATTAATGAAGATGCATAAAGATTATTTTTAAAGAAAGATTGTAGCAAATAATTGACGAAGAAGAAATATGAAGATAGTTTGAAGTTAAATCAGTAAAGTGTTGAGAAAATAAAATAGGAGGAGTGTTGAGAACTTGAAATAGAAAGAGTGTTGAGAACTTGAAATAGAAAGAGTGTTGAGAAGATGAAATAGGAAGAGTGTTGAGAAGATGAAATAGGAAGAGTGTTGAGAACTTGAAATAGAAAGAGTGTTGAGAAGATAAAATATGAAGAGTGTTGAGAAGATGAAATAGGAAGAGTGTTGAGAAGATGAAACAGGAAGAGTGTTGAGAAGATGAAATTGGAAGAGAGTTGAGAAGATGAAATAGAAAGAGTTTTAAAAAGATAAAATAGGAAGAATGTTGAGAACTTGAAATAGGAAGAATTTTGAGAACATGAAATAGTGAAATAGAAAGAGTGTTGAGAACATGAAATAGGAAGAGTGTCGAGAAAATGAAATAGAAAGAATGTTAAGATGAAAAAGGAAAACTGCTAAGAAGATGAAATAGGGTGTTTGTTTAGAAAAAGGAATAATGAAGAAAATATAGTTGGATTGAGTTTGAGTTCAAATAGGAAGAGTTAAAAAATACAATTTAAAAAATCAAATCGAACCTTATCGAAAAACCTTGTAAGTTTAGCAGCAGAGCTTGTTCCTGCAGCAAGTCCACTGTATAAACAATCTTATCTCAGCTCGAATTAAAAACATATTTTATCTTATCTTGAACTTTAAAACAATAATTTGCATAAAAACAGATTCAATGAATCATAACAATTTCAAATAACAAATACAAAATTACAGCGCTGAAGCCACGTTGAATTAGATTTGGTTTTTCGCGGAAATTTAAGTTACTCTGACATAACAATTCTAAATTATTCTGTTATCAAAGAACCGATGGTTTGGATATTTTAGTTTTTATTTAATGAAAAATTTCCACAGCTCTTTATGTTAATGTTAATGTTGAAATAAATGAAAAATTAAAAAATTGGAATAAAGTTTTAAAAAATACTCTAATCATAAATATATTTAGAGCTAATTTATATCTAACACTTCTTTAAAAAGGCAAAAAATATTTTTATCCAAAAAATGTAAAAGTGGTGCAAAAGCTAATATTGTTCCTTGGATCTCCAGTGTTAAGATGAATTTCTTCAACTCCGAATTCCTCCGCAATATCAGATCTGAACAATAATAAAAAAAATGACAAAATGAGACGCTTAGAAATGGAATTTTGTTAAATTAAAAGTTCCCCATTTGTCTGTGAAGCGATGTTAACCTGTAATTGTGGCTTTTCCGGTAAGTAACTGGTGAATTTCTACAGAAGAGAAAAGCAATACACTGGACGAGGTTTTGTATGTTTCAAATAAAATTGAAAGAAAGAATACGAAATCATTCTTAGACAAGGAGTTTAAAAAGTTACGTTAATTTAGGCTTTCAGTCCCTTGAGGATAAAATAATTCTCCCCAAACTTTTGATTTGCAAACTTGTCTTTTACCTTTTCTGATGAGTTGGGAGACCACGTTTTTCTTGAGCAGAATCCATTTTAGTTCCCATCACTAGTAGAGGGATAGCAACCTTAAATATATATATATGTAATTTCTATCACTCGTAGAAGGATAGCAACTTTAAATATATATATATATGTAATTTCTATCACTAGTAGAGGGATAGCAACCTTAAATATATATATATGTAATTTCTATCACTAGTAGAGGAATAGCAACCTTAAATATATATATATATGTAATTTCTATCACTAGTAGAGGGATAGCAACCTTAAATATATATATATGTAATTTCTATCACTAGTAGAGGGATAGCAACCTTAAATATATATATATATGTAATTTCTATCACTAGTAGAGGGATAGCAACCTTAAATATATATATATATGTAATTTCTATCACTAGTAGAGATATAGAAACCTGAAATATATATAATATGTACATATTTATATATATTCATTATATAAATACAACTGTTCAAATGACAGGTCGTTTTCAAAATAAAATCATCACTCAGGACCAATTTTTTTAAAACGAGGTTAAAATTTCGTTCACTACCTCTCCGATATCCGTCCCTGATATATTTCCATCCTCCCAGGCGGCGGCTGTTCCTCCGCCTCCTCCGCCTCGGGATCCAAATTTGCCGGATCCAGACTCACATCTTGTCACCTTTCATATTATTGTATTAGAGGGACTGTAGATAAACTTCAGTCGACCCTTCACTTAAATCTCTATCTGAGTAACAATGAAAAAGATATCTTTGTTTCTTTATCTTAAAAAGTGTTGATTTCTAAAGATTTCCTTCGTTTTCTAATGTCTCTGCACCAAGAAATCCATCAGTTACTTTGGTGGAGAAACCACAATTTAAAATAATTAATTGATGAGCTGAAATTAGGACAAAGGTTAAGAGGTACAGTTTTGAATTGGACAGTCCCCCATAATAAGGTTTAGAATTAAAAGCAAATTAACTTAAGAAGTTTAATAATTTTCAATGTTTTAAAAACTCTTTTCATGTCTAACATTTAAATGGTTTAAACTGTAGGGGAGGAGGGAAGAACCGTCCATTGGAAAGAATCATTAAAGGACAATTATCATATATTTTCAAATAGGTAAAGAGCCGCCATTAAATAGCAAAAATATTAAAAAATTCAATTGGCAGACTTTTATAATAACTTGGATTTTTATAGTTAATACATACCTCAGCTAGCCAACGGTTCAGGTTCAAACAGGATTTCCGGTTTGAGAGATCATGTACCAGGATTATACCATGTACTGCAAATATATTTCCGGTTTAAGAGATTATGTACCAGGATTATATCATGTACTGCAAATATATTTCCGGTTTAAGAGATCATGTACCAGGATTATACCATGTACTGCAAATATATTTCCGGTTTAAGGAATCATGTACCAGGATTATACCATGTACTGCAAATATATTTCCGGTTTAAGAGATTATGTACCAGGATTATATCATGTACTGCAAATATATTTCCAGGATTATACCATGTACTGCAAATATATTTCCGGTTTAAGGAATCATGTACCAGGATTATACCATGTACTGCAAATATATTTCCGGTTTAAGAGTTCTCTCATTGATAGCGCTTAAAAATTTCCGGCTTCTGATTGACTTTTCGGTTTTAGCAAACAACACTCTGATTGGTTGAATTTTAAACATCTTCAGATTGACAAAAAAGAGGAGATCTACCATTGACCTCGATATCCACAATACAAGAGTTTCCATCTTTGAATTCATTTTCTAAACAGTTAAAGTAGATCCTTACCTACATTATAAAATACATGCCGCGTATTTCTATGCGCATGACTGCCCCCAATATCCCAAAGTTCAATGCAGTACGTTTTCTATTTATCAACATATTATCACGTCACGAAAATATAAAACAACTAGCTTTGGAACCCAGCTTTGCCTTGAAATTTGAGGCAAATCGGTTAAGGGGTTCAAAAGTTATGATCGGACACACAACAAACATGCAGAGATACTACTTTAAATAGTTAGATGAGCTTATTAACATGGGAATTGAGCCACAATATTAATTTCGTTTATAATTTCAAAAAATAAAAAAGAATACAGTTTGTATGACATTATAGACATGCGGCACCTGGGCTTTCCAAAATGTGACCAGATTGTCGCTGAAACGAAAGGAGACATTGGAAGTTAGATAATTTTGGTTATATTTATGGTAATATTGGTTCTTAGCTTGGTATAAAATGTCTAAATTGGATTGAATATTTTAGAGAAAGTATATAATTTCTAGGCAACGCCGGGTAACCAACCTAGTCCTTATATAAACCAGTATTTTGTGTTTGTTTGTCTGTCCGATCATTAATAACTCATTTGTATCAAATTTTGATTGGGGAACTTGGTAAAACCATGGAAATGTTCGTAGCTTGGATTTTAAAATGTTAAAATCTATAGGTAAAGCAGGGTTCCCAGTACAAAGTTTTCAATATCTCATTCATATTTTAGGACCACATTATTGAAATCCTTGAACTGAGGAAATATGCTGTGCATTGTTTTGAGTTAAGTTAAGATAAATCTTCCTCATAGGAAATAAAACATTTTGTGGAACCATTTTGATTGGCGACCAGGAGAGTATTTTCTTACTCCCCCCCCCCCCTCAAGGGGAGAAAAGAATTTAGCCCGGGGAAGAAAATTCAAGAAAAAAGAGAGAGGAGAGAAAAGAAAAGAAAAAAAGAAAAAGGAAAAAAGAAAAAAAAATTTCCCTACGGGAAAGGAAATTCTGGACAATGATGACAGAAAGGGGGGGAAACAATTAAGCTTCTAGTAAGAATATACTTCCCTGTGGGCGACGCCAGAACGTCAACCTCTATTTCAGTAAATGATGAGTTGTCCTTAAATGATAATAATATTCACAATAATGAAAACAATAATATGAATGACTAATTTGAATTTTTTTAGCCTATGTTACAATAGGTTTCCTCAAAAAATTTCTACCCATTCGGTCCAGCTGATTGGCCAGCTATATCTACCATGTGTTATATATATATATATATATATGTATATGAGCGAAGAACTTTATTATATCGAATAGATAATAATAATAATATTCATGATAAATTCCTGATTGACAGTTCCCTCCAGGTATTCATGAAGTTTAACCTCAACAGAACATCCAACTGTCCAGCCTTAATTTAGAGGTAGTCAGTTCAAGTTAGTTTAAAACTACAATACAGATGGAGTTAGTTTAAATCTACAATACAGGGGGAGTTAGTCTAAAACTACAATACAGGGGGAGTTAGTTTAAAACTACAATACAGGTTAAGTTAGTTTAAAACTACAATACAGGTGAAGTTAGTTTAAAACTACAATACAGGTGGAGTTAGTTTAAAACTACAATACAGGTAGTTTAAAACTACAATACAGGGGAGTTAGTTTAAAACTACAATACAGGGGGAGTTAGTTTAAAACTACAATACAGGTGGAGTTAGTTTAAAACTACAATACAGGTGAAGTTAGTTCAAAACTACAATACAGGTGAAGTTAGTTTAAAATTACAATACAGGGGGAGTTAGTTTAAAACTACAATACAGGGTGAGTTAGTTTAAAACTACAATACAGGTGAAGTTAGTTCAAAACTACAATACAGGTGAAGTTAGTTTAAAACTACAATACAGGGGGAGTTAGTTTAAAACTACAATACAGGTGGAGTTAGTTTAAAACTACAATACAGGGAGGGAGTTAGTTTAAAACTACAATACAGGGGAGTTAGTTTAACAAAACAGAGGAGGTAGATTCAACACTACAGTAAACGGGGATATAGTTCAGAACTAAAATACAGGGGGATACGTTAAAACTTCAACAACAAGGAGTTGGCTCAACACTACAATATAAGGGGAGCTATTTCATACAAAAATAGAAGGGGAGTTAATTCATACAAAGTTACAAGAAGAGTTAGTTTAAAACTTATAGCTGCTCCATGATAAAGTTGAGAAGCTACCTGAATTATTTAAAGCTGCTCCATAATAAGGTTGGGAAGTTACCTTGATTATTTAGACCTGCTCTATAATAAGGTTGAGAAGCTACCTGGATTATTAGAAGCTGCTCCATAATAAGGTTGGGAAGTTACCTTGATTATTTAGAGCTGCCACATGATAAGGTTGAGAGGCTACCTGGATTATTTAGAGCTGCTCCATAATAAGATTGGGAAGTTACCTGGATTATTTAGAGCTGCCCCATGATAAGGTTGAGAAGCTACCTGGATTATTTAGAGCTGCTCCATAATAAGGTTGGGAAGTTACCTGGATTATTTAGAGCTACTCAAAAATAAGGTTGGGAAGTTACCTGGATTATTTAGAGCTGCTCCATGATAAGGTTGAGAAGCTACCTGGATTTCTTTAAAGCTGCTCCATAATAAGGTTGGGAAGTTACCTGGATTATTTAGAGCTTCTACTTGAATTAATCAAAGCTGCTTCATGGAATGGTTTGGAAACTACCTGGATTACCTGGATTTTTAAAAGCGGCTACATAATATGGTTGGGAAGCTACCTGGATTATTCAAAGCTGCTCCGTGACAGATTAGGTTGGTAAGAGCAGTTTTTCCGACACCACTGTCCCCAACAACTAATTTGTTAAATTCCATAAATAAAAATAAGGTGAGTATGATAAAAAGAAAGTAGATGACGGTAATCATATATTCGAGGAATTATGGAAAATAATTTATGCTGGGTTTGTTAAATTTTACAACGGCATAGAACTCCATGTTTTTCTCGATTAAAATTGTATGCCAACCCTACCAGGGATCTGGAGTGTACACTTGTATGCAGTGTGAACTCATTGATAAAACTTCAAACATTTCTCAGAAAATCCCAAGTATTTCTTGTCTGATTCAGTATATTTTAATTCAAATAAAAACATTTGTTCTCCCGGAAAACAAGTAATTTTATTTCTAAAAATATTAGCAGATTGTATGCAAAGTTTACTGTGGATAAATAAAGATAACTCGTCATCTTTGATCCTATATTCAAAGCGTACCGTTAAAAAGCATGCCACTCTAAACTTGAAGAGACTCTTAAAATTACGTCTACATGTCCCTTTATCGTTTCTTCGCGGGGGGATATATTCAATTTTTAATCGTTAATAATCTCAAAGGATTCGACCAACTTTAAACTATAGAAAAAAAGACAATAATCTAAAATATGTAAAAATGAATGAATCAAAAATCAGATATTGGCAAAACAAAAGTTATGGTTATTTTAATTAAGTTTATCCAGCAAGTTAGATTCATGAAAATTCGCAAATTCAACCCGACAAACATTAGATAGAAGATAGTTTCTGACCTAAAACTCGAACTCTTTCAAGATCACTCATCTCATTATTTTCTTATTTTCTCTGAAACATACATAAATGTATAATTTCATTAAAATAAAAAATTTCTTGCCGACCATCACAGTATTGTTTCGAAATTGAAATTTATTTTTTATTTACAATATTTTATCACAAGAATTTATTTTAAACATTTTGGTAACTATTTATCTGACAATACTAAAAATAAAATTTTTAATAACTTTTTTACGTTTCCATAATGCTATCGAATTACTGTCACTTGCGTCCTTTCTTTTAATTGTTCTTCCTTTTAATTAAGAAAATATGTAATAAAAAGAGAGTAAGACGACATTAATCATTCCATTAATTTTCTGGTGACAACTGCCAATCAAAACTTCTCTTGACGTTGTTTTAAATATTTCAAAATACTGATTGATCATAACATAGCCAAGATTTTATTTATTTTAGTAAACTGGACTTTAGACTAAAACCACGCTTTGATGTAGCAAGGCGTAAATATGACTCTTTTTGTCTTTTTAAAGATCTTCAACTGTGCTGAGCTTGCAACCTGGCTTTCTTCTGAAGTTTCTTGACTTCCTCTTTAACCTTTAGCTTCATGAGATCGAGGCAGGCGAGGGCATCTTCTTTGGAGTCGTGTCCACCCTCTAAAATTGCGCAAAATATTAAATATAAAACATTTGTTGTTAAATGGGGGGAAAGGGACATTCTTGGTACTCATGCAAATCAATATTATGGATTTTACACACAGCTAGCAGGTCAAAAGAAAACTTTAAATCCAAAATTGTAGGCTGGTGTCACCTCTGGTTGCTAAGTTATGGCCTACTAAAGTTCCGGCCTCGAGGCAATTTGCGGGCTGACCTCGCATGATTTAAGTTGCAATAACTTTTTTGCTGGTTAAGATATCAAGCTAATTAAGGCGCCATTTTTTTCACTTGTTACTTTAAGATTAAATTTTATTAACAGATTTTTTTATTTTACTTATTGCTTTGCTGATAATTTTAATTTATATTTTTCGACCTGGATTTTTCGATAAGGCCATCCTCCAATTTTCACAAAAATTTTTAAGAGATTCCCTTTAATATAATGTTTGATAGAGCTAGAACTTTAAAACCATAATTTTAGTACATTTTTAGAAAATATCCTACTACAGTCGTCTTTTTTGTAAGAAAAATTGTCTGTCTTGTTAGAAAAGTTCGCTTAGCAGCAGCAAATTTTCAAAATACGTCCTAAACCTAAGGTTTTAAAGCTCTAGCTCTAACAGCAAGGAAATGCCAAAACATTATTCACATTATAGGGAATCTCTAAAAAACAAGTTTTGCGGGAATTGGAGACTGGCCTTATTGAAAAAACCGAGTTCAAAAAACGAAAATTAAATTTATCAGCATATGCAATTAGTAAAATAAAAAAACTTCCATTAAAATTTTATCTTTAAGTAACTATTTAAGAAATGGCGCTTAAAATAGCTTGATATCTTAATAAACAAAAATGTTATTGCCAATTAAAGTATGCGATGTCGGACCGAAAATTATCTCCAGACCGGAACTTTAGTAGGCAAAAACTTAGCAACCAGAGGTCACAGGAACCTGAAATTTTCGATTTAATATTTTCTCAGGAGATGCTGACTGTTTGCAAAGTTTAAAGAAAATTCACGACATTAACTTCCTTAGGGTGGCTGACTTGATAAATCTTTGTAAATCATTTGGCAATTTTGTGACACAGACTTGATTGATTTGAAAATGTATCTATAAAAAAGACGATTTACCTTCATTTTGAATAATTCTTTTGAGGTGATCTGCGGCAAGGAACTTGAGGGCGCGCTTGTACGGCGGACCCATTTTGTGCGGGAATACAACACTGGTGTCAACAACAGTGTTGTGCAGAATCTAAAAAAAGAATAAAAACTTAAACATCTTCAAATATTCCAATTTTTAGATGTCAAAATCTGTAAAAAAGAAAGGATGAGGTATGAGAAAACTGGCCGAAAATAAAAGTGGGGATGATAAAGAAAAAGTTAAAGAACAATGGAAGAAAGAGAGAAACAAAATAGATTAGGTACAGTGTCAAAGAACGAAGTAAATAATTTAAGGGAATTAAACCAGGAATATAGGAGATGAACACAAGAGAAGGAGAAAGGATAATGTCGAGACAAAAGAGAGGTTTGAGAGAAAAGAAAACTAAAATACATTCTGAGGATTTAATAAATATTAAGAAGTACAAGAACGGGTATGGATATTTGAACTACTTCTCTTGGGTGTCCAATAGTCTGCTCGAAGTAGTTCAACTAGCCATATTCCAATTCAACTACTTCTTGTAATTTATGTCCGACCTCTGAACAAAAGAACCCTAACCTTCAATGCTTTAAGATCAGACTCCAGACTGTGCCCAATCAGAATATCATTTGCTTGAAACTTGGACAGAAGAACCGCCTAGTAGATTATTATGATTATCAATTTAATTATTATTATTAAGCACCAGGGGTGCAATAGTTTAGGGTTTTATTCGCTGAATTGGTAAAACTAAGTGATTTTAGCATAAAATTTCGGATAACAAGTATTAAATATTATTCAGATGTACAGTTTTTTTAAGTAAATATATTTACTTATTTATTAGGTCCTGTCTTAAAAGTTGACTACTGACTTTTAAATCTCAACAGTTCAAGACTGAGGAAGACTACGATTGAAATAAGAGCAAGGAACTTTTGAATAAAAAGAATGAGTCGATTTAAAATTTTCCAGCGTCATTTCCATGGGATAAAAACACAAATTAAGACATCAGAGCTTCGTATCTAATTCGTTCTGATGCGTATCCGGACTAGTTCTGATGCGTATCGGGACTAGTTCTGATACGTATCGGGACTAGTTCTGATACGTATCCGGACTAGTTCTGATGCGTATCCGGACTAGTTCTTTAACAAGTTTTAATACTTCTTCAAGCACATTTTTGTTGTTGCAAAATTCATGAAACTTGACCTGAACTTGGTTGATATTAGTAGTAACTCCATCTAAATCCTTGGCAGTTATTCCACTGAACCTTAAACAAATGTATTTTTACAATTGTGAAGAAACAATCTCAAGGAATAATAATTAACTGACGAGGGTCAACCCAGACCGAAATATATTTTCAATAAATATGGAACTAACATCTACTTTTTTACTCTACAGAGGTTTGGTCCATCACCATCACCGAATTTTAATTCATTTTCAATCAGATATTTCACAGCCAGTTGCGTATTTGCGTCTAAAACTAGTATACTAACTGTTCTCAATAATAATCTAGTTTTACAATGGCGTATTAACCTTGCATTGTACTAAATAATACTCTAGTTTAACAGCAGTGTACTAACCTTGTGTTTTACTCAAAAATACTCTAGTTTAACACTAGTGTACTAACCTTGTATATTACTCAATAATACTCTAATTTAACACTAGTGTACTAACCTTGTATTGTACTCAATAATACTCTAATTTAACACTAGTGTACTAACCTTTTATTGTTTTATTGTACTCAATAATACTCTAGTTTAACACTAGTGTACTAACCTTGTATTTTACTCAAAAATACTCTAGTTTAACACTAGTGTACTAACCTTGTATTGTACTCAATAATACTCTAGTTTAACACTAGTGTACTAATCTTGTATTGTACTCAATAATACTCTATTTTAACACTAGTGTACTAACCTTTTATTGTACTCAAAAATACTCTAGTTTAACACTTGTGTACTAATCTTGTATTGTACTCAAAAATTCTCTATTTTAACACTAGTGTACTAACCTTGTATTGTACTCAATAATAGTTTAGTTTAACACTTGTGTACTAAACTTGTATTGTACTCAATAATAGATTAGTTTAACACTAGTGTACTAACCTTGTATTGTACTCAATAAAAGTTTAGTTTAACACTTGTGTACTAACCTTGTATTGTACTCAATAATAGTTTAGTTTAACACTAGTGTACTAACCTTGTATTGTACTCAATATTAGTTTAGTTTAACACTATTGTACTAACCATGTATTGTACTCAATAATACGCATTTTAACACTAGTGTACTAACCTAGTATTGTACTCAATAATAATCTAGTTTAACACTAGTGTACTTAGCTTTTATTGCTATATTGTACTCATTAATACTCTAGTTTAACACTAGTGTACTAACCTTGTATTTTACTCAAAAATACTCTAGTTTAACACTAGTGTACTAACCTTGTATTGTACTCAATAATACTCTAGTTTAACACTAGTGTACTAATCTTGTATTGTACTCAATAATACTCTATTTTAACACTAGTGTACTAACCTTTTATTGTACTCAAAAATACTCTAGTTTAACACTAGTGTACTAACCTTGTATTGTACTCAATAATACTATATTTTAACACTAGTGTACTAACCTTGTATTGTACTCAAAAATACTCTAGTTTAACAATAGTGTACTAATCTTGAATTGTACTCAATAATACTCTATTTTAACACTAGTGTACTAACCTTTTATTGTACTCAAAAATACTCTAGTTTAACACTAATGTACTAACCTTGTATTGTACTCAATAATACTATATTTTAACACTAGTGTACTAACCTTGTACTGTACTCAAAAATACTCTAGTTTAACACTAGTGTACTAATCTTGTATTGCACTCAAAAATACTCTATTTTAACACTAGTGTACTTGCCTTGCATTGTACTCAATAATTCTCTATTTTAACACTAGTGTACTAACCTTGTATTGTACTCAAAAATACTCTATTTTAACACAGGTGTACTAACCTTGTATTGTACTCAATAATTGTTTAGTTTAACACTAGTGTACTAACCTTGTATTGTACTCAATAATAGTTTAGTTTAACACTAGTGTACTAACCTTGTATTGTACTCAATAATAGTATTCTCTGGTTTGACTAAAGTCTCGTAACAAACGTTTCCCAGATAATCAATCACAGTTACACGAGTCAGTTCATTGCCCTAGTAAATAATATTGGATAATTAGTAAATAATATTAAATAATTAGTAAATAATATTGGATAATTAGTAAATAATATTGGATAATTAGTAGATGAAGTGCTTGGTCTCTAGACCTGGGTTTAATTCTACTAATTACTTTCAAAGACTGTATTTATACGTTCATATTTTCGAGAGACAAAGAAACTTTTTTGAATTAACACATAATTGTTAAAAAGATTTTTACGCTAAAATTAGCTGTACAAATCGATAAACAGTCAACAAAATATTTTGATTGCAATCATTAAAAAATGTTCCCTAAAAAACACTTTTATTTCGATAATAAGAATAACTTTTTGATAAACTGTTCTTCATACAACATATAGACCGTAAACCAATAATATAAATCATGTATACATCTTACATCCCAGAAAACCAAGGATTTTGTTGTACAATAGATTTTAAATACAAGTAGTGGAAGTTGAGAACTTATTTCATCCATTAGTTATTTCATCCAAATTATATGTATTATTTATATCAAAAAGAAATTCTTTATTGCGACGACTTTAATATTAGTTTCAGTTCATTTGTTAACACTTTGTTTATAGTCTTAATGCTTCTTCCTCTTTTCTATTTCTTGGCCGAGTTGTCTGCGCACCTCTGGCAAACAAACATTTATGCCAGACAAATTATTTGGAATTAAAAACGTCGATTATTTCCTTATCTAATTGCAATTTTTCTAATTTTTTTTTTGAATATATATTAAATTATTGCATCTTCATTGTAAAGTCAAGCATTTAATAATTTTAAAAATTCTAAAGTGGAGATTTTGACCCTTAATCAAAAAAACTAAAAATACTTATTTGACAGGTACCTTTATTTAACTTTCGGAAACTTGAAACTAATTGGAGTTAATCTACAGGGTTATCAACAAAAAATGAGACTTTATCGACGACTGTATTCAGAGTTACATTCACATACATTTAAATTTTGTTAACTACAGTTGATCTCTTTTTCAATTCTTCTCCTCAACCTTTTTTTTTTGTGAAAAATTAAACTTTATCAATAAAGTGAATTAAACCTTCAGATCTGATAATAGGGTCGAGTTTCGTCCTTTGAGAGTAACCCTGCTGTACACTGTACAGTGTACAATGTATGTACAGTGTATATTGAAATCTAACTCCTTGGCAAAATAATAAAATCTTGGAGAAACTTAAAATAATATTTGTTAACTAGCATACAAGTAAAATCAGAAAATTTTATTGGCATCTCTAAAACCATTTTAAGGTAAAAACAACTCTGTTGTATTGCACAATTCACAAATCAAAATCAAATCAGGCTTTAGGTACGTCCTACTATACACGATTCAAACTCGCGATGACATAATTAAATCAAGAGTAAGACAGGGCCTTATAAGATTTGCAAATATGTAAAAAAGTATGATAAGAAAATTAACATCTCAAAGGTCATTTTCTGGAAAAAACTGACCTCTGTAGTATTGCACATTTCACAATCTAGAGCGAATACCCTTCCACTGTGTGCTCCTCGGTCCAGAGTAGACACAAATCCACGCATATTATTGTAATCAAGCACATCAGTCACGTGAACTTGCGACACCTAATGTAAAAAAAAACTGATAGCTAAGAATTGTTCAGTACTTCAAGAAGAAATATTTAGTCAACAACCCCCCCCTTAGTAATCTTATCTACACCCGGTTAAAATTTTGAACTACTGTTAAACCCTAAACATTAAATGCATCGAAAGAATTTATGAAATGTCGTCCCTACAATTTTTCAATGGGTTTTATACTATTTTACGTAAATATCAATATTTGCGAAAACAAATAAATAGCCATGAATATGGGGGAACAGTTTTAAAGAGCTCCATATAATCATTTAATTAAAAACTAAATATCAGCACCATTCCATTATCAGAAAGTGAAGAATACGACATTTGATAAATTCTTTCTATGTATTTAATATTTAGGGTTAAACTGTATCAAATCTTAAATGTGACTGACACCGCCAAAATTGTTGGTTTCAGATTGTCATCAATTTCTTCTAGTGTTACGGTAAGAACCACAAAACTGAGTAATTATTGTCGTCTTCTTCTTCCTATGAATGCCGCAATGATTGTTATTTACAACTGAAAAGAGAAATTACCAAGGACGACAATCATTCCATAGTTTTCTGGTTCTCAATGTACAATGTTCGATGACGACCAATCTAAGCATTGAAGATTTCAAATATTGGTAGATAAGTATAAACCTGGCATCCTGTAGACAAATATAGACCTGGCATCCTGTAGACAAATATGAACCTGGCATCCTGTAGACAAATATAAACCTGGCATCCTATAGACAAATATAAACCTGGCATCCAGTAGTCAAAAATAAACCTGGCATCCTATAGACAAATATAAACCTGACATCCTGTAGACAAATATAAACCTGGCATTCTGTAGACAAATATAGACCTTGCATCCAGTAGTCAAAAATAAACCTGGCATCCTATAGACAAATATAAACCTGACATCCTGTAGACAAATATAAACCTGGCATTCTGTAGACAAATATAGACCTTGCATCCAGTAGACAAATATAAACCTGGCGTCCTGTAGACAAATATAAACCTGGCATCCTGTAGACAAATATAAACCTGGCATCCTGTAGACAAATATAAACCTGGCATCCTGTAGACAAATATAGACCTGGCATTCTGTAGACACTTATAAACCTAGCATCCTGTAGACAAATATAAACCTGGCATCCTGTAGACAAACATAGACCTGGCATCCTGTATAAAAATATAAACCTGACATCCTGTAGACAAATATAAACCTGGCATTCTGTAGACAAATATAAACATGGCATCCTGTAGACAAATATAAACATGTCATCCTGTAAACAAATAAACCTGGCATCCTGTGCACAAATGTAAACCTGGCATCCTGTAGACAAATATAAACCTGGCATCCTGTAGACAAATATAAACCTGGCATCCTGTAGAATCCGCATTCTGCTGACAACAGTAGAATACACTCTGCATACCACCAGTAGCTAAACAGTTATAGTACATAGTACAATAATAGTACGATAAAAGTACACTATTAGTACACTATTAGTACACTAATAGTACACTAATAGTACACTATTAGTACACTGAGAGTACAATAAGAGTTCACTAATTGTTCACATAGTACTATATTAGTACACTAAGAGTACATTAAGAGTTCATTAATTGTTCACTACTAGTACACTGATAGTACACTAATAATAAAAAAATAGTACAAAAGTACACTAATAGTAAACAAAAAGCAATCACATAGTTAACAAATAGTACACTAATATACGCTAGTAATATGGAAATAGTTTACGAACAGTACACCAATATACGCTAGTAGTACGCAAATCAAAGAATTATAATGTAAAGATATTTATTTCAGAAGTGTACGCTTTTTTGTACTGCAGTGTTCTTTCTCTGGGCTGTAAAGTAAACACAAGACGATGTCACTGTCACAGTCTTACATGGGATCCATCTTTCACATAAAAAAATAAATGAAATATTCTGGTCATTGGAAACTATTATGTGAATTAATAAAATTGTAAAAATTAAATGCTGATGCATCTATTCTTGTTTACAAACACATCCCAGAGATAACTGGTTTCAATATGTACGCAGAGAATACGCAACTGCAATTAACTTGCATTGCCTTCTTACCTTGACGCAAACAGTTTACGAATAGTACATCGTACAAATATACGCAAATCGTACGGGGGAAAATACTTAAAAAACAAGGTGATAGTAGCGAATAATACACGAATAGTGAAAACCCCCTGAAATCAATAGATTACACAACAGGTCCAGGGGGGGCACCCGTCTAAATCGTGTTTATGTGAAAAGGTCCTCAATTGGGTTTTACTATTTGGAATCCTTGTTTGAATATTTTAGTTAACTATCTATCTATTTATATGATACGCACAAGGCATGCAAAGCAAGCACTGTAGTTGTAAAGCAGTCTTCAAGCAGTGCACACTACATAGATTAGACAGAAGTTGGCCAGGGACCAGTTTCAAGCTATTATTTCGTCATATACATAATCCAAAGTAAATATTAAAATGCATGGAGCCATAAAACCTTTCACAGCTACAACTTACAAAAGTTATTAAGTAATAAGTTGGAAGAACCTTAAGATTGAAATCATTATCTTGAAAACGATAGTTTAAGAATAAAGTTGGGTTCTTCCAAATATGAGATAAATTTTGGCCATTTAAATTGATGTAATACTTCATACTTGAACTACTTAGATTACGAAATGTTTTTTAAAAAGCATTTATTTACATTAAAGCATTCATTGTAATCTCTGTTTGGGTGTCTGACTGGGTGTTTGTTTGTCTGTCTGACTGTCTGTTTGTTTGTCCGATCATAACTCAGGAACCCCTGGACCAATTTGCCTAAAATTTTGATTGGGGAATTCGGGAGACCCACGGGAATGTTATAGCTAGGTTCTGAAATTCTAAGTTATGTGGGGCGACTTCTATAGCGAAAATTTAGTTTCCCGGTAAAATCATTCAAGTGCGGGTAAACGGCGGGATTAACTTTTAGGGTTCCCAAGCTAGTTTATAATAAACATAATAATATATTACAAGGATTACATAGGGGTTCTTTTGAAAACAGCTCTCCTGCTGCAGTAGTTTTACAATTTTTTCATTGTACTTAACTTATAAATATTACTGCCGAATAATTAATTGATATGATTTGATTTTGTTAATTAACAGAGTGACTCATAAAACTGTGGAATAGGAAAACGACATTTAATCCATCTCAAGTGTATTTAATGTTGTTATAAAACAAATTGTTTTACCAGTAGCTTTAAAATCATCATATTAACTGAAATGGGTCAGTTTACACTGCACAATATCTGTGCTTCGTGCTCATTGAACTATTTAAATTCATTACGCGCGTTGTTCCGACAGTCGTCTTCCCTTTCTCTAGTAGTTTTATAAGTCCCACTGTATATATGTTTATTGAATGTTACATTTGTAAAAATGCTGGAAATATATTGAAAAGGTAAAAAAAACATGAGCTAAGTATACTTTACAAAATTGTGTATTTTGTAAATGCTGGTAACGCTAGGAAACAGTTATTACAAATATATTTGCATATTTTTCATATTTTTACGGGGGGGGGGGGGAAGTAGTGTAAGAAAAATTTAATATAAGTAGGAGGTCTTTACAAAACTCTAAAAATACTGGAGAGTACCGGAGGGTTCTAAATCCAGTGGAGAGAAAATTATTTTTACTGGAGAGCTTTTAAATTTTTACCAAAATATAAATTCTACCGGAGGGTTTTCTATTCAACTGGAGTAAATTGCATTTCAAAATGTGGAGGATTTAAGTTCTTACAAAGAGCAAAATTCTACTGGAGGGTTTATTAATTCACTGGAGGAATGTTCTGTGTGTACTAAAAAGGTTTGAATTTTTCCACATAGTGATTTATATTTTACCGGGTTTTCAACTATTGATATTATAAACACTACTGGGTAATAATTTTAGCTTTTTGTTACTGATATATCTGAAAACCTGCAAAATGTAGATAATTTTTTTTTAGATTTTCCTGTTTACAACTAAAATCCAAGACAGACAAGCAATGTATAGAAATACATCTAAAATGCTTTTGTAAGATATGAATCACTTTGGGGAAAAATTCAAACCTGTTTTTCTACACAATCTAATCCCTCCAATGAATTAAAAAACCCTCCGGTAGAATTATCAATTTAGGTTCAAATTCCAAGGCTCCCCGATATGAATAGTCTGTACTCCAGTGGAATAGAAAACCCTCCGGTAGAATTTATATTTTGGTAAAACTTTAAAAGCTCTCCAGTAGAAATAATTTTCTCTCCCCTGAATTTAGAACCCTCCGGTACTCTCCAGTAGTCTCCAATTATCATTGAAAACTTCAGTCTCTCTAAATACGATCAATTTTAAGCTTTAACATCATTCATCCTTATTCAGATAAAGGTTTTAAGGGTACCGATGTGAACCTTTTTGAATGGAGGGTTAATAAAAATTACGTCTACAGTACCTTTATGTAAAATGAAGGGAAATTTCTGAATTCCCTCTGTATTGGATATGTTTAACCCTATCTATATATAAATTTGGCTTGTCTGTTTGTTTGTTTGTCTGTTTGTTTGTTTGTATCCAATAAACGTCAAAACGGCTGAACCGATCGGGCCCAAATTTTTTGTGGGACATCTAGGGAGCCCAGGGAAGGTTTATGAATCATCAAAATTTCAAATATTTGTCTCTATCAAAATTCGATCGTCATTAAATTTTTTAAAATTTTGAAAATCCGCGAAATTTTTTGTAAAAATCCGCGAATTATTTTTGTTTAGTTTTACGATGTACACAAAGAGAACATGTTTACAATTAATTTAGAAGATGGGCGCGCAGCGCCCTCTAAGGCTAGAAAGAAGGGCGCGAAGCGCCTTGAATTTCTAGTAAACGTATATTCCCAAATGGTGATAAATATAGGTTTGTGTATCTACTATTTGCTCTCTGCTTTGTTTATCTTCTATATTAGAGATACATATTTGTTCAGTTCAGACTTGGCTAGTTTAGAGAATAGGCATACAGTGTGACCCACAAAAATGTGGAATAGAAAGATGACATTAAAACACTCTAATTTGTTTTCATGATGTGTTGTTATAAAGTAAATAATTTGACCAGTAACATGAAGATACACTTTAATTAAGCGAAATAACATTTACTGTGCTCAATGTTCATTGGACTTTTTAAGATCATAAATTGAGTATGATAGTAGTATTCCTTTTCTTCAAGTGTAATGGGTCTCACTGTGCATATGCATACTAAGCTTTTAAGGCGTTTTTCTATCAACATCATTAGCTTTGAAATGTTGGTTTTTTTAATTCAAGCCGCCGTTATTCCTTAAAAATACAAAAAAAAAAACAAAAAAAAACCAGTTATTTTTCTGTTAACAGTAATGATTAAAAAAAAGTTCTAGATAAACTTTTCAATTTCGACAGGCCATAAACTTTCCACACAGAGTCTTTGGAATTATCACAAGAATTTAGGCCACATCGATTCAGACAGACAGGCCAAAAATTTAAATAAATAAATAAATAGATAAATAAATAAATAAATAAATAAATAAATAAATAAATAAATAAAATGGTCAACCATCGAATATAGTAGATGGATTCGTCTGCGGAGAAAAGAAACTGATGATAAATCAATCACGAAATAATTTTTAGCTTTGAACTATTCATTTTGGGGGGATTCAAAAAATGATAATATTCCTATAGATTCTGAAAAAAATAATAAACATAAAAATTTAAAAGGCCCAATTCTATTTTACAATAACATTGTAAAATGAAATCAAGTCTATTTATAAGTGACTAATATGTGACCTTGAAACACAAACAAAGTTAAAATAAAGAGAACAATGAGACAGGGGTTTCTTTATACCCTTCTTAGACATGTTTATAGTTGTAGAAAGCATAAAACATGTGGATGAGGATTAACTCTTATCTTACTAACTAAGAAGATGTGCAAATTGTTAATAATTCATAAATTAATTTTAACACTTTGAGTCAGGGAGTGGTTTTTTTAATCTGAGAAGAGAAGTGATTATTTCTTATATTTTTATATAGCGGCCAATATTGCCAAAAACTATTTTTTTTTCACTTTGAAATCTTAAAGTTTACCCCTGTAAAATTATGCTTTCTAAAAACTTTTTTATCAGACCAACATTATTTTGTTATATATTGAACTAGACATATTTCTTTTCAATCCGACATATCTTGCATTAAAAGAAGGTACAAATATTCCAGTTAATCTCCATTTTAACAGACTAAAAATGAAGAATTGATTAAACTACTGCTCTGAAAAATTTACAAACTTCAAAATTGGGAACTCTCTCTTTACGTGGAGTATAAATATTTCTCCATGTTTAACATATACAAGTAGAAAGAGAATAAATACTACTCAGCTTATTCACTGTGAAAGCCTGCACGTGGAAACATCCCATTAAGGGACTGAACACATAATTTCATTCATTTATCATTCACCATTTATCATTTAACATCTATATAATAAAAAAAGACGTTTGTATATATATATATGTTGCGTATAACGGCCAAACGGCTGCACCGATTGGGCTGAAATTTTTTGTGTACACTCTTGGGTGGCCGGGGGATGTCATGGGCTTTAAAAAAAATATTTTCAAATTTTTTTTTCCACGGGCAACGCTGGGCCCTTTAGCTAGTTCATAATAAGTAACTTTTACAGAGAAACTGCATTTGAAAAATATCCATTTACAAATTTCCACAATTTTGCTTATGCAACAGTTTTTGTATGGTTTTATTTAATGGCTAAGGATTTTAAACTGAATGACAAATTGACATGAAATTAATTCAACCTTTTATTCTTACAGATGTTGGCACAGTTGAGTTTGATCAGAGAAGAGTCTGAAAGACCAGAAACAGATTCACAGAAAAGCAATGATTTGGTTCTTAGGAGAACAAATTCAAATGCATACAACCAAGAAGACATTATTAATGAACTACACAGACAAAGTACAGCTGTACATGACAATGATTCATCGAAAGTGGAGGTTCCACTAATTGAACCAACCTCAGATGAGAGTGACGATTCACCGATCACTTTCAGAGCAAACCACTTAGGCAATAACACTGTGGTAGACATGGAACCAGGACAGAGAGATAGTGAAAGAATGTCAGGATCAAGATTGAACAGTATTCCTCCGAAGGCAATGAAGAAAAGGCTGAGTTTGCCCAATTTTTCAGTTTTTCAGACCAGCCAGATATCATTACAGAGCGTAGAGAGTCAAACAAAACTAGACAGGTTAAAAAACTATTTTTTGTTAACCACTTTTAAACATCAATTTAGAAAAAGTTTTTTCTCAGAGACATGTTAAGATAAAAATGCATGTATTTACTTTATAATAGGGTTTCTTATCTTTTCTATTGATCTACCATATAAGTTAAAGACAGCAACGAATTGTTATCTTTCACATAGTTTTAGTTGGTATTTTCTAATATGTATTGAGTTTGGTGATGTAATACTACTGCATCATATCTCATCATAAACAGAAATTCCTCTCATTATGAATCTTGAATATGCTGGAGATAAATAAACTGATTCAAATTGGAATAAAAGTTCCATTAATTAATGGAAGTTATTTTCAATGGTCTTTAATTGTCTTTAATAAATGAAAAGAACCGTTTGAACTCATTAACCTAATTGAATGAACGGTAACATAAAACTGTGTGTTGCTTTTATGAATAGATTGAAAAAAGCACTAAAGTTCCCAGTACTAATATTCTTAAATTGAAGAAACACCCATTTAAGAATTTCTACATTTTCTATTTAGGAGAGATCTGGAGATATTTTCCCAATTGGATAAGCTGGATGGAGAAAAGAATGGAAAAATTTCAAAGACACATTTGAAAAAATGGATTTCCTCTTCAGTTCAAAATCTGAACACATTTTCAAATCAAGGAAGGTCTGCTTTTTCAAGGTACACTGTTAATTGATGTATTTTATCGGATTTGTCGTAATCAATGTAAAAAAATTTAATAGTTTAAAATATTTTTATAAATTTGTTTTAAATAATCTGTAAATTTTTTTTTTTAAAAACCAATTTTTATCAACAAAATTAAAACAAATGTTTTCTTTTCATTTGACAATATTATTTTTCTTTGAAGAGAGGCTCTGACTCGTCTACTGTCTGAAGTTGATGAGAATAAAGATGGATACATCGACCAAGAAGAATTTGTAAACATCATTCAAAGACAACAAAATGAACCCAGGTAGTCTTTTATTAGAGACTTGACTAGAAATGAGGTAAAATGGGATTGTTTGCTCATTAGAAAAGCATATAACTTTTTAGAATAAGGAAAATTTTTACTTTGTGACATATAGATCAATCGTTTCTGTCAGAACAGCTATGTTGTTTCCACCAGAAAATGTATTTTATGTGAATTTCATTGAATATAATTTCTTTTTCATTTAAGATAAAAAAATTGAATTTTTCAGGCCTGAGGTGTCGAGCCTTTTGCAGCACATGAGACAAGCAGCTTTTGCTGAAGTTTACAGATGGTGGCCTTTGCCATGGGTTCTTCTTGGTATCAGTTTGATTCAAATTGTACTTTTTTGTATCCACGCAGTGCATTTAACCAAAGATCATGGACTCAGCATAACTTGGCAAGATCCTGCACCGAGATGTTCAATGCTCATCTATAACCCATACAGAAGATGGGAACTGTGGAGGTATTTCTCCTATTCCTTAGTCCATGCTGGAATTGGACACATACTTCTCAACATTATTATGCAGCTTTTTGTAGGTCTGCCACTAGAGATGTCACATGGAAGTTTCAGGATATCATTAGTGTACTTAGCAGGGGTTCTAGCAGGATCTTTAGCAACCTCCACCTTTGACCCTGGAATGTATTTGGCTGGTGCTAGTGGTGGGGTCTACAGTCTCATTGCAGCTCATCTTGCCTCCCTTATACTTAACTGGAAGGAAGATGTTCTGGTCATTCGTGAGAGATTTCGAGAAGGAAGAATTAGCCTAGCTAAGGGGGCAACTGTGTATAGATTAATGAGGCTGTTATCAGTTCTAGTATACACAGTGTGTGATACAGGGTTTGCTATGTACAACCGAGAAATGAATGGTGGAAGCAACACAGGTTATCTAGCACATCTAGCTGGAGCAGGAGCAGGACTACTAGTTGGGATATGTGTACTGAAGAATAGAAGACAGGAGAACTGGGAGATTTATCTACGATTACTTAGTTTCCTCACATTTTCCATTTTGATCACCCTTGGTATTCTGTGGAATATGAAAGGCAATGAAGTCTACCAGAAACATTACAATACTAAATATGTCTACTTTCTACCACCTGACCTAAGACCCCTTTATGAATGTGATTACAGAGGTCAAGAAATCATTTAAATCTGTGATATATCAGTAATGATCAGGAACCAGCAGCTGCTGAACTTATTTAATTTATGCCAAAAATATTAACTGTACGATGTTCATAGCTTTAAATGTGTAACAAGTGGAAGTGTATCTGTACCATTCACATATTATTTAATATACATATAATCTCATATGTTAATATTTCTTGTTACACATACATGTTATTCTTCTTCTTTAAGAGCTTACCTCTGTCTCCTCGTTTTCTAAATATTCTTCCCCAATGATAAATACAATCTTCTTTCTTTATCTGCATTCCAAACTTATCCACTCTGTAAAAACAGTTGTACTGAACATCAACAAAATTATTGTCGCTATTAAAGCCATTTTTAATAAGTAAAAATTAGTAACTGAAACAGAAATGTATAACATTGTTGAAGAAAACTAAGTAATGGTTTATATAAATCAAGCCAATTGATAAAAACAAAACTACTAAAAATCTTTTTTTTTTTTAAATAAGGAAATAGTATTTTATAATGTTATGAAATTCGAAATTTCAATTTTACTCCATTCTAGAAACCATAACTTTTTGCCACAGTCTTCATACAGACTTTGATTAATAGAATTACAATCATACCCAATATAAAACGGAACACAATTGGATTCAGTAAATTGCAAGGATATATATATCTTTGGGCACATTTTCAATATTGGCAGAAATCCTCTTCTTACTGTAGGTCTTAGTCAACATTTGATCAATTGAATTTACATCTATTAATAAAATTATATTATAAATAATAATAATTAATGATCGCATTCAACGAGGGGAGGAAGGCCAGCCACAACAATTTCTAGTCCGAGCCACATTCTCCTCATTTTCTCGTCCGAGCCACCTCGAAATCCTCGTCCTTCCAATATTATTTTCCAATAGTGCCTAGTCCTCAAAGATAAAAACAATTTTTTAAGAATCGGGCCACGATAGGGCATAAATGAAATATTGAATTTTAATAAATTGGAAAGAATAGTTTCAATTGAATTAAAGTTTTCGAGTTCTATATCCTTAAAAATGTTCACCTTTTTTACGCGCATTTTCAGATATTCCTGGTGTAGAATGTCGCAAATAATTTCTAGATTATAGAACTTTAATCTTTTTTCTTAATTATAGTGAAAACCATAGATTTTTTCCGGGTGGTTCCATGGAGAAAATTATAGGCATATTTATGCTAAATATTTTGCTATTTATTTCATATCGCGAAGGTATGCCATTACGGAGGCAGAAAAGTTTTAAGTTTTTCCTGAATAAAGTTTGACATCATTCTCATGGGTTTGAAGATTCAAACATGATTTAAACGTGGCCAATTTTGTTAAAAATAGTTTTATCTTCAAGAATTAGAAACTTTTCAACACATAATAACCGAATGACGAGGTTTTCGAGGTGGTTCGGACTATAAAATGAGGAGAATGTGGCTCGGACAAGAAGTTGCTGTGGCTGGCCTTCCTCCCCTCATTCAATCCTTGATCTGCAGTGCTCGGACTTGAGCTTCTAACAAGTATGAATTCAGAAGAGGGAGTCAAGCCTATAATATAAGCAACAAAATACCTATACTCAACTTTACATCTGTCACAAACTCTAGCATCTGGGTCCGCTGGACGTTTCACAACTCTCAAGGGATCTATCTTTACCACAGCACGACCACGCTCCTAAACATTAAATTAAGATCTAATTTAAAAAATATATACATCTTTAAATGTTAAAATATCTTACCAAATTTATTTCAAAACAGACCCGATCTGAATTATAGCTTAGATTTCAGTTTTATTAGTTTTTACTTACTCATTAAGTTTAAGGAAATGAGTTCATACTAAGGATTAAATATGTGCATCATCAAATAATACTTTATATGAATTCACATATTCGAGAATATATTAGATTAAGTTTGAATTTAACATTACTAAAAATATTTGACATTTCACATTGATGCATACACATTTTTATAAAATAGTTTTCCACAGTCGTTTTCCTTTATTTTTAATTGAATTTGCAAATTCAACAAAATCTGACTTTACAAAAATACACCGAGCCCTGAGCAAGGTCGGATCCCTCCCAAAGTTTAGGTCAAATCCGTTCGTACAACGAACCAAAAAGGCAAAAAAATACCTCTGGATCGGGACGGGGAAACCCATTGTCAACTAGTTGTTCTTCAGTGAGAAGAAACTGGCGCATTACCCCATATAACATATCTTCATCAATATCTTCATCACGCAACCTCACGACTTTCTCAATACTCCACGTGCCAATAGTTCCTGGCCTGCCTGCCAGCACCTTAATAATATACGAATTGTTTTTTACTTATTTATATCTTAACATATTTGTTAGCTTTAGAGAGGCATTTATTCATATTTTAACAATTAATGCAAACAAAAAATGATTGATAAATCTTTTAGGTTTATTTCTTCTGTAATTTAGCAGAATGGACATTTATGGCAAGCAATATATTATATATGCATATAAGGTTTAGTATTCATTGAGGCATGTTGTCTTTTAATGAAGAAAAAATAAAAATAATAATGATATTAATACCTGCATATGTGTAGTGAGCATTGATCTATTCTTAGGATCAATGTTAGAAGGAGAAGGTTTAAACCCAGCAGCTTCTGCTTCAGCAGCTTCAGTTCGTAGTTTCTTGATCTTGTTGACCACAAGGTTGAGATAGATCATCCTACTCGATGCTTTCCTAGAGCAGTCCTGCTCTTCCTTCTCTGCTCTGGGATACGCCTTAATCATACAATACTAGCTAATAGACAACCTTTAAGGAGGACATTGTAATGATGATCCAATGATGACTTAAAGATCCAAATACATTTGAAATCAAAGCCATTGAACCAGAAGAACGGTAAAAATAATGAGACTTTCAAAATCTTGTAACTTTTGTGCAATGATGCCCTGGGATATGCTTTTATAAAAAAATACTAGCTGATTCAAAACCCTAACAGAGGAATGTTTAATGATGACTGAAAAATCCAAATAGCCTAGGCTTTGCTCAGTTCTCATTTGAACACAGGGTGGGCTTTTTTGTGTTTAATTTTTTTTTATTTTTCTGATTACTGCCCTTTCTTCACTCTTAAAATGTTAAAGTCTTCATGAAAAGAGGACTACTTTCAACTTTATTGATTTTCAGGAGTTCACAGCACTACACATTTTTTCATTTCCTAAGGCTTAAACCACTAAACAAATGAATATTGTTCGAATAATAAGATATTTAAAAAAAAATATTGAATGGACTTCAAGACAGTTTCTGATTTTAGATCAGACAAATCAAATTGAAGAAAACTTTAAAAGCAATCGATCATCTGCAGTGCTAGTTAATATAAAACAAGTATCAAAGATATTAAAAACCCCAAGAAGATACACAAGAAGATACATCACAGCTGAAGTTTTTCGGTATTTACTATTTAACAGTGGTCTTCCTTCTTGAGCATATAAATATCCACTGATTAATCTGAGTAGCCCCACCCCCAATCAGAAATATGTATTCAAGTGAGAAAATAAAATAAGTCTGTTTATTGAACTGTAGTACCAAAAAATTGCAGTATTCCCCCTATTAAGAAGGGAGGTTTTATTATTGTATTTGAAGAGTATTTATATATGATTATGGCCTATTATCACAACAATTATTATTATTATTATTAAACAAAACTTCTGGGGATATTCTGGTCCCCTAGGAAGTCACACCCATCAGTATTTCCCTGTGTACAACCATGCCTGGGGTTGTCTGTTTTAAAAACCGTCTAGGGCATGTTCTATTATTGAACCCTGGATGTAAGCGCACCAAGTGTTGGGATTATCGGGAACCTGAGTAAGCCGAGTCCCAAGGTTGACATCCACCAACCCACCCACCCCCTATTGGGTCATAGGCCCGGTACAAGGGAGGTTTGTTTCTTTGTAAAATCAACACTGGCATTCTCAATTATTTAAGTTTGGTCTGACATAAAGTATTCTTATCTATTAATCTGGGACAATTAGTTTACCCCATCTACTTAACAATATTGTCATTTTTCATTACTATAAAGTTCATCTATTGCTTAAATAGTCATATTATTATGAATAAGTAGGAATTTTAGAAGGTTTATAACTTTAAAGCTTTACTTTAAATCAAAAAACCCTAAAAAGCCCCAAAAAAGACCCAATAAAACCCACTGGGCTGGTTTTTTTCAAACCCAGACTTTTTTCAACCCTGTATTGAAAACAAAGCCAATGAACCAGAACAACGGAAAAATAATGATGCTATAAAATATTGCAATTTTTATTCAATGATGTAATCCTTTACATTCAGATTTCCCTGTAATGAAATCGTAATAATAAAACGTTAGATAGAGATACTCTTTGATTTAAAAGAATAAATTTTGGTACAAAAAAGGCAGGCCCCATTTTGAAAGTCCTGGATGAGATTTATGAAAAATGACCCTAGAATTGTCACATAATTCCCATGATTATTGGGACACCCTGTACAGGAATAACAACAACGAGACTGTAAAGACGACCTAAAACTCTTAAAATATGCAAATTCCAAGGTTGAATTAAATCTTCTACCTTGAATATAATTTTTTTAATCGCCTTTTTTATTTCAAAGAACGAAGCAAGTTTAAAGTTACAGGGAATCATAAATATAAGGAAACAGACAGTATAAATTCAGTAGAGTTGTCTATAAAGTCTCATCCTATGAACCTTTGAAGCCTATGAGATGCTTTTGCCTATAGAACTATAGCCTAGATGGGAACCATTGAAGCTTTTTAGATCAGGGAAGAGAGTACATAAATCGTAATATGGAATTAGGAAATCTAAAAAGAACATTGAATTATTCGGCCAGGAGTCGGAGGAAAATAAGGATAAACCTAACATTCTCTTACAAATTAAGGCTGTAGATACAAGCCACGGTAGTTGGGGCTTCACGGCTTCAGTTACTTCCACTCGGGCATAACAGTATCATTGCACATGTCATGCTAACTCTGTGACCCATGTACTCCTAAGTGAGGCAGAGGGTTGCCAGGAGGGGTGGTTTCCTGGTAACATTCATGTTATTGGGATGTCATAATAGATAGATGTAGGTAACCCTTATTAGTGTTCCTAATTTGAAAAGTTTGGCTATTAATTGTATTTTCAAATAGATAAACATTCCCTTTAAGCATTCAGATATTATTCTCAACCCATCCTGTTCCTACCTGCAGCTCATCTCCAGCATAGATCTTCACACACTCCTCTACTATAGAGTTTAGGTATCTCTGTCGAATATTGTTGGGAACCTAAATATTGTAACCTTTAATATTTTTACACTTAATGTACTTTACATCCAAAAGTAAAAGTATTCTCGATTCAAATACCATTTGACTTACTATTCTAACAACTTCCTTGTCTCAGCAGTATAAATCAGCAAGATAAAAAGAAGTATTGAAAATAATAAATTTTCCTAGAGAAAAAGAAGGATGTCTCATCAATATTTTGTCAGACAAAGGTAAAAGGATACCGTTGTGAATCGAACATTCGAACATATAAAGGGCCACTTCAAATTATGTTCATTGTCACTACAAGTTTTGTAAAATATGTTTGACAAAGAATAGACAAAGCGCGAATATTTTCAATTGTACCTTACTCCTTGGGTCAGGCGTGACTATGGGTTTGATGGCAGCTACATTAGTAGGTGTATGTGCTACACGAGATTTCCCTTTAGTAGTCTGAGCAGTAGTTGATGGTAACTCCGGTCCTCCAGAGCTACTAGGACCAGCCTCATTTCTTAGAAAATACGCAAAAATGATTTCAACTTTTTAAACACTTCTGACGGTAAATCTATTATCAAAATAACTTTTCCTGCAAGATATGGAAATTTGTTCCTTTTAATATTTTTCAACATTTGCATCAACTTAACCAACGAAACAATTAGCAAATACGCAAACTTTTCTTCCTTACAGATATAACGTTCCAATAATAATGTTAGTCAATATTCAACAAACGACACTAGGCGTGATTTTACAGTGACTATAGGTACATTGTATAGTGTATATTGTACAGTGTACAGTCTTCAGTTATATTGTAGAGTGTACAGTCTTCAGTGTACACTGTACTCTGTACTCTGTACTATGTAGATATATTGTTATGGGAAGTACCGAGGAGTGAAATTAACTATGGGCCTGGATGACACCCCAGTAATGTTTTTATAAATAACTACATATATATTTACCTATCTAAACTGGGTTGTCTGTTGATGAGCTGTTGTTTTATTTTACTAAGAACAGGAGCAGCTTCCTTAGGTTGATGTGCTACTCGTCTTCCTCCACCATCACTGAATAATTTTAGATTATAATTCAAGTTCAAAAAATTGTCAGTGTAATTTGTTTAACCCCTAAAAAGAAAGATCTAAAACCTTTAACCCCTTGGTTAAATCTTGGTTAATTTTTTGCCCTCTATATCTATAGAAATTCTGCGATAGCAAGTTGTTTTGATATTAAAATAGTTTCTTTCTTTTGTGAATCATTTTAGGCGTTTTACAAATACGGGACATCTTAAACTTATGTTTAAATGTTAATTAAAATGCTCAATCCCAAATTGAAATAATTGAAAATATCATTAAAAAATAAAAGTAAAAAATTTTACGATTTTGTTAACAGTAAAATACATGAACCTTTGAGAGGGAAGTTCAGGAGTTTCATCACTAGTCATTTGCTCTAGCCGCTTCTCAATGATATTCTGCTGCCGCATTTCCTGTAACCTCTTGTACCTCTCCATCAGGGCCTGGGCCGGAGTCCGCAACTGAGGTTTCCGTTGGTGAAGGGGGCGTCGAGACTCTGCATTTTCCTTAGCACCATGATACGCAACTCGTTTCCGTCCTCCAACCTCAACCTCGCTATTTTTCTAAATATTTAAATATATAATGAAGCATGACACAATTTTAACTCTAATAATCATACAAAAATGTAAATGTATATAATAAAATAATAACTAATCATTAAGTGTAGTGTGAACAGTCCTAGGGAGTAGACCTATTAGTTGCTCCAGGTCAGACTGACCGCAATTTCATATCTGGTGGACTAAATACATTCTTGAATGTAAGCTCACTAACACTCATATACTTAAAGTAAATATAAATTATATAAAGGATTGGTTGGTGAGAGTTCTTAATAATTTGATTTTTGGTATAACTGTTTGCTTTATAACATCATAAAATACACATACGATTGCTTAAATGTCGTTTTCATATTCCACAGTTTTATGGGTCCTACTTTATTACCTCTACAGCTGCCAGTTCAGCTCTGGCCGGATCCTGATGCTGGCTGGTCTTTGTCTCCGCCTTATCATAGTGGTATATATTTTCAGGGGAGGTGGGGTGGAATTTGACATTAACTCTATAGTTTACTCCCCCCCCCCTCTAACATTATTTTACTGGGGGGAATGATGTTTAAGAGTTGGAAGGATATGATTTTTTAAGAGGTGGGAGGGGGGGGATTATTTTTTACGAGATAGGAGAGATATGATTTTTAAGAGGTATGAGAGGTAACTTTCTTTTTAAGAAGTCTGGTTTGGGGAGAGTGGGGGTAACGATTTTTTGAAGAATATATAAACCCCTGCCTTGTAATCCTTAAAAATCCTCTGGAGCTCCTCATCATCATCCTCCTCCATACCAGCAAACATTGCGTCCATATCTTAATTAATACGTTTCTCTTTTAAATGTGAACTTTTGCTGTGAAATTTGTTTTATAGTCGTTTTACCCTCATTTTCAAAAATAAATTAGTTGCAAATTAAAAACTCCATGATTTAAAGGGAGTGACCGGCTATGTAAGGAAGTTGAACTGATTATGCATTGTTGTGGAAAACTTCTTTCGGATTCATTTGAGACACATTAAACTTCTTAAAGATCTGTAAATCCTGAGTTTGAGCTCAAATTGGACGTTCAAAACTCCTACTTTTGGGTGGATACGATTTCAGAATTAGTTTTTTTTTAATTATTTAATAACAACAACGAAAAATAAAGTAAATATTATACAGAAATTTAATTAGATGGTTAGGAACATATTTCTCAAATGAAATTTGTCAATAAATCAATGCTAAAATCGATTATTTCGTTTTCATTATTATATTGAATTTCTTATTTTCATTGAATTTAATCGCAGATTTCTTCAAATTCTTCAAATGTCGTCTTTTTAAAAATAATTCAAAAAATCCGCAGAAAATCTTTGTGAATAATGAGAAACCAGTATAATGAGAAAATAGAAACTAATAATTGAACAAAATTACTTATTTTCGATGATAAGATTAATTATTATTTTCTAAACATGTTCCTATACATGACGTCTGTAGTTTGTTGTGGAACTTTTTTACATTTTAAGTCGTCGTTATTCAATAATTTAAAAAACTAATTCTGAAAACGTATCCACCCCCACAGTAGGAGTTTTGAACGTCGAATTTGCGCTTAAACTCAGGATTTACAGATCTTTAAAAAGTTTAATATGTCTCAAATGAATCCGAAAGAAGTTTTCCACAACACTACATACTCAGTTCAAATACCTTACATAGCCGGTCACTCCCTTTAAAGAAAGAAAAAGGCAAGACAATTATTCCACTGTTTTCTGATTGCCACTGTATAAAAAAATTTTACAAAATAGAAATTCTCAAAAAAAAGGTTTTGCATTGATTTTTTAAAAAACCTTTTACTTAACGTTAAAAGTAACCAGGATTCAATCCTGTAAAAAGGACAGAGTTTGCTCGAAGATGCACAACCCGGACGTTAGTGCTATGGTCGGCACCTCCCGGCTTATCATGGCTTACAACTGGCTCAATAAAAGAAACACTTTCAATACTTTCCTAAAATGATCATGCTAGGTTTTACTCATACTTCATATGGAATATATTGAACGAAGAAATCGCAAAAGAAAAAGCTAAGGCGGAAAAAAATATTTGAAAAATGTAACAGAAAACAGAGAAAAAAAATACGTTTTCCACAATTAATTACACATAAGACACAATACTGAATGAAAAGCTCCAAAAAAAGCAACCTCATCTTTTTTTGAATTTCCCGGTACCTGCATCAATATCATCTTCTCCTAGATCTGGAAGAAGTGCAAGCTCTTCAGTAAAATCAGGCAGCGGAGAACTCCTATCTGGAGATACGTTGAACTCATCCTGATCCTGTTCCTCGACACACCTGGAGCTCTCGTCCTTATTCTTGATTTTTTCTTCTTTCGAATCTCTTTCTCTTGATCTAGATCTCTTTCTTTTGTGATCACTCTTTATTCTTTCATCGCCAGATCTTTCCCTAACTGATTTTCTTTTCTTCTCATCTTTTCTTTTCTTCTCGTCCTTTCTATGTTTCTCGTCTTTTCTATGTTTCTCGTCCTTTCTATGTTTCTCGTCCTTTCTATGCTTCTCGTCCTTTCTATGCTTCTCGTCCTTTCTATGCTTCTCGTCCTTTCTATGCTTCTCGTCCTTTCTGTATCTCTCTTCTTTTTTGCATTTCTCGTCCTTCTTGTACTTTTCGTCTTTTCGAATCTTTTCATTGTCCTTGTCTTTTCTCATTTCTTTCTTATCCCCATCTTCCCATGTTGATGAGGACTTCTGCTTTTCATCTTTCTTCTTTTTAACTCCAGGTGCCGAGATAGCTTCAAGGAAAGAGGTTTGATTCCCCGGGTTTTCATCCCAACTCTCCTAAATCCAAATATAAATCTTTTAACAGGTTTTTTTAGATTTGAAAGGACTGAATATAGTTAATAATGAAAACGGAAGTATATATTTAAAAAATTAAAAGGTTATTAAAAAAAACCTTGCAACTTTACTTCTACTTTAACCTCCATTCAATAATTATCATCTTTTCGTTTAATCTTGCCTTGAACTTACAACTTTTTCAAAAATATTAAATCGTCTTACATTTGAATTCTCCAAGTTAGATCCTGTTCCAGCTCCTAGATCCACGTCCTGCCATCCAGGCTCATGCCTTCGAACCATCTCCTCAAAAGTTTCTCCAACATCGAAAATATTCTTAGTGCTAGGATCGACCGGATTCTCGGCGCCGGCCAACTCAGCGAAACAACGCAGCTTGATTTCCGGTTTGTACACACCAAGGTCAGAAGTTCCAAATTTATCCTCAGTTTTAAAATCGTCAATCGTCGACACATTAACTTCAGGTTCAATTTTTAACTCTGATTTTAAAGGTTTTGGAACGGATGTTGTAAACTCGGTTTTCTTGAGTCCTAAAAGTTCCTTGATTTTAAGCTCTGCCATAAGAAATGGATCTGTCGCATCACAGTCAGGGATTGGGTCTGGAGTAGGATCCGTTTTAATATCAGATTTTATTTCGGGAGATATTATTATTTCTTGTTTTGATTTAGACTTCTCTGCAGTGCACTTTTCTTTCTTATTTACATCTTTATTTTTAGAGCTATGGCTGGATTTTTTATGCTTACTCCTTTCTGGCGATTTTCTAGTTTTTTTCCTACTTTTTCTCTCTGACGAGTCTGAGCTTGAACTTCTTTCTCTTTTCTTCTTCTTACTTTTGCTGTGTCTAGATCTTTCCTTTCTCCTCTTTCTTTTCCTTGTCTCCTGCTCCGACTCTGAGCTGGAGTGATCCGTCTCTGACGAATCAGAAATATCATTAGAATCTGATTCTGAACTGCTGCTACTGTCTCGTCTTTTTCTTGACTTGTGCTTGGACGATTTTGACTTTTCAACTCTATGTTTTGATCTTTCCCGGCTTCTGGACGAGTGTTTGTGTTTTGACGAGTGTGAATGTTTTGATTTACTTAATCTCCAGGTTTCTTCAGACGATTTGTTTTTTTCCTTCCCTAGTAAATTGTCTTTTCTTTCCTTTTCTCGTTTCATCTTCTTCTCTTTCTCTTCGTTATCCTTCTTTTCCGTCTCTTCCGGTTTCTGTTTCTCTTTCATCTTAAATTTGTAATAATCTTCAAGAATTTTCCTCTTCGCTTCAAGTTTTTTAATCTCCTCCTCCTCTTCTTTCAGAAGTCTTGCTTCCTTCTCCTCTTTACTCTCAATCTACAGATTAAAGATAGAATTCTAAAAACAATCTTTCTACCAAAACAAAACATTTTAATGAAAATTTTCATTACATTTTTTTTCTTACCTTTGAATTTCCTAATAAAAGGAATTATTATTCAAGTCTGTTAAAAGTAAAAAAAGGTTTACCTTTTTATCCTGTCCCTTCTCCACATCCCCAATAGAACTAGAAACCTGCAACGTAAAATAATTAAAACTTTTCAGTGTTTCAGAAATAAATCTAAAAAAATATGTTCGATTGTTTTGGTGAATATTTACGAAAAAGAACATTTAAAAGTTCATCTGAAATTTGCTCTATTTAATGGTTTATTAAAGTTATTTATAATTCTGTTTTTATCACATGTACCATATGTGGCATTCATTCCAGAGAAAATAAAAACCAAGAAAGATCAAATAGTTTGGCTCTCTGACCCCCTGCCAGTCTCTGGATCTTTCACATAAACTCCATCAAATAACCTTGGAGTGACTAGGTTTAAAAGTCAAGACACTAATTCATTGTCCAAAAATCATTTATAATATCTATGAACTATCTCTAATATACCTTGTCACATTGATCGATTGTTTGATCTTCTTCTTCCTCTTCTTCTTCTTCTTCTTCTTCAAAATTTTCTCCCTCCTCCCTGGCCTGTTCCTTCTCCTCCTTGTCCAGCTTCTTCTTCAGCAACTTCCACCGTTCCTTGATGACCTAGATCAAAGATCATGCTAGAACAGCCATCAGATAATGAATAAGATGTCCACGGACGACCAACTTTTGAAAATAGTTGCGCGTGGTAGGTAGAGATCATGCTAGAACAGTCAGCAGATAATGTACATAGATCATGCTAGAACAGTCAGCAGATAATGTACATAGATCATGTTAGAACAGTCAGCAGATAATGTACATAGATCATGTTAGAACAGTCAGCAGATAATGTACATAGACCAGGCTAGAACAGTCAGCAGATAATGTACATAGATCAGGTTAGAACAGTCAGCAGATAATGTACATAGATTAGGCTAAAACAGTCAGCAGATAATGTACAAAGATCAGGCTAGAACAGTCAGCAGATGATGTACATAGATCATGTTAGAACAGTCAGCAGATAATGCACATAGATCAGACTAGAACAGTCAGCAGATAATGTACATAGATNCATAAATTCTCCTCTGAGAGTAAGTCTAACATTCATTGAGCACAGCACAGGAAAAGCTATGCAGAAAGCGGGGAATGAATATCAATACTTACAAAATAATGTTTGTTTAATTTTATTTCTTGATTTACTTACTTCCTCTTCAAAAGTATTTCTGATTCCCCCAGTGAGAACCCCACTCTTGTTCCCTTCCTGTAAGAAAAGAGCCAACTGTAAAACTGTACACAAGGATAAGACGTCATCTTGGATCAATCAAGCAAAGGTTAGAGGGCACTGTTATGAAACAGAAACACCAATCTACTCTTTAGTCCCTTGAATGGTCTGTGTTAAAAACCCATCACATAAAGTGGAAATTCTGATAAGCTTCTCGTGGATTTCTACAGCACAAAGACAAGCGAAAATAAAAAAGTTTCATGCAAAAAATAATGTCTAGGTAATTGACTCAATGTGTAAAGATCTATTTGTAGGGAAGTGAATAGTTTATGGTACTAAAACTTGTTGATCTTCCCGTAACCTTATTTTTTCCACTAAATTACATACCTTGAGAATATTTTTCACTGAATTACATACCTTGAGAATATTTTCCACTAAATTACATACCTTGAGAATATTTTCCACTAAATTAAAAACTATAAACCTTGAGAATATTTTCCACTGAATTAAAAACTATAAACCTTGAGAATATTTTTCCCTAAATTAAAAACTATAAACCTTGAGAATATTTTTCCCTAAATTAAAAACTATAAACCTAGAGAATATTTTCCCCTAAATAAAAAACTATAAACCTAGAGAATATTTTCCCCTAAATAAAAAACTTTAAACCTTGAGAATATTTTCCCCTAAATTAAAAACTATAAACCTTGAGAATATTTTCCACTGAATTAAAAACTATAAACCTTGAGAATATTTTCTACTGAATTAAAAACGATAAACCTTGAGAATATTTTCCACTAAACTAAAAACTATAAACCTTGAGAATATTTTTCCCTAAATTAAAAACTATAAACCTAGAGAATATTTTCCTCTAAATAAAAAACTATAAACCTAGAGAATATTTTCCACGAAAGTAAAAACTATAAACCTGAAGAATATTTTCCCCTAAATAAAAAACTAAAAACCTTGAGAATATTTTCCCCTAAACTAAAAACTATAAACCTTGAGAATATTTTCCCCTGAATTAAAAACTATAAACCTTGAGAATATTTTCCCCTGAATTAAAAACTATAAACCTTGAGAATATTTTCCCCTGAACTAAAAACTTTAAACCTTGAGAATATTTTCCCCTAAACTAAAAACTATAAACCTTGAGAATATTTTCCACTGAATTAAAAACTATAAACCTTGAGAATATTTTCCACTAAATTAAAAACTATAAACCTTGAGAATATTTTCCACTGAATTAAAAACTATAAACCTTGAGAATATTTTCCACTAAACTAAAAACTATAAACCTTGAGAATATTTTTCCCTAAATTAAAAACTATAAACCTTGAAAATATTTTCCCCTAAATTAAAAACTATAAACCTTGAGAATATTTTCCCCTGAATTAAAAACTATAAACCTTGAGAATATTTTCCACTAAACTAAAAACTAAAAACCTTGAGAATTGATCCCAATACATCAGGGGTCTCCAAATCTTCATCAGATTCACTAAAAGTAATTAAATAAATTTTTTTTTTTAATTAAAATTTTTGTTTTTAATGTCTGAGAAATTAATTTAGTTCTAATTTATTGCGAAAAGTTAACAAAATTATTGAGAAATTTTATTAGAAAAATTAAATAGTTTTCCTTTTAACTGAGCGAATTAATTGATTGATACTTTTAGTTAGATAATCAAAATTTCTTTGCTAAATATCTTTTTAATTAATTAAGAGATTCTTAACTTCTAATAGCTTCGTTGATTGAAAACGTGTAAGAAATAAAATTGGATTGATTGATTGATAAATGGACTGTTTTTATGCTCAATTAATTTTTGAATCATTGATTTTTTGCTTAATTGATTCATTGAAAGACTGATTATTTGATTGATTCTAAAGTTTGCTTAAATCCTAATTTAATTGGTCAATGATGATTGATTTGATTGATTTGATTGATTTGATTAATTTGATTTTAATTGATTGGATTGATTTGCTACCTCATGTCTCCCATATCCCCGAAGACAGCATCAGCAGATTTCTCCGGAGCAGAATACGAAAATGTTTTTTTTCCTAAATAATGAACATACTGTTGTAAAAAACGGCGATATATCCAATTCCATGTATTGGATATTCTTATCTTTAGTTAGTTTAAGTTTAAGAGCAGGTTTATTGGATATTCTTACCTTAAGTTAGTTTAGATTTAAGAGCAGGTTTATTGGATATTCTTACCTTTAGTTAGTTTAAGTCTAAGAGCAGGTTTATTGGATATTCTAACATTTAATTAGTTTAGGTTTAAGAGCAGGTTTATTAAATATTCTTCCCTTAAGTTAGTTTAGGTTTAAGAGCAGGTTTATTGAATATTCTTACCTTTAGTTAGTTTAGGTTTAAGAGCAGGTTTATTGAATATTCTTACCTTCAGTTAGTTCAGGTTTAAGAGCAGGTTCATTGTATATTCTTACCTTTAGTAAGTTTAGGTTTAAGAGCAGGTTTATTGGATATTAATGATGCTGCCGCTACTACGCCACTGGATATGCCTGCAATACACAAAAAATTGGTTAAAGGTGCAAAGTGCATACTGCATATATTCTTAAATTATAGTGACTTCTAGAATGGAATAAATCTAAGGAATTTGGGGGGCTTCTTTAATACTAATACTAAACATTGAAATTGAAATTCAAAAGATTAAAATGAAAATGATCGGAAGGGGGGGGGGAACAGGAAAATTAAAAATGGTCAAATAACGTACAAGCTTCATCATTTATGTTTCTTACTTTTTCTTTAAAAAAATCCCATCAACCACATTTTTATCCTTAAAGTTGAGATAAAACCTTCTATTGGGGGAAACAGACTGGAAAAAGGAAAAATTAACCTGCTAGTGTTGAAGGTCCAGGCACGGGTTCTGCTTGCTCCAAACTTTTCCTCTTCTCTAGTTCCGATATCGGAGTAGGGTTGTATACCGGTATATCCGGGGTAGGTATGAATATTTTTGGTCTTGGTTCAACACTAGCTTTGAGGCTCTCATCTGTCCACTCTGAGGGGAAAACATAGGATTCAGTCAATTTATTACATTCAAGGGAACTGTGCCCTAATTTTAAGTGATCTCAGAAACCAGTGCTTAGGATCCATTTAATTTTGATGCGGAACCGGATCCGGATCCTGGATCCGCTCTGGAAAAAAATAGATCCAGGTCATTTCTTTAAGATTTACTGAATTTTTTTAACAAAAAAATAGTTTTCAAATTTTTGTTTTATTTTTTCGCATATTTTTATCCTAAAACTTTATGAACCATGAAATTTTTATAATCTCTCTTTTGGTTTTGGTTTTTGGAGTAAAAATTTTTTTTTTGCAGTTTTTGGTTGATATTTTACCCCTTGGATGCGGATTTTTGCGTATCCGGATCAAGGAAGCCAAAATCTTGCGGATCCAACGGATCCGGATCCGGATCCTAAGCACTGTCAGAAACAATGAAGAAATTTGTTAGAATTAAAAAAAAATTTTAAAAAAGGAAAACGACTATATCTTCTCATTGTTACTCAGATAAATGCTTAAAGGACACCCTTGAGAATAGAACACATCACTCCAAAGGCTAATAAATGGAGGGTCACTTAACATTTAACTCAATTTTAATTCCAATTCAAGAATAAAGAATAAATTTTGACCTGATTTGACCTGGGCCTGATTTGCTGGTTTAATATCACAGTACTCGACAATAATATCATCATCCACCTCCTCCTTCACCTCAACCTAGGGGTAAACTACACTCTTTAATTAAGTAAAAATGTGATATCTGACGATCTGCAAGGTGGAAAAATTGGAAATGAAATTAAAAAAGAGAGTTTTTTTCACCGTTCTTGATAATTTATAAATTAATGTTTGGTTCCCCGCAACATACCATTGTCCCGAATTCAGCGAATAAAAGCATTAAAAAATCAAAAGGTTGGAAATGATTAATCAAGATAATATGCAAAGGAATACATTTTTAATATTTACCCGGGTTAGGGAGCTTTTGTTAATATTTACCCGGGTTAGGGAGCTTTTTTTAATATTTACCCGGGTTAGGGAGCTTTTTTTAATAATTACCCGGGTTAGGGAGCTTTTTTTAATATTTACCCGGGTTAGGGAGCTTTTTTTAATATTTACCCGGGTTAGGGAGCTTTTGTTAATATTTACCCGAGTTAGGGAGCTTTTGTTAATATTTCAGCTTGACCATTGGTAGCCGAATGTTTTCTAAAGATCAAAATAATACTTGAAAATTGTGAAAACGACTTTGGTATTTTTGGTCAAATAGAAATCATCATCAAAGATTTGGATAAAGATTTTTTATTTTTCTTAACAGTATCTGTTGAAACCTCCTGTTGAGTAGGACAACATAATTTTTCGGGGAAAAAACAAAGAGAAAAAAGAGTCAACTTTAAATGACAAAAAGAGTATAGATGAAATTCCTGTGGTTTCACTACTTGAGCAAGTTCTCCCAACAAAACCTGAAATAAAAAATAATGTCATGAAGACATCAATTATAATAGTTTGTTAGACAAGATAAGATGGCTTCTACAACCTTTAAAATGATGTAATTTTACTTCTAGACACATTAATGTTCATTAAATTAATTCATCAGAGTAAAAATGGTACTCGATGGAAAAATCAAAATAACAATCCCTTCAACTTTACCTTACGAACAGCATCTTGGATCAAGGTTTCTAAACGCTGCTGCTCCAGTCCACCAACTAGTCCTGTAGCTAATCCTCCTAGTCCAGATAATCCACCTAGTCCACCTAGTCCACCTAATCCACCTGCTTGGGCTCCAGCAAGTCCTCCGAGTCCCACTAGTCCACCTAATCCTCCTAGTCCACTTAATCCTCCAAGTCCAATTAACCCTGCTAATCCTCCTGCTTGTCCGCCTGCAAGTCCTCCTGCTTGTCCTCCTGCTTGGCCTACTGCAATTCCTCCTGCAATTTCTCCTACTTGTCCTCCTTCTTGTTCTCCAGTGAGTCCTCCTGAAAGTAGACCACCTTGTCCTCCGGAAGCAAGAAGAGAAGTCGGAGCTGCATTAATTGAAGTGGCAGCAGCATCATTAACAACAGCTGGAACTCCAGATGCTGCTACAGAAGCAGAAGCAGCTACAGAAGGAGGGGGAGCAGTGGTAGGAACTGGTCCATATTCTGTTCAGTCAATATTTTCTTTTTCAAAAACGTTTATTCTGTTGTTTATAATCAATTCATTTGCGAGACAAACCAGACAATTGTCTGCCTATTATTGCACAAAATGAAAAATTCAATTAAGAAAGTTGTGCATACAAAATCTATGAGATTATTTGAGGTTTGAAAAATATAATTATTAAAAATTTGGTACACAAAACAAAAATAACTAACTATCTAAAATGAAGCATAAATAGATAAAATTTAAATATTCCTGAAGAATTGCTGTTTGTGCTGCAGCTAGCAGTACCCTGTGTACTGTACTGCATTGTAGTGCAGCTGGAGGGGGCGGTACTGTATCCGGGTTTGGTTTGGTATCCAGGATTATTCTCCGGCTCCCAACCGGAGTGTATGGACGGAGCGGTGATGTATGCATCGGTAGCTGGGACGGATACATTTTCACAGTCTAGATTTAATCCAATATTCTCAAATCTATCCAATTTAACAATTCAAAATTGGGAAATTTATGTGTTCCCAACCTAGAAAAGTTATTTTTCATATAATTCCTACCCCTAGCGACATAAAGGAAAATATAAACATATTTTTAATGAACATTTCCTTTCAAGAGATTCCATAACATCATTGCAGGGGACACAAGTTCCAAAATATGCATATGATTCAAACCTGACACGAATGTCAGGTTTGGACATATGTGTTTTACAATTTAAAAACTTCTCCAGTGTCCAGAGCAAATTTTAATAATCGACTGTAATAACTTGCTGTTGTTCATTTTGATTTTTAATGCGTCCTTTGAATTTCGATATATTTTTAAGTATCTAAAGAATCTCAAAGGGCAGGTCGACTTCATCAAATTAACTCTTTAGTCTAAATTTAACTAACAGTTTTACTTATTGTCAATGTCAAAGCATTAAAGAAAAAAAAATTACATTTTAGAAGAAATAAATCTAATTGAATCGTCATTTATAATAACATTTGAGTCATTTGTATTAGAATTTTATAATAAAGAACTTTGCCAAAAACAAAAGTTTAAAATATTCTGTACGACAATAACATGAAATCATTTTAAATCCCTCTCATTCGGTGTATTTTCTTTTCAGTCAACTAGTCTTGTAAAAATGCAAGTTCTCCTAACTAACTCTGCCATGCTAGGAGTCAGAATTATTATGTTTAATATCGTTAATCTATAAATCTTAATCTGTATTTCGAATGTGGGAACTTTTAAGCTAAATCATCATCTAATAATAAGTTATGGCAGCAGGGTGTGTCCAACACGGGATATCGAATAAGAACCCGTAGGTCTTAACTGGAGATCAATGCAATTGATCCCAAGATAGACAACACACAAGGATTACTCTAATTTCAGAAAAACTCATAAACAGGTTCAGTTCAAACCTCACATTGATTTAATCTTAACATAAGAATCCGTAGGTTTTAATTAACTGGAGATCAATGCAATTGATCCCAAGATAGACAACACACAAGGATTAATCTAATTTCAGAATAACCCATGAACAGGTTCAGTTCAAACCTCACATTAATTTAATTATAACATCAGCTGATGAAACTAAAAATTCTTGGGTCATTTTCTTCTTGCCACGGGGCCGGTTTCCTCCAAACAATTTCTTTTAAGATTTTTAAGATTAAACCCAAATATATAACGTGTACATACGTGTATTTTCTTTGTCGTACAAAATACTTAAAATGTTAATAAACGTGAACAAAAGTGCTTCAGTTGGTGAAGAAAATTGTACAGTTTATGTACTTCATGGTCTTTCATTAATTAATTGCCTACTTGTTTAAAAAACGGGTTTAAGCTTTATCACATTTGAAACCAATTATATCATGCATTATTTGTTAAAAACCTCATTGCCACCTATTGTACGAATTCTACCTAATAATCCATGTGATAAAATCAGGATTAAGATTCTAATTAATTTAAAGATTAAAGACCGTAAAAGAAATTTTAAGTAGTCCTCCATTCAAAAACGATAATAGCCGATGCACACTGTTATCGAACGTTACTTGGATTAGAGATGTTAATTTTTAGTTAATCTGCGAAATTTACCTAAATGTTCTTAACTTGTAAAAAGCAATGGAAGATTATCAGAATTGAACACTTTTTAGTCACAAATACGACAACATTTTCCACAGCATTAATCAGATTAAGGTTTCAAATTATGGCATTGCCATCTTTTCTTGGAGGGCCACTTGAAATTACGTTAAAAGCCCATTTGAATACATAGATGTAGAACTTACTAAACAATATCGACTACAAATATAAAAGAATGTTGGATTATATCCCTAATTTAATATGTTTAAAATGGCAGAAAGGTCGATTACAGTTCCCATCCTCGAAAAATGGGCAGGGTAGAGACTTAAACCCACCCGTTCCAGGCAACATTCTACCCTTAGTTAGGATATCACGTTCCACATTCTGTCTGAAACCATGAAATGAAGATTTAAAACTATTAAAACATATGTTTATTAAATACGAGCTGAACAGATAGTGTATTGTAAATATATTTCTAGAGCAGGGACTCGACTACCAACTTCTCACAAATCCATCTGAAAAAAATAAGATTTACTTGATTGTTCACAAATTTGAAATATACACAATAACCCTAAAAAAATTCTAAATTCCCAATTAAGACGAATTTATTTTCGAACCCCGAGACTTCTTATTTTGTTTGGGCCCAAAAATCAAAAAACTAATCTTAAAAAATAATTCCTTTCTGCTAACAATGTTTTTTCAAATCTGAAAAAGGGGATGTTTTGACGAAGGTAACAGGTTACCCCAGAGAGTATGTCGTATATCTTTATATGTTCACCATCACATCCTACTGTGAGGAACCAGGCTCTAATAAATCTAGTTTGAATGTAAACAAACATCATTTAGTAAAAAGAAATAGCCTTGTTCACAATCATGGTTTATGTTTCTGAGAAAACTGGTTCCGCAACTATTCTAATGCGTCGTGGAAGAGTTATTTTTCTAAAATAGATATTCGAAAAATTGAAAAATTACCTAAAAATCCTTGGGAATGGGGGTTCCAGTGGCGTTAGCAAGATAGATCATGTTCTCACGGTTAGCGGCGGCAGCCTTGGCGGCCTTCTCTGCATCCCAGACAGGGGCCATCTTGGCGTTGTAGGCACGGATCTAAATATATATTTTCATCAGCATTTTAGGATTTATCATTTAAATTCTTCTTTTTACAATTTGATTAAATTCACAAGCTGAAAAGTTTGAAAGAAAGCAGTCTCCTCCCTTCTCTCCCCACCCCTTAAAAATAAAATGTGGCCATCGATTTTCGAATCATAACTTGTATTTTAGCGGAGACGAGACAGGGTCTCGTTATCTTTCCCCAACTTTGTGTAAATTTTTTTATAAATAAATATGTTCTACTTTCGTAGTTGGCCATAGAAGATTTCTTCATCGTCAGCCTGTGGACGGGTTACTGCTATACAATATAAATCCCAGTTCTATTTTGAATTAAGAATCTGGTAAATTATGGATCAAATGAACCAGGCAAGAAAAATTCTCCCCAAAAAAAACCTCCTTTGAACTTTCGGATAAAATACCTAAAAGTTTAAAATTTAGTTGCTTTTTAGTTTTATACCTCGTCTTCAGTAGCCTTGTTGGCCTTGTATCTCTGGGCTCCCCAGTAGATACCAGCAATTAGGGCAGTCCATCTGCAGGTCTAGATAAACAACAATCATGCAAGGTTGTGAATTAGTTTTTTTTTTCAAAATTCAGCGAATTAAAAAAATGTTTTTACGCTCCTGGCAAACAACTAGATTTTGAAGGGAAACTTGATTTCAAAAAGCTGGGAGGGGGGGGGGCGATTCTCAAGAAAATAAAAAGGTTTTTAAATCTTAGAAGGTTAAAATACTTAGAAAAATATGCTCTACGTCAACAAAGGCTGGATTTGTACATTTCTTGTATACAAAAAAAAATATTTTTTTGGAATTTTAACTTTTGTGGCTTACCTTAATTAGGGGGGAAACACGGAGGGGTTCTGCGAGGGCTGGCATTCTGTCTGGAAGTAATTTATATATAATAAACTATTCGTAAACGGAGACCAAATATTTAAACAAGAATATCGCAGAAAAACCAGTTTTACAATCAAACAGATTCCAACTTAAAATCAGATTTTGCAAGATTAAATGTTTAACCCCCACTACTCGTTGATTTATCAGCTAAACCAACTAAAAGATGAGCTGATGCTGTGTGCTTTAGTTCAGCTGATTCGGCTGATAAACTTTTACTAACTGATTCTGATAAAAGATCAGGTTTAAGCGGCAGCCTTCAGCAGGTCTGAGTACTTGTTTAGCTTGGTGGCCATGCTCATGTCGCAGAACTTGTCAGCGATAGAGACAACCATTCCACCGATGATGGAAGCATCAACCTGAATTTAGAAAGTTTCAATCATAATTCCAATAATTTACTAATAGTAAGAATGAATCAATGAATGAATCAATGAATGATGAATCAATGAATGATGAATTAATGAATGATGAATTAATGAATAATCATTGAATGAATCAATGATTGAATCAATGTATCAATGTATCAATGCATCGATAAATGAATAAATCGACGAAGAATGCATGAAGCATTGAATGAATGAGTCGAGAAAAGGATCAATCAATGAATCAAACAGTGAATCATTTATTCAATCAATGAATCAATCAATCGATATATCAATCAATAAATCTATTAGATCAAATAATCAATTAATGAATTTATGAAAGAATGAATTAATAAAAAAAATTAATGAGTTAATCAATGAATTTGATATACAAAACTTGCTAATCATTTTATGAACAAAACTATTAAAAAAATATTCAATGAATCTATTAAATGACTAACAATACCTTGTAGGTGATGTGTGCCTTCTCTCCCTTCTTGAGGAATCCAGCCATGGCTCCCTCGACCTCCTTCTGCATAGCAGCATCCAGGGCCTTGGCGGTAGTCACGGTGCAGACAACCTCACCCCTATACATCATTATGCAATTTTTACTACGTAAGTCTATAGTTGTGAAACTTTTAATAAATATCATATTTAATATTGCTTTTTTCGAAGAGAAACAATGGGGCAAAAAGTTTATGGCTTGCTCGAACAAGTCATCAATTAAGAATTAACTGAGAAAATTAATATAATATTTTTCCTAGTTTTAGGTAACCAAAACTGATGGGCGCAAATAATTCGCCATTTTACGCCTAATAAGTTATCATTGATGATGTCATATTCTTTTTTCGGGTCTTGTTGTTTCAATTTCCATATTCTATTTTCATAAACACGAAATTGACGTTTAATACTCGGAAAAATATTCTTATAATTTAATACGTCAAATAATATCACTTTATCAACCTTATTGATTTCATTATTATTAAAATATACATAAACGAGAGAATCCTTAGGTATAAAAATTACCTGTGTGCAAGTAAAAAGATTTTGAACTGACCTGTGTGCGGACATAAAGGTTTAAACTGACCAGTGTGCGGACATAAAGGTTTAAACTGACCGGTGTGCGGACATAAAGGTTTAAACTGACCTGTGTGCGGACATAAAGGTTTAAACTGACCTGTGTGCAGACTTGAAGTTTTAAACTGACCTGTGTGCGGATGTAAAGGTTTTAAACTGGCCTATGTGCGATCAAATGGTTTTTAATGACCTGCGTGAAGACATAAAGGTTTTAAACTGACATGTGAGGGAATATCTGACCTGTGTACGGACATAAACCTTTAACCGACCTATGTGCCGTGCGAACATGGAGGTTTAAAACTGACCTGTGTGCGGACATAAAGGTTTAAAACTGACCTGTGTGCGGACATGATGGTTGAGAAAAGACTGGTTACTGCAGGGATGAAGGTGAACCTAAATTCATTATTTGATTATTTTTATTCTTCTTTCGGTTTCATAAATCATTTATTAATTAATAGTAACAGAGAAATCTTTTTTCTCTTGAAAACAGAACCTGTTATTCTCAGCCATTGAGAGAAGAAGGTTCTTGCTGAGAGGGTTCAACTTCATCTTGTCTGCTACTCCTGCCAAACCATCCAGCTTCAACTAGATCAAATCAATCAAAAATCAAAAATCAATCAATCAATCAATAAAACTATCCTGTTTAAATTAAATCAAATCAAATAATCAATCATTCAACCCATCCACTTTCAACTAGATCAAATCAATCAATCAATCAAACTATCTACCTTCAACTAGATCAAACCAATAATCAATCAATCAAACAAACCATCCAGCTTCAACTAGACTAAATCAATCAATCAAATAAGCTAGCTTCAATTAGATCAAACAAATCAATCAAATAAACCATCCAGCTTCAACTTGATCAAACCAATCAATCAAATCATCCAGCCAGAAAATGTGTACTATAAAATATGCCACCATATTACTTTTAAATAGTCGGATAGATAAAAAAACTCACGGATTTCTTAATGGAAGGATCCTTGAGGAAGTCTGCTAGCCTAGGGTCGGTCTTCAAGGTTGCGGCGAAGTTGACGAGATCCTTCTCTACTGCCTCCAGGGACTTCTGCTCAAACATCAGACTCAAGTCAACAGTTGGGGGAGGGGAAGGGCTATTTTATTTGTTTTATGATTAGGAGCTTATATCTTCACCCTTCCTTTTAAACTTTCCCCTTTCCCCTTCCTTTGCCCAGTGGGAATATTTGCAAGAAGTAAAAGTAAAAACTTTTTGTTTAATTTAAGTATCAAGAAGGAAAAAGATTTTGTTTAGGTATCAAGATTAAAGAAGCGGTGGAAAAAATCTTGCGGATCCGGATTAAATAAATCTTATTTTTTTTATCAAAAATCTTCTAAAACCGTTACTCCAGCTCCACCAGGGTACTTCTTGACAACAACAAAATTGGAAGAAAATAAAAGGTATCTTTAAATATCCAAAAATTTAGTAAAAATTTTGTTAGAATTGTAGGATGTGCTTGATTGATTGAGTCTGATTCCTGCTTAGAAGCAGCAGAGTATAGAGCAGAGGCGTATCTACCATCAATACCGTGTACAGCTACAGGGGTACGCACCTACACAATAACAGTACAGTACATAATACCATCAATACCGTGTATAGCTACAGGGATACACGCACCTACACAACAACAGTACAGTAGAGTACATATTACCATCAATACCGTGTACAGCTGCAGGGGTACGCACCTACACAATAAAAGACAGTACACAATACCATCAATACCGTGTACAGCTACAGGAGTACGCACCTGCACAATAACAGTACAATATATAATACCATAATTACCTATACAGCTAAACGGATACACACCAACCCAATATCAGTACAGAACGTAATACAATCATTACCATTTACAGCTACAGGGGTGCGCACCAACCCAATAACACAGTACATAATATAGGTAATTGATTTTTTAATTCATCTTAAAACAATGATCTAGGCACCATACAGTTATGAAAAAAACTAAAAGAAAATTAAAAATATTTTTAACAACACATTTCATACGACTTTGCAGTTGCACCGTAAAATCTATTTTGTTTGGTAAGGATCTGAAGATTTTAGAGCGATCAGATGTCAGAATACCGAAAAGTAATTGGTCGGGGAACAACGACTCCTCACTGGGATATAAGTAGTTCAACTATCCGTACCTAATTCAATTAATCGCTGTTCATTATAGCCGACCTCAATTTATCTACTATTATAGTTTAAGAAATAGAAAGGCTTTTAAAAGCACCGTTGTAAATCGGGCATGCCACTCTATAAATAGAGGGTCAATTGAAATTACATCGACAGTCCCTTTTTATCTCTTACCAGCACAGCATTTGGGCTGGAGGTAGAAAACTGTCTGGCGAGAACTGCAAGATTCCTGGAGGCCATTTTGTCTGAAAATCAGCTAATTACAATACTACTGGAAAGATAAAGTTGGAGATGAACCATGAGCCTGGAACTGAACCCTGAAGGACGGGTTGAGCTCCAGGTTGTTGATCTACTCCTCGGCAACCTCGTACTTGTGCTTGATATCCTTCCACAGCTTCCCCTTGTTGTTCTCGTTCCAGATGTATTCTGCGGCAGCGTCAAATCCTCGCTCAAACAGCAGGGCTCCGACTAAAAACAAACAAATATTAATGAGAAAGTTTAAGATTTTTGAAAAGGGGTAAAGACGCGCTGCCGATTTGAGAAAGAAACTTTATTCTAATCCATACACATTAGGACTTTCATTCTATTTTTTGATAAGTTCTAAAAAAAACTTTCTAATCCATACACATTAGGACTTTCATTCTATTTTTTGATAAGCTCTAAAAAAAACTTTCTAATCCATACACAATAGGACTTTCATTCTATTTTTTGATAAGTTCTAAAAAGCTTTCTTTTTGACCAATAAAAGCATAACGCTCACTGTAAGATGTACATAACATTAACACTTACATTTGCACTTTAATTTGGCTCAACTTTTTTTTTATCATTGTAAAAGAAAAGTGGAGAAGCTTAAAGAAAATAACTTACACTAGAAGTTAAAAAGTTCAGGTTTCAATTAGGGTCCTTAAGGAGAAGTGGGAAGTGAAAAGGCAAGTTTTTTCTATCTTTTTCATACTTTAAAGCTTTAATCCAAAAACTTATTTGGTTTCCCTAAAAAATCATTTATTTACCCAGCAAAAAAAAACATATCTAACATCTGAAGAAAAATAAGATTTTCAAAATAGAGAGGGGGGGAATAGTTGTTGAGGAAAATATTTCACTCCTCAGGACTTCAAATACTTACCACATATGGTGAATACCATCGTGGAGGTTCTCTTAGTAATCCCCTGGTACACCAAACTCGACAATCCCATTTTTCACGTCAACAAGTCTGAAAAAGTACATTTTGTTTCATCTTTTTGAAAAAAAAATCTTATCCAAAAAATAACTTTCCCATTTTAATCACAGCCCGTTTGAGTACATAAAAATGCATGTTGAAGAAATTTAACAACATAATTCTCGTTCACACTTTAATTAAAAAGCGTCACAAACTATTCCCAATGTTACCCTTAAATTGTATCAATTCAGTTACATTATGATAAAAAAATCTCAAAAATATGTCCCCTTTTTCAAAAGTTTCAAGGTCAAAGTTCAGCTTTGGGGTCAACCTTGGAGGTAGATTTTTGAGGAGTATTTTCCGGGTTCTTTAATACTGTCTCTGATTGTCTACTCTTGATAATATTAACAATATTCCTGGCGGATAAAGCTGACATTTCCATTGCCGAGGCCGCCCATTCAATATTGTTCAGGTAGTAGAGGTCGTCCTCTAACTGAAAGCTGGAAAGGCCGGGATATGTTGAATAATCCGGGTAAGCCAACCAATCCAAGGTATCCACAGATATTACAGAGGAAAAATATTTACCAATCTCCGATTTGCTTAATTCCAATCTGGAGAAAATCTTGTAAACCGTTGCAATATCTTTGTCAGAGTAAGGATTGTAGTCAACGGGGGTGAGACGGCCGATAGATGCAATTGGTTCGGCCGCATCGACAAAGAAGAAGTTCTCTGTCTGTGCCCAATCGACTGTTACTCCAAGACCTGTGTAGTTGAGCGAACCTTGAACGATATATGCCAGGGTTCTCTGGTACTTGCCAGGGAAGATTTTTGCTCCTGGTACACCGACAATCTCTAGGCTTTTCGTATCCTGAGTAAGGGGTAGAGCAAGCACAACAATATCAAACTCAGCTGTTTCTGTCCCCTTCTCAGTTGTGTATCCAAGATTGTACACACCTCCCAGCTTCTCAACAGTATTTACCTTAGCTATTATCAATTTAGCTCCGGACTTGGAAATCAAGCATTCTGGTATTTTGTAGTTCCCACCCTGTACCCTCCAGAGTCCACCCTGTATTCCTGCTAGGGATACAGATCCAACAAAACTATGCATGCCAGGAAACTGTCCGTAGTTAACCTTGGTGGCAACAGTTCCTATTTCCTCGATCAGTAGATCAGCCATAGAGAGATGTTTCATCTTCTCCTTGAGGGACACCCTGGTCAACTCCAGCATCTCATGGGACACCTCACCGCTCCGGGACACAGGGCTCATACCATCCAGGAGGTCAGATACAGAGCTGAAGGCGTCTCCAGCGTTTAGTTTAGGATAAATTTCAGCGAAGTTACTCAACAAGTTCCCGATAAAATACTCCATTTTTGCCAGGGACCAGAGACCATAGCGTAGGACAGCTTTAAGAGATGACAACCAGCTGTTATCTTGTTGATAAATAATTTCTCCATTGCGTATAATACTTAAACTACTGGTCTCTTCCCCGCTTGCTTTCACCAGCTGACATCGGTCTAGGTGTTCTAACATAAGTCTAGCACGAATTTCACATATATAACCACAGTTACCCAAAAATAGTTATTAAACAAAAAATGTATTTCCCTGTCCAGAAAATATACATCCAAAGATATAATTTTTCATGATAAAAAGCTAAAGGATTTGTCACCTAATTTTGATATATTTTCTGATCTTATTGTTTCTAAGTAGATAAGCCTTATTTTGCTAATTTAACTTTGCTTTGTAAAAATCAGAATCACACAATGAGGCCTCTAGAATACTAAAGGCCTTATATTAGTATAAAATTTAAAGGCTCAATAATTAAATATGAAATCCCTGTTGGCTGGATGAATGATGCACCCCCCGACCTCGTATTCCCGCCCATCCACCTCTAATGTAGTTACACGGCCTCCGATCCTCCCCTTCTCAAATACCGTGACTGAAGCCCCTGGAATCTCCTGGGAAAGATGGTAGGCTACAGAAGAACCCCCTACTCCTATGTTTATAAACTTTTAACGCCTTCAGATTTAATTCTGAATGAAGGGCCTTTAGGCATAATTTTAACTGACCCTTCATTTACACAGGGGGATGACCGATTCACACCGGTCCTCTTGAAACCTTCATCTGGTTTATTCTAATAATTTCTCTATTGTTTCTGAGGCAAGAAATGCACTATAGTCACTTTTGCAGAAAACCCACAATGAAATGATCGGTTTTAAATTCACAAAATTTATTTCTAGTTTATACTTTATAAAAAAAACTTTCGAGGATAACGTTAACAATCGTACATGCCACTCTATCTATGAAGGGTCACTTGACATAACGTTTACAGTCCTAACAAGAGAAATTATCTTAAATTTTTTCTCTACAATTTTGAATTTTAACGTGAATATAAAATTGGGGCATCATTACATGTTTTCCTACAAAAAACTTTTACGATTTCCAACGATTAAAATTAAGAATTAAAGAAGTAAGACCTGCCCCAACGATAGCAATTCTTGGTTTAGTCCTATCCGATTCTACCAGGCTAATTAGAAGAAGAACAACAACTAAATGAAACTCCTTCATCTTTGAATCTATAAATAAGGTAAAAATAAGCGTCCAATTGATGTCAAATAATTGTTTGGCCCAAGTTAGAGACTTTCAGGTAATTCCCTATTAAACGATTTTTATACCCCCCCCCCGTTTCTACCCATTTTGTACATAGACGCAACGCTCGGCCCCCTAGCATCAGCGCTCAGACAAAAATTTTCCTAACTTAACCCTGAAATAATACAAAATGAATATTTTTTGGTTGAAAATAATTGAAATCTGGGCCATGTATACAATTGATAGGAGGGAACCCAACAGTAGTATACTAGGTCGGACCCGACTAAGCCCCCCCCCCCCCCCTCCTTTAAATTTTATACATTACATCGGTTTAAAGTATTATCTTCATGAAATTTTAAACATTTAGACCTTACCATGCAACTAGTGAAAGATTTTAGGACCCGTGCCCCCTTCATCAACAATCCTTCTCTACGAAATAACCGGAAAATCCACAAAGTTTTGATAAACTTCGAAAAGGAAAATAGTAAAACATGCAATATTAGTAAATCAAGGAAGGAGAAAATGTGTTTTATGGTGTTAAAAATATATTGAAGGTGTAACTGTATGGAACTCGGGAACTTCTTGCATCGATAAAAACTTAAATGAAGCAAAAACGGTTATGACTTACATTCAATGGAGAGAACAAAACGGTCTTCAAACCACTTATCCAAATCGTCGATTAAACAGAGCACTTTTGATACAAAAACACTAAAACAATACATGGATAAATAATCCTGTAAAATAGTCTTCATTGAATCGAGCCAAAGAATCAGTTTAAGACTGGACATTAAGTCTAGCATCAGACAAGCAAAGCTAGAAATATATCGATCTTTTTAAAGTCTTTATCTTTAAAAATGATCAACTGTTTCTCCATATCCAACTAAGGTGTCTCAACATGAAGAATCTACAGCGGACATTTCTCGATTCAGTGTAATCAGGCAGCCGCCATGTTGAGAAAGCAACGTCAGCTGATTTTCAAGTCTGCTGTACAAACAGGGATCAAAATATTTCAAAAAAATATTTTTGAAAAAAAAATTAAAAGAGGGTTATCTAAAAATATATTCAGCTATCCCCTACTCACTTTTTAAAAATATTAAAACCTATTTTTCAAAGACGACCTTTCCTGCTTGCATTTCTCATTAAATTTATATGATACATATGAATACTGACGGACAATTTAATGGCAACAGCAAATTTTGCCGACTCCATAAGAATTGATAAAGTTTAAAATGTAAGATGATCGCAGATCCATACTTTTTAATCAAGTTTACCCCAACTTATCTTTTTAAGAAACAATACATTCATAATAATTGGAAGCCATTTATGTGTAATTTGCTTAATGTTTCTTTATCTATTGTTAGAATTTATAAAAACGTTTCAGCAGTCAAAATCATTGAAAAAATTGGGGCGGGGGCAAAATTGATTTCGCCCCGCCCTCGGATTAATTGATCATAATTTTGGATAATTTTTTATCAAGTTTGTTGGAAAGTTTTTCTCATATTCGAATTTTTCTTTTGGGAAAACTGAACATTTTCATTCTTGAGCTTTTCTTTTACTTTTACAGGCATTTACATAGTTTTCGATTTCACTATTTCCCTGTAGTAAAAATAAATTTTGGCTTTTCGTGGTGGAAAAATGTTCATTTATGTTTTAACTTAAAACTCTTGTTCGGTCCCATAGTGCTTAGTAGTAAACCTATAGTGTAAGAGTTCCCATATGTTATTTAACAGTTCAGAAGAAAAATTTTCATTACTGTTAGCTACCAAGCCTATAAGAATGATTATTCTTACACTGGGGGTGAAGAATTTTCATTCTTTAACGCTCAGACCGTGTAAGAATGGAAATTATTACACGGTCAGAGCGTGAAAGAATGTATCAGTATATGAAATTATGACATTGTACCTTCATTTTTTTATGAAAATAGATTCTTAATACCACTTGGTGGCTTAAGGGAAAGAAAACATAATGAAAAACAGGCAAAATATCTATTTTTATAATAAAATATTTTGGGTTAAAAATCTAGCTTTTTAGCCTGGAGTCATTAATTTTAACCCTTGAAGAAGTTTTTAAGTCAAACAATTTGCTCAGCCACCATCTTCCCCTGCTCCTCTTAACAAAGTATTAAATTGTGCCTCTGAACTAACCAAAATATCTACTTAAAAATTAAACAATAAAATCTACAAACGCAAATGTTTTATTAAATATAAATATTTTAAGAATCACAGTACACAAATGTTGACAACATCAAGAAAACAAGGTAAAAGAATAAATGTAACAAAATAAAAATTTTGTCTCAGCCATGTTTAATGATATGCTATTTAGAAAAATTGTTACATTTAAAATACAATACAATAATTAGACGACTATCAAATTCAATTTTTATTTATATCAAGCTTCTAAATAGCATAGATACACAAAAACATGGAAACAAAGAGAAACTGTCAATTAAAAAAAATTGTCTTTTATTGCTTGTAAACTTGTTATTAGAAAAAACTGAAAAAAGTCGTCTTTATCATATTGATATATTTGCTTAACACTGTATTAAAACTTTTTTAAGTATGAATTCAATGTAAGAAGCAAAGAAACTAATCATTTAGTATTTATATCTATTATTTATATTAAACACAAACAAAATAATGCAATAATATAATAATATATTGTTGATAATATATAAGGTCTGACATTATTTTAACAATAGAACTTTAAAAGTTCTACTGTTCACAATTGCATTATATTGAAGCTTTTTACACAATATATAAATAAATATACAGTAAAGAGTATACTGATTACTGAAGCTCCGTATCTATTCATATAAAGTTAGTTTGTTTGTCCGATCATAACTCAGGAACCCCTTGACCGATTTGCCTCAAATTTTATTAGAGGAACTCGGTATGACCACTGGAATGTTCTAAGCTTGTTTTTGAAGTTCTAAGTTGATTGGGTCTATACTTTTATTGGGAAAAATAGCTAAATTCTTAATTTACGACCAAGTGCGGATAAACGGCGGGAGTAACTATAGAGTAACCTTTCTCAAGATAGTACAATATATACTATATGTGCTATTACACTGAGCTGCTATTATACAATGGCATTGTAGCTGATACTTTAGAATCATACAATTCGTACAATTACTATAGCTGCTTACACAATAGTACTGTAGCTGCTTTGTCTAGAATGATAAGGAGACCCTGAGTCAAATTCAGGTTCCGAACTCACATATTCTTCTCTTCTAAATCCGTCCTGTACGCCGTCCTGATCTACTGCGAATTGAACATGTCTCTGCTGTTTGGATGCAAGGAGCTGATCTATCGGGTGTTTAGATGCAGGATGGTTATGATAGTTGTGTGGATGAGAATCCTGTTGTCGGGAAATATTCTCTGGATTCTGAGACGGATACGTCCTGGCGTGGAGCAGTGGTTGCCAGGGGCGAAGCTCACTTGTTCCGCCCATATTACGAGAACCTACTCCGGGTTGGGGAACCCTTGGTTCCTCTCTAGGTCTTCCTGCGCCTAGAGTTCCAGGAGAAGTATGGGATCGGATCTGAGATGCAAAGTTTCCTGTTGGTTCCAACCTTGGTGGGACGGGTTGAGGACGACTTTGCTCCGATAGTTTAGTTGCACAGACAGAACTACACAACAATACTCCTTCTCGTCGTGTCATTTTACCACCAAGCAAACTCACGCTAAATAAACATATTATAGATACACCAATTCATTTATCTATAACTTTAATGCCTCTCGAAGCTCTCATATGCATTGGTACAATTAGGCAAACACTATTGATTTACTATTCAATCAAATGCCAAACATCATTAAAAACTAATTTGAGCAATCGGTTAATCTATTTTTTAAATCTTTTATTAAAACTTTCAAGATTTCATAAGTTGAGGTTTGCTTTGATAAAAATTTGCAAAATTTGAATCTGAAAAACATTTTTTAGAACGATCGTTTTAACATGTTCATTTTTATCGTTTTTTGCCTTTATTTTCTATCAGGGTGAAAATTTGGCATAAGTAAGGAAAAGCGCATTTTTAGAATAAATAATTTTGCAAACAATTAGATTTCTTACACTTTACCAAAATTAGACCGCAAAAACACATCAATGGATTGCACATCACTACCTGCAAACCCCGCACTTGAAGCAATCCTCTGTAGCATGCCAATGATTATCTGCTAGAGTAACCCTCTGTTCCTCAGCACCAATATATCCAGTACACGAACTACAAACCTTAAATCAAAGTTATAGAAAAATAAATTCAAAATTACAAGAATTCGATAATTCTCCCCTCCCCAGAATGTCGAATCTCGATTTACTCTTTCTACAATTTATTATTCAACCCAAAGTTTGACACTAAGAAACTCTGATTTTTTAATCATATATCATTGTAAACCAGTACCATAGACATTCCCAAGGACGGCCACAGGGGGGGGCGGTTCCTTCGCCCCTCCCCCGACGGATTCAAGGGGAAGCGACGCCCCCCCCCTGAGGCTTTGAGGCAAACAATGTTCCCAATTTGATAAAATGATGTTCTCAATTTGACACATCGTACTTATTTAAAGGAATTGAATCATCAGTACTTGTTTCTTATAACTTGCATATGCATAATAATGTTCCTTACTCATTAATTAAAATTGTAATATTATTATAACTTTAACCTAGTAATTTCTTTTTGTTCTTAACAATTGCTTTATGTTCCTATATTATTGACTATTCAGTATGAATTACGTTTTTTGAAAATATGTAAGTTTCCTTTTTTGTTCTTTACTTTTAACTTGCTTATTGTTCCTATTTTTGTTCCTTTTCCTAACACTTTTTCGCTAGACCCTAAATCCCTGTTCTAAATCCTTTATTTTTCAAAATTTGTTATCCCTATTTTCAAAATTTTTTGTACCTAAATAATCTTGCCCCTGTCCCCCTGGCGGAAATCCTGTGTCCGCCCCTGGACTTTACATTAATTTAATCTATGATTTATGTTATACTAAAAGATATAGGAATTAGGAAGTTTTGATGTGTGGCAAACAGAATTCCTTTAAACATTACAAATTTTTCCTAATTTTGAACATCAAAATTGATGAGCAGATCGAACACTCTCTTTGGTTCCGAAGAAATCATGCGTTTGTTCGTTTTGGCACTACATAGACCAAAATAAAGCTTTTCTACTGTGAATTAAAAATCCACATGTAATCTTTGGCTTTACTGGACTTCTACTCTCTAAAATTGGGAAATAATGGTTATAATTGTGTATTATCCTTTTAAAGGATCACATGAAATTACGTTGATAATCCCTTTTTTATTTCTACCTTTCCATGTTTGTTCTGCCAGCAAACTAGACAGTAAGGTTGTGAGTTGACCGGAATATATTTATGCCCAGCTAGCGGTGTGTCACACTCATAACAGCAGAAATGTTTTAAATGCCAGAATCTATCCTCAGCTCCTGAATGTAAACAATGGATTATTATTCATATTGTACGGACAATATATTAGTAGACTGCAAGTTTTAAAAAGCTGAACTAAATTTGTATTAAAGACATTACTATATCAAGTTGGTCCAGCCAAAATGGAAGTTTTATTGAAGTATTTATTTATAAATCGGATATTTTTTACTGTTATTATAATGTCTTCGTCAGCTCTGCTGTAGTTTCTTTGTATACCTGTACAGTGTACACTCTGTAATATCTCTGTATACCTGTATACTCTGCTGTAATATTTCTATATACCTGTATACTCTGCTGTAATATCTCTATATACCTGTATACTCTGTTTTAATATTTCTGTATACCTGTAGTGTATACTCTGCTATAATATCTCTATATACCTGTACACTCTGCTGTAATATCTCTGTATACCTGTAGTGTATACTCTGCTGTAATATCTCTATATACCTGTATACTCTGCTGTAATATCTCTGTATACCTGTATACTCCGTTTTGATATTTCTGTATACCTGTACACTCTGCTGTAATATCTCTGTATACCTGTATACTCTGCAGTTTTAATATTTCTGTATACCTGTACACTCTGCTGTAATATCTCTTTATACTTGTATACTTTACTGTAATATCTCTATATACCTGTATACTCTGCTGTAATATCTCTGTATACCTGTATACTCTACTGTAATATCTCTGTATACCTGTATACTCTGCTGTAATATCTCTGTATATCTGTACACTCTGCTGTAATATCTCTGTATACCGGTATACTCTGCTGTAATATCTCTATATATCTGTGATTATGTGATTATGTGAGATGAGATCTAAAAGAAGCCCCATCTTGGGCAACCCAGACCGCCTACAGGACTATCCGACCCCTACCGGTAAGAAAAATCCTGAACCAACCCGGCCACCTACTACGAGGAGGGGTACAACCTGGAGGAAAGGCGTGATCAAAGTCACGATGCGTACCTGTATACTCTGCTGTAATATCTCTGTATACCTGTATACTCTGCTGTAATTTGTCTGTATACCTGTACACTCTGCTGTAATATCTCTATATACCCGTATACTCTGATGTAATATCTCTATATATCTGTATGCTCCGCTGTAATATCTCTAAATACCTGTATACTCTGATGTAGTGTCTCTGTATATCTGTATACTCTGCTGTAATATCTCTGTATACCTGTACAGTGTACACTCTGTAATATCTCTGTATACTCTACTGTAATATTTCTATATACCTGTACACTCTGCTGTAATATCTCTGTATACCTGCATACTCTGCTGTAATATCTCTGTATACCTGTATACTCTACTGTAATATCTCTATATATCTGTAAACTCTGCTGTAATATCTCTGTTTACCTGTGCACTCTGCTGTAATATCTCTGTATACCTGTATACTCTGTTGTAGTATCTCTATATACCTGTATACTTTGCTTTGATATCTCTATATACCTGTATACTCTGCTGTAATATCTCTATATACCTGTATTCTCTGCTGAAATATCTCTATATATCTGTACACTCTGCTGTAATATCTCTGTTTACCTGTACACTCTGCTGTAATATCTCTGTATACCTGTATACTCTGCTGTAATATCTCTATATACCTGTATACTCTTCTGTAATATATCTATATATCTGTACACTCTGCTGTAATATCTCTGTTTACCTGTACACTTTTCTGTAATATCTCCGTATATCTGTATTCTATACTGTAATATGTCTGTATACCTGTATATTCTGCTGTAATATTTCTGTATACCTGTATACTCTACTGTAATATGTCTGTATACCTGTATACTCTGCTGAAATATCTCTATATATACCTGTATGCTCTGCTGTAATATCTCTGTATACCTGTATACTCTGCTGTAATATCTCTATATACCTGTATACTCTGTTTTAATATTTCTGTATACCTGTAGTGTATACTCTGCTATAATATCTCTATATACTTGTATACTCTAATGTAATATCTCTATATACCTGTATACTCTGCTGTAATATCTCTATATACCTGTATACTCTGCTGTAATATCTCTGTATACCTGTATACTCTGCTGTAATATCTCTGTATACCTGTATACTCTGCTGTAATATCTCTATATACCCGTATACTCTGATGTAATATCTCTATATACCTGTATACTCCGCTGTAATATCTCTATATACCTGTATACTCTGCTGTAATATCTCTATATACCTGTATACTCTGCTGTAATATCTCTATATACCGGTATACTCTGCTGTAATATCTCTATATATTTGTATACTCTGCTGTAATATCTCTGTATACCTGTATACTCTGCTGTAATATCTCTATACCTGTATACTCTGTGGCGAATATCAACTCATCGCAAGCTGCACAACGAGGAATATTCAACATTTCTGCAAAATCTCTAAAATAAAAATGTTGTAATTTGGGAATTATCTTCAATTCATATTACAGTAATTTCAGATTTTATTTTAACCACAATATAAATATACCCTTCTATACTATTTGTCTTGCCACTAACTCTAACCCCTTTATATTTTCAACCTGATGGTGTAAACTTTTTATACTTATAACTTTGACTATTTGGTCTACGACATCAGGTTGCAAAGATAAAGGGATTAGAAAATCTGAGTTTGTGGCAAGAACTCATTTTTATTGTTCAAGACATTCTAGTGGCTTTAGTCCAATCGAACAACGCCCTTTTCAATATTGCAGTTTCTGTTACGCCCCCCCCCCTCTCTTATCAATATTAGCTTTTGTTATCACTTCCCCCTATATTCTGCGCAATCATTGCCATATTGATCGCAAAATCACGATCAACTGATTAAAAACAAACTTCTTGTACAGAAATGTATCGTAATATATAGTGAATAGTGATATCATAAATGTCTGCATTTTTAAAATTGTACTGCACTATAAAATGTATTGCTATACTGTACGTGCACTGCATATCAAAAATATACTGCACTAAAAAATATAATACGATGCGTAAAATATACTGCACTTTAAAACTATACTAAGCTATGTCTTATGTACAGCACAGTAAAAATGTACTGAACTGTGTGATGTACTACACTAACCTGCCGCAGTACAGTTTCCCATGGCTGTAGAAGTACAAAAGGTCTTCTAGAAGATCGCCACAGCTGATAATTAATAATTGTTAGAAATAATTAAAGGTAATATGAAATTTTAAATATGTGAACGCAAAATCTAGAATTTAGACAAAAACTCAAATAAGATTTTGATAAAGATTAAAACCTTATAACTTTATATCAAAATTGTGGAATAATTATGCAATCTTAAGTTAATTTGATATTGATAGAAGGCAAATAGCTTACCAGTAGCTATAAATCATCTCATTAAGCCTGTGAACACTGCACAATTGATGTGTTTCACGTGATATGGACTATTTCTGGGTACCACGTATAGTGTACATATCATAAAACATTAAATATTACCAATCACTGTGCAATTGTCCTGTGTGTGTGTCCCACTTTACAGTTTAAAGTGTAAAGAAATGAAAATATGTACAGTTCTATATATATATACCTGGTACATGAAAAACAAGATGGATGCCAGCAAGTCTCCGGTCCAGCACGTTCAGCAAATATTGCAACTTCTCCGGGAACCATTTTCCCCTGACATCCTTTACATCTCCATCCTTCTCCATCCTAGAGATTTAATTATAAAGAAGATGTAAAATATATGGATCGCGTGTTTACCATGGTAAACATACAGCATACAGTGTTCACTCTTTTAGCAGGGTAAAATATATTTTTTAAAAACCACAAAATTAAGTTATTGTTTCACACCAGAAATCTTTTTAAAACAAAACACCACGGAATTTGCATACAGGGTCTCGTTTTAAGAGTAAAATTAGCTCCTAGATAAAGTTTTCTTCTTTGATAAATTTTAACTTTATAGAACATGACCTTGAATGTTATCAATTCTTGAGCAAATAAAGTAAAACTGTAACAGCCCCCCCTCCCCCCTCCTGTAAGAAAAAGATAAGGAGAACTCTTAATTAGTCATCAACTTTCAAATTAATCCTGGAAATGTAGATTGAAACGTAATTCCTAGGTTTTAATCATCCTCGTAATCTTTCTTTGTGGAAAATGGTATAGCAGACCTTTTAAATATATCTCTATTCTTTAGGTTCATACCTTTAAAGGGAGAGACCTGCTAGATAAAGTATTTGAGCTGAAAGTGCAGTGTCGTTAAGAAAAACTTTAGGATTCATTTGACACCAAAGAAACATTTTTATGGTGTACAATTGTTAAATAAAATCGTAAAGTCGTTTGAAATATTTCACCAGTTGTTTCAGTCAGCTGAGGAGACTTTTTTTACAATTTTTAAATAACACAGACAAAACAAGTAACAAATTTTATTATAAAAACCAGTTGCATGTATACAAATAGGTTGAGAAAATTAATCAACTTAAATCATAAAAAATAAGTTACAAAAATTAATTTAAAAATCTGGCAGGTTTATGCAACTTCTTTCAGCTAGGGTCGCTTGTTGGAGGTTTTCTTTATTTTAATTGCGAAGAAATCTGCGAATAAAATTATAGAAACAGCAAAGGAAATGATGATAATGAAAAAATCGATTCGTCGGTTATACTATGGCTTTTATCGATAATTGTTATTTTAAGAAATATGTCCCTAATCAGCAAATTAGTCTATAAAATAGTTTTGTTTAGATACATTAGACATGTTTTGTCCGGGTTATCAAATAATTGTAAAAAACGTTTCTTCTGTTTACTGAAACAACGGGTGAATATTACAAACGACTTAAAGCTTTTGATTTAAAAGTTGTACATTGTAAAATGTTTCATTGTTATCAGATGAATCCTAAAGTTTTTCTCTATAATACTGCACTTTTCGCTCAACTACCATGTCTAGCCGGTCTCTCCCTTTAAAGCCACCTCATTCCCGCCCCCTTCCCCTTCTTTAATAGTCTTAAATCATGTTATGAGTGCAACTTTAAGAATGAACATTGCACATAGATCCAGACTGCACATAGATCCAGACTGCACATAGATCCAGACTGCACATAGATCCAGACTGCACATAGATCCAGACTGCTATGAAAAGTTGCATTAATTTTCAAGACTGGGTTGAATTGGTTACGCAACGCTAAAAATCTCTCATTGCGTTTATACCGAGTTAATTTCGAGATATACCTGGGTTAGGGTTGGATCTGTTTCTCCAGGTCTAGATAGAGCAGGTCTCTGTCTTGGATCCAGGATGCTGTTTCCTGACCCAGAACTACCAGAGAGACTAGAAGGATAATGAGATGTTGGTTGTAGATGTGAATTTCTGGAGGAAGAATGAGAAGGAGAGTGTACGGATGAAGGATGAGAGGAAGAGTGTACGGATGAAGGATGAGTAAGAGACTGAAGAGATAAGGGAAGAGAAGGATGAGAAGGATGAGGAGGAGAAGGAGAAGCAGATGAAACTGATGAACCAGTTGAACCTGGAAACCTGGTCGCCTGGTGCTGCTGGCCATAAGGACGAGCATGGAATGTTCCTAAAAAAAACGTTAATCTTTAATTAATAAATATAAGTGTTATATTTTAAAATGTTCTACGAGAAAAGATTTTAAAAGCCCAATACGCCCCCCCCTTCATCGCTTTCATCCTTCCCCAAGGAAACCTGTATCCTATCTAATGAAACCTGTATTCTAACTGATAAACCAGGATTGTATCCTGTCTAATGAAACCTGAATCCTACCAGATAAACCAGGATTGTATCCAATCTGATGAAACCCGTATCATACCCGATAAACCAGGATAGTATCCTATACTAATGAAACCTGTTTCCCACCTGATAAACCAGGATTGTATCTTTTCTAATGAAACCAGTATCATACCTGAGAAACCAGGATTGTACCTAGCCTAATAAACCTGTAATCTGTATCCTACCTGATAAACCTGGATTGTAACCTGGCCAACGAAACCTGTATCCTACCCGATAAACCAGGATAGTAACATGGCTAATGAAACCTGTATCCTACCTGATAAACCAGGATTGTATCCTAGCTAATAAAACCCGTTTTTTCCTACCTGATAAACCAGGATTGTATCCAGTTTAATACAGCCTGTAGCCTACCTTATAAACCTGGATTGTATCCTGGCGAATGAAACCTGTATCCTATCTAATAAACAAGGATTGTATTCTGGCTAATGAAACCTGTATCTTACCCGATAAACCAGGGTTGTATTCTGTCTAATGAAACCTGTATCCTATCCGATTAACCAGGATTGTATCCTATCTAAAGAAACCCGTTTCCTATCTGATAAACCAGGATTTTATCCTAGCTAATGAAACCTGTATCCTACCTGATAAACCTGAATTGTATCCAGCTCTCACTCCATCCTTAACATCAAGAAGATCGAACATATGCTCGAGTTCTACTGGATCTCCTCCAGGATTATATCCTCCTGGTTTCGTGCTCGAATACTTCGGAAGTGACGGGGGACCCGTCGAAGGAAGCGGTGGGGGCATCGAGGTGGGTACTGGCGGCATATTCTGATATGTATCCTCGTCATCCGTCCTCCAGGCTTGGATAAAATCATTGTTTGACCTCTGGTAGGGTTGAGGTTGACCGGGAGGGAGAAGGGCAGGTAGTTCCTGAACCTGACCTTGACCAGCCACACGCTCACGTACACTTGATACATAACTATTCATCCTAGGGACAATAAACATATTAAAAATAATTATAGATAACATAGTAAAATAACAAAAATAACAATAAATAATATTGTAAATAAATGAAATGTTCAACCATCATCCCGCGGGAGTCAGGGTAAAGCTCTCATCTAACCGCACCACCATAATGGTTGGCAGGGTGTCACTAGCACATGTTTCAATGAAACAAAGTGTAAAAGGCCAGGCAAGAGTCAAATTAGGCGGATATTTTTTTAAAAATAAGATAATAATAACATGAACAATAATGAAAATGACATAACAATCAACAGTCGTAAATATTCTTAATCGTACTGGTTTAAATTAGAAATAATACTGGTGATGTTAATGAAAAAAATAATATTGACAAAAATAATTTGTTTTAAATTAGAAATAATACTGGTTTAAATTAGAAATAATACTGGTGTTAATGAAAATAAAAATATTGACAAAAATAATATCTTTTAAATTTAATAGACATTTTTGCAGCAAAAATATAAAAAGCAATATAAACCTACTAAAGAGCAATAAAGCAAATGTGGCAATAACAAAAACAATATAAATAGAAATGACAATATGGAAATACTGATATGATCATGATATTAATGAAATAATAATCAGAAGTATAGTGATAAAGAAAAATTATGATAATAATAATATAAAGTATGAACTAACATTTGTATCTCTGTATGAGAAAGTTGATGACACTGAGTTGGTTCAACATCATGGATTGGAAACTGTTTCTCCAGCTGAACCAACCTTCTCTTAGCTCCGTCAGAACCCTGAGATGGGAATAAACTGTAGTTAAAGGGAATGTTTCCTAATATTGATTTGTTAAAGGAACTGTTCAAGTAATCTAACGTTACCCTCTATTTCAAGATATGTATACCCAGCAGTTATACCATTTAAACCTGTATCTAAGTTAAAGTGATTTATTTTTCTATTTAAATATTGAATTCAGGTTTCTGTTCTCTGTAAAAGTGACTAAAAATTCATATCTTTTTAAGACGGAAAACGAAAATATCTTCATCAATCATCATTGCTAATGGGAATGAATTGTTTTCAAATATTGATTACTTAAAGATAGTGTTTTATTTACTGATTAGGGAAAGGAGTGATTTCAAATATAGATAAGTTAAAGGGAGTGTTTTCATATGTTGATAAGTACTCCTGTATACTTTTATGGATAAGTACTCCTGTCTGTATGGATAAGTACTCCTGTATACTTGTATGGATAAGCACTCCTGATACTTTTATGGATAAGTGCTCCTTTATATCTGTAAGGATAAGTACTCCTGTCTGTATGGATAAGTACTCCTGTATACTTGTTTGGATAAGTAATCCTGTATACCTGTATAGATAAGTACTCCTATATGTATGGTAAAGAACTCCTGTATACCTGTATGGATAAGTACTCCTGTCTTTATGGATAAGTACTCCTGTATACTTGTTTGGATAAGTACTCCTGTATACCTGTATAGATAAGTACTCCTATCTGTATGGATAAGTACTCCTGTGTACCTTAATAGATAAGTACTCCTATCTGTATGGATAAGTAATCCTGTATACTTGTATGGATCAGTACTCCTTTTTACTTGTATGGATAAATACTTCTGTATACCTGTATGGATAAGTACTCCTGTATACCTGTATTGATAAGAACTCCTGTATACTTGTTTGGTTTAGTACTCCTGTATACCTGTATGGATAAGTACTCCTGTGGGATAGATTTAAGATATCTTGAAGCTAGGTCTACAGTTACTCCTGGTGGAACCCAATCAAGTTTCATCTCCTTACCAGCTAAACAAAATACAAGATATAAAACCAAAGATGTTCCAAGCTTTTCAGTTTTATTTGTAGAAAAACGGGAAAAAAATCGTGTTAACCCCCTTTTAAAAACCCTTTTTTAATACTGGATTAAGTCCCAAAAAAATACCCATAAGGTTATAAATTGGAGCATTTTAACTCATTTTAGGTAATCACTAACTGTGCTGCAGTGGTAGGCGATTATATAAAAACAATGAAGGCGACTTTCGATTTCAATTTTGATTTAGATCAAGCTGTTAAATAGCATGGACAGCTGGGTACACATAAACATAAAAGATTATCTTAATCTATCAATTAAAAAAAAACGTCTCTTTAAAAACTTGTAAACTTGAAATTCGAAGAAAGTTTGTCAACAATTAAAACTTAAATAAAAAGTCGTCTTCATTGAATTGAAATAATCGACTACCACTGTATCATTTACTGTCATAATATTAATCATTTTAATAAAAAAAAACACATACAATTCTGATAGATAAATGATTTCACCATTTGTCCCAGTTTTTTTCTTTTAAATTTTCATATAGTGTTGGGGAAAATTATGAACTAAATCTGATTGATAGCAAGGAGTAGTTGAACATCGTAGACTTAGTTAAACCGCTTCACTTATACTTTAACTGACTACTCAAGAGAAGTGGTTCAACATAGTTTAATTAGTTCAACTACTTCTTGAAGTTCTATACCTCGTGATTGATCAGTGGTATCCTGGAAAACATCTCCGTAAACAAAATGTAATTCCTCTTCCTTCGTCCGTAGAGGTCTAAACAATAGATTAAATATTTGCGACAAATATATTAAATAGATTAAAATAAATAGATTAAATATATGCGACAAATAAATCAATCTGATAAAATCACAAGACTATTCGTCCACTCCAATCCATGTTATGTTTGCACAGTTGCAATTCGCGTCTGAAAGATATACTTTAAAAACGAGCCAATGTGTCAGTTTAGATATTATATTAATATATCTACTTGTCGAAGAGTCGACATAATATATATACCTGTCAAAATGTCGACCATTATGTCTTTTTGTGGAAGAATCGACCTGAAATATCTGCCTGTCGAAGAGTCGACCTAATATACCTACCTGTGGAAGATTCGACCTAATAAATCTACCTGTCGAAGAGTCGACCGACAAAGTAGAAACCAGGATCTGAATGTTCGACCACATTATGTTCAGCTTTACCACACCGGCAGTTCATACATACTTTCCTTCATTAAACAAACTTTTAGATAAATGGTTTTGCTTATAGTAGTGTAGTATAATAAACAGGGGGTGGGGGGGGGATAGGCGAGCAGAAATGGAGCATAATAGAGGGGGGATTTACCTTAAGAAATGGAGAATAAAAAGGCGGTGTTACCTCCAGAATTGGAGAAGGATGGAGGGTGGGGGGATTTAGCTACAAAAATGGAGCATAATGGAGGGGTGGTCGGCTTTTACCTCCAGAAATGGAGAAGGATAGTGGAGATTTACCTCCAGAAATGGAGCAAAATATATTAGAGGGGGGGATTTTTATTCAGAAATGGACCTAGAGGAAAGGCTCGGGTGGGAGGCATTTACCTCCAGAAATGGAGCTGAAAACCAGGACACTTGTCTTTACAGTTTGAGCAGGCTGCTCCAGCTCCTAGCTCATGAGCTAATCCTGGACGCTTCTTCAAGTTCTCCAGCTCAAATAGAGCTGGGTTCGGAGACAGGAACCCGTGTTCAGACATTGTCCTTTCAAGATTTTTTTAAAATTCACTTAAAACGTGAAGTTTTCCTGCAGTGACAACTCACAATTCAGTGGTTTTTCCATTAAAATAAATCATCTTTCTGAAATAACAATTTTTTCAGTTTTTTCTTGCATTCTTCATTATCATGTTTTGCACCCAGTCATGCATGTTTATTGACGGGTATTCACGTTGCAGGATTATTTGCAAACTTTACTGCATGAGTTAGGTTCTCTTGTTCACTGTTGTAAGATTGTATGAATTGAATACGATATGTACACTGTAATGAATCTTGTACTCTGTAAACTCTTTAATTTCTACAATTTAGATTATAGATAATATAGATAGTTATTCTAGTCTCGTTATTAACAATTAACAGAAACTTTTCATGGTTGAAACATGTAGATATTGTGATAATTTTATTAAATAAAAGTCAATTAATGAAGAAATTGTAACCAAAAAACTTTCTTTCTAACCAATGATTATGCAAAAAAGCTTATTACAAACTGGATATTGTGGCTATTGCATGCATTTTTTATTTATAAAAACTTGATAAAAACCTTTTGAAAACTTGCTTATTTTTCATTCTGCGCAATTCTCTTGAATAATTTTCACCTACAGTGGTAGGGGGTTAAAAAGGGGTAAAAGTTTATTTAAAAAAAACATAAATATTTTAATAAATTGATTCAAACTGCAGTGCATGGACCAATATAAAGCCGTACAAATTGTTCATATTTTAAGAAATTTTATTATTTTTATAATTTTTTATTTCAGGGAAACATGGTTTTTAAAAATAGTAAGGAAAAGACCAAAAAAGATTAAGTTGGCAGTATACAACAAATGAATTTTATTCATAGAGAATAGAATATATACTAGAGGGGAATTTAAAGAATCTCTCGGTATGAATTTTTTCAGTCCCTTTCAGCCTTAAAAGGAGTTAAAAGTGTACAAATCATGTAAATGTTCGCAAATTAAATGCAGTAGAGTACATTAATACAGTATGTTCCCTAGACTATTCATTTCACTTTCGAATTTGTTAAAACTGTTAAATAAACTTTATACTGAATTTGGTGAATAAAAAACATCATTTGATTTATAGTTATAACGGAAAATCATCGTTTATAAAGTGGAAGGCATAGAGTCTATGTAAAATAATCATTGGTCAATTATGAAACCAGCCTATTTCATAATTTGGTTTTCTTTTAAAATTAATTTTAGATTTTCTATAAAATGATATTCCGGGGCCCAAAAAGTTATATAGCATAAATATGTGAAGTACACCTGTAGTATGGAAACAGTACAACAAAATGGCGGTTTTACACATTTTTCTAATAAATTCCTCTCTAATATATATTCTATTCTCTTTGATTATATTTCATTGCAAAATTCACACCACAAAACTTGTTGAACTGTTTTTTAGATTCAATTGTAAATTTCAATATGTGTTAATCTGTGGCTAATCATTTCATTTAAATAATCCTATCCATTTATAGTCTTTATATACTATAGTTAATAATCCTTCTTATGTTTTTTATATTTTTAAATCTAGATTTTGTTATATATGCAAGCTAAGACCAAGCATTTTATGTGATTCATTCATATAATTCATAAAATTCATATAATTCATAAAATTCAATTAATTCATGTATCTATCTAATTCATGTATCTATCTAGTTTATAATAATTCAACATTTAAAGTTCAAAAAGATAAATCTAACAAATATTTAAAATCTTGTGATTGTAAAATCCTTATATCTTTTTAACCCGATGACGTAGACATTTTTTGAGGTTCCATTTGGAGGGGGTGGGCTCAACGAGGGCTTAATCCCTCTGATAATCAGGGGGGGGGGCTAAGCCCCCTAGTCCTCCCTGCAGGTATACACCCCTGCTTAAATGTTTAAATTGTTAAAAATAGGTTTATATTATACGGTTGCAACCACTTTCTTTATGTGGAAAAGTGTTAGAGTTTGTAATATTAATATATTAATCCTTATCGCAGATTATAAACAGATGTTTAAATATATTTCATAAAAATCTCAAATAAAATCAATTACCAGAAACACAGCTGTTTTTCTATTAAAATGAAATGCACTTACTTATACGGCACATAAAGCTGTACCCTCCAGGGGGGGACATTCGCCCCCCCCTGAATTTGGAATTTTTTGTTCCTATTTTCAGAATAGCTTCTCAATAGCCTGCTTAAGGGAAAGAAACCCTAGGGCAAAACAGGAAAAATATCTGTCTTAATAAACTATAATGTGTTAAAAGTTAAAAATCTATTTTTTTGTCTTTAGTCGTTAATTTTGATTCTTTTTGAGTCTTTTAAGTCAAAAAAAATTTCGCATACAGCGCGATTTTTATTCCTAATTATAATTTTTTTCCCTAAAAAATCTCCCCCCCCCCCCTCACTTAAATCCTGTATCCGCCCCTGGTACCCGCCTATTCATATAGCTAACTTATAACATTAGAATATTGAAAAAAAACCTTTTATATGAAGGGTATAAAATGGCAGATAAATATCCGTTTTGATACAGTGATAACAAGAGAATTCTATAAAAGGAAGACGATTTTAGGATCAATTTATAACTTTTAAAAGTCCAATGAGCACATGAGACACAGCAATTGTGCAAGTGTAATAAACAGACCCATTTTACTAAATTGGTGATTTGATAAGTGTCTGCTAAAATATTATTTCTTTCTAACAACAGCAAAAATACGCTTAAGTATTGCTATAAGTTGTCGTCTTCCTATTCTATTATTTTCTAGTTTTCACTGTACATTCATAAATTTATATTCGGCGAGATTATTTAAAAACAGATTTGTATCAAAATATAGTTCGGTCAATTTGTTTTCATTGTCTCAAGAAGATGAGTAAATTAATGAGTCAGGAAGATAGATATACTCGATATACAAACGGTTAGACAGACAGACGGACAGTCAGACAGATGGATAGATAGATAGAAAGTACAGAATATTGTTATCTTTTATAGCTGATATTTACCACTAAATGCATTTACTATTCATTAACATTTGATATCTTATCAATATAGATATATATATAAAAGTAGATTAATTGTCCCGAAAATCTTTACCCTCCCCTTTTTCGATTTTTAGAGAATTCCAAATAATTGTGTGTCATGAAAAAAAAATGCCTGCGCAGAATTAAAGGGTAAAAACAATTTAGTTATTGAACTATCTAAAAGGTATACATAGTTTAGCCATTTCTTTAATGAACAGTAAACATCCTGTATCTTAGTATCTAAAAGGATATAGCCAGATTCTTTTAATGAATACCCTGTATTTCTTTACAAAACTTAAGGGCAGGGACCATTTCTTAACTTAACACCCTGTCTCCGAAAGGGAATGGGCCATTTTTATTGAACACTATGGATCTGAAAGGGACTTGACCATTTTTATTTAACGCCCTGTACCTAGCTGAAGAAAAGGGAACATTTTTCTTTTATGAACACCTGTATCTGAAAGCCTATTCTGGCTTGAAGCATGAAAGACTGTATTTACATAATATTGTGTGGAAAAGAATTGCAAGTATAAGGTTTCAGTTTAGCGGATTAAATACAAGTTCTCCTCTCTATGCAGAAAATATACACAATTGAAATATTAGCAATATGCAAGGAAGGAGATATGGGACGCCATTGAAAAAAACTGTTTCAAGGGCTGGTAGGACAAATAACTAATACATTTTTTTGTCGATTTAATAAATACTTACAAATAATTCCGTTTTATTTGAAGTACCTTACGGACCTTTAGGCAGCTATATTAAATTGTACACTGTACAGTGTACATTAGGTTATCTGTACATACAGGCTATAGAAGGCAAAACGGAACAGTACACTAAATGAATCAGTCACAGTATAATATAAATAAAACTGATCATCTCAAAACATTTAGATCAAAATTCAATGCCTTCTGTTAAAACATATGTATAATCGCCAAAAAGTTTAATATGGCATGTCTTTTGTTAAATTGGATTAAATCAAAGATTGAAGACTATTTTTAACAGTGCTTTCGTTAAACAATTACTTTGCAATACAAAATGTGGCCAATTTCTTATTCATGTTACCATAGGTACAACTATTGGTCGTATCTATCTATCTACACTGCTCTGGTAAAGCGTAACCATAGTGTGACTATGGTTCTACCTATGGTAGAACGTTTAAGAAATTTTTAAGAAAGTTTAACAGATTTAGGACCAGTAGTAGGATATTTATAAATAATGTTCATCGCAAGATAGATAATTCTTTCAATGATTTGTTTGCCATTCCATTTTTCTCATTTCGTTCTTGATTCATATCAGATTCGATCAAAATTTCAATAGATTCTATCGAAGTTTTATTAGATTTAATCAAAGGTTTATTAGATTTAATCAAAGGTTTATTAGATTTAATCAAAGTTTTATTAGATTCGATTAAAGTTTTATTAGATTCTATATATTGAAATCTTATTAGATTCAATCAAAGTTAATTAAATTCTCTGAAAGGTTTATAAGATTCATTCGATCAAAGTTTTTTAAGATTCTAAGAAAGTTTAATGCGATTTTATTTTAAAAAATTTGATTTAATCGAGTTTTATAGATTCTATCAAAGTTTTACTAGATTATATCAAAGTTTTATTAGATTCTATCAAAGTTTTATTAGATTCTATCCAAGTTCTATTAGATTCTATCAAAGTTCTATTAGATTCTATCAAAGTTATGTTAGATTCTATCAAAGTTTTATTAGATTCTATCAACGTTTTATTAGATTCTATCAAAGTTTTACTAGATTCTATCAAAAATCTATTAGATTCTATCAAAGTTTTATTAGATTCTATCAACGTTTTATTAGATTCGATTAAAGTTTTTTAGATTCTATCAACGTTTTATTAGATTCTATCAACGTTTTATTATATTCTATCAAAACTTTTATTAGATTCTATCAACGTTTTATTAGATTCTATCAAAGTTTTACTAGATTCTATCAACATTTTATTAGATTCTATAAAAAAAAGTTTTATTAGATTCTATCAAAGCATTAGTAGATTGAATAAAAGGTTTATTAGATATGATATGATTTCTTTTAATATATTACAATCCTTGCTGCGTG